AATGCTTCTCAGTGGCCAAATGATATCATGGTTGTGTTTAATCATTTGCCGCCAAACTGTTATTATTTCCAATTGAAAGCACACAAGTCTTTACAGCATTTCTCAAATTTGTTATTCGAGCTGACTGTCAGTTTGAGAACCATTGGAAATTTGCAGGAAGTACAGGAAAGCTGTTTCGTCTTAATTTGAGACTCTTCACCGGTACTTTCTCACTGCCACGGTTTGAACCCAGGGACCTTCTGGTTACGTGGTGAGCTCGTAGACTATTAAGCTGCTGGGACCCGACCCAATGGTTCATGAGATCCCCCACTACTGAAAATTTGTGATATATACGTTTGACGGAACCATCAACCAATACCATAAGATAGTAGTTGTTCTCTTTCCTGACTTACTGGACTCCTTGGTTACGAATTCTCACTAGATGTCCAGGTATCTTCAGGTATATGGCCAGTTGCTAGTGAGTTTAGACTGATTGTCAAGTGTCGCTTTGCTACTGAAGACTCCCAAACTAGGACGAAGCAACTACCCATAACTCCTTACTAGTTTTCCAATGGTTCTCTTACTGATGTTAGCTTGTGATCAGTGCCGTAATCAATCAAATCCCTGCAAATCGATACTTGAAAATTTGTTATTGAGTCGATGAATTGAAGACGCGAACAACCGCAGTCTTTTATTGTAATAAATCAGGCTGTAACGTGTAGATGTATATGAAATCACCGAAAATACCCATTGAGTCATGAAGAAAATAAGAAAAGACAAATTCAGCGAAGGAAATTTTCTTTATCGACGAAATCATCTTCAGAGGCTGTACAGTCGTATTTATACTTACCAAAACATATATAGTGGTCTATTATTGAGTAATAGGGGGTGACATAACTGATATAATTACTCAGAAGTGGTTTTAGAAATGAAAATTAAAGATTGTAAATTACGCGGTACTCAACGGAACAAAGATAGAAATTTGATATGGTTAAAATTGCTATTGAGTGAGAATAAAGGTATTTGAGTGTCAATTTAACAAGTGTGAAGAGGGTGTGAAAATGTTTAAAAGGAACATATGAGAGTGAGAATAGTGAATTAATTATTAAAGCAAAAGCAAAATAAAAGTAATATTGAAAATTAAAAAATCAAAACTTTTTACTGGGAACAACTAGTGAAGAGGTTAAGACCCAGGTAGAATAAGAGACTGGACAAACTTTTTCTGCACCTATGCCATACACAAAAGCCGAAACCTGACGCCTTTTGTACCATTCGACCTGGCCCTGTAGATGATCTTGAAAGATGACTCTGGTGGAGCTACGTGGCCTGAGTTCACCAAATGCTCGAGAATTGAACCAGTAATTGTCTTGCATTGTCCTTTTGCTAACCATTCCGGATAATGTTCAGAGATGCGTTTGGAAAGTGTGCGGCCAATATAGCTAGCTCCACACGAGCAGGTGAATTTGTAAACACACATTGAGGAGGCCCAAAGCGGCAGTTTATCCTGCACACATCCATTGATCATTTGTAGGCTGTAGAAATTGATATGTAACTCAGCTCTGAAGGTGATTTCGTCGATAAAGGAGATGTATTTGATTTTGGAATATAGCAATTGTCAAATGCCTAGATCAGAAAAGATCCTGAAGCTATCATTGATTCCAGATGACTAGTCAATGCCTCAGAGTCAATGTGTATGGTAACCAACTCGAAAATATCAGAAAACGGATTAGCAATACAAGGATCGCTTCACCAACAGTCAATCACAGTGGGGTTATTAAGCACAAAGTCTATGAATAATCTTAAATACAAAGCACAGCAATGCTTCTAAATGTTTTTCTCCACTCTTCTACCAACTAGCCTAGCACTAGGCAACGGATGCCATTATTGTTTCCCGCCAAATGTTGGAGATCAGTTCGAATAAACAAACCATATATGTTTATTGCTCATTCAATGTTCAATAACACTGACGACAATATTACAAACAGCTTTCTTAAATAATAATAATGATGTCGTACAACTTTTGTTTGTGTTTATTTCTTCCTTTTTATAGGTTGTTAATCCAGTTCTTCCACAATTCCATCCACGTCAATTATTAGAATGGATGAATCTGGGGCATTTACGTCGAATCAAGGCAATATTAGCTCATTTAACTCGATGTTTGTCTGCTTTTGGTGCACCATCATCGAATAGACAACATCATGGGACGTCGACAAGTAGTCGTAGAATGACAAAGGTATGCGCAACACAGTTTTTCCTTGAAAAAATACCCTTATGAAAAAGCTTTTGATGGCATAATAATAATAATTATTATTATTATCAATTTGCTTTATTCCAGAAATAGTACTAGTGGTACAGTGTGGAATTTTCAGCACATATCTACAATATTTGCATCTAATTTTATCAAACATTTAAAAGGAGTATTTCAAAAGAAAATAAATGTAAAGACAACAACAACAAAAAAACACAAATATAATAAAAAATGCGAAAAAATACCAAGAAGTAGAAAGGAAAATAAACAACATAATGAATAATATCTCAGTATTGGGTAGTGGAAGCTACGATATGATTATGCATGGAGACAGTAAAGCTATAGTCATACAAGAAGTTATGAAATGATATTTAAGAATGTTTATCGCCAAGATGATCAGTTAATTTGGTTGAAACAACACTAAACAATCATAAAATAACATTTCAGGGTTGTTTTTTTATCAGGTCTAATGCGGTGTTTGTAGTGGTAGTGTGAGTAATCCTGCATAATACAAAATTTTAAGATGGTGATAATGGCGTTCGCAACCAATGATTGTTCGTTAATATTGCCGAAAAAAATAAAAAATAAGAAAAATAACCACAATGATGTTTAGTGACAGGACAATTTTGTGATACTCATAGTGCTAATATATTCGGAACCAGTGGATACACAAAAGAAGGAATACAGTAAAGTACAAAAAAAGAAGCCAATGTTAATAATTTAAGTAGCTAAGTATGTTTAAGAATTAATATCAGTAAAAAGTTTGAGCATTGTGGATTAGATCAAATAAAGTATAATTATATTTCAATATTTTTTACACAATGATAAGTTTTGTTATTGGTAATATTTCGAGCAAAATTACTGTCCGTGTTCACATCACTGTTGGAATTGTTTGATTCACACATTTATGATTTGTACTCACATATATAGTTCATTATTTTTGCTCATTCATGTTTATTTTGTATTTGGGTTATATTCCACGTTCATTCATGTGTTTGTATTCAGAATTATATTCCAAGTTGTTGATAGTTGTACTGAGTCACCCTTGTTACATGTATCCGGTGTGAATTTAATGAATATCGATTCTGTTATAAGTCTTTCTTTCCATCTGTTCATGTTAGTTTTTAGAATACACATATTGTCCCAATCGATATTAAGGTGTTCACTATAGAATTCAAAATAAGAGAGAAATAAAAGAGCCTCAAATTATATTATTAACAAAAAAGCAAGTCATAGGTTTCGCACTTAACATTGTCTCTGTCGCTTAGAACACGGGCCAAATATGGTATCGTTGAGTTCCTGTACTTGGTTGTACGAGCATTAACAGTATTTTGTTATGTTGATTGTGGAACATAAAGCTTCAACGTCGAATAGCCACTCTGTCCTATTCTTCGCAGTACACTCCTTAGCTGGCTAGCTCTACGGTCGCTCATTGTCTTCGATTTACTCCCCTCACGATCACCTCCATGTCACTCTTAAAGTGACCATCCCTAACTCGTCGTTTTCTATGCAGCGTCCACTAGACCGATAACCTGGCGCGCGATGTCACTCGATGGTCTCTTCAGTATATATGGCCATTGCATCTTCATTTTCGAAATATTTGTTGGGACTTCGATTCTTGATTGGTTCGTTCCCAGACTTTCTTGTTGCTAATTCTTTCTGTCTGCCTGGCCATCTGAAGCCGACGAAGACTGCTGTTGATAGAAGTCTAGTGGAAATGCTTTTGGTGACGTGAACACCAAGTTTCTAACCCATATAGGAGAAATGGCTGGCTTAACATTTATGTTGAAAGTCCGAATTTTGTTTTTTATGCTGAGGTGGAGTGCGAAAGATTCCTAAACTGGTTTCAGAGTGATAAAGGTCTGTCTTGCTGTTCTTATTCTGACTGATTTTAACATCTTCATCCGTTTCGATTTGCCTGTATTGTATTTGAAATGATAGTGCCCAGATAATTGCCCCTAGATTAGAAATCGGAAGTGAAGTGGTAGAGCACGTTGACCGCTTCACTTACTTGGGAAGTACCATCAGCCAACGCCAACGGCGTGATCTCTGACGAAATCTCAGTACGAATACATAGGGCTAGTTTCGCATATGCCAGTTTACGCCGTCTCTGGCGTAGACGTGATATCCGACTATCGACCAAAGGGCGTGTGTACCGCTCAACAGTTCGCTCCGTCCTCCTTGATGGCTGTGAGACCTGGCCATTGAGAGTGGAAGACATGAAAAGATTAGCTGTCTTTGATCATAGGTGTCTGCGTTCTATCTCCCAAGTGTGTGAAGTAGTATAATAAGGTGAGCAATATTGAGGTTATGCATCGGTCGAGTGCTAAGTAAGGCGGGGAAATCAATAGACGAGACTGTGAAATTACATCGACTGAGATGGTTAGGACATGTGTTATGTATGCCTAGTCATCGCCTTCCTCGACAGTGGACAATGTTAGCTAATATAGGATCAGGCTGGAAAAAAGCTAGCGGTGGTCAAACAAAAACATGTCACCAGTCAATGAAATCGACAACAGTTAGTTTAAGCCAGCCACATGTCTGTCTGTCTGTCTGTTTTCGACATAGAACTTTGCACATATGTGCGGCAGTTCAAGTCGCCACAATCCATGTAGCACGCAAAGCAAGAGAAGGAAGTAGAAGAAATGCAAAATATAGACAGTAAACAGTGGTGTGAGACAAAGGAATAGTAATAACGGAGAACAAAAGTTTAATTGGAAATCATAAGTCACAAGGAGTGGATGCATCTGCGCATCCACTGAGAACGATTTCGAGCCATGTCGCCAATTGTTTCCAACCATTGGTTTTTACCATCCCGAGGGCCCCAACCAGGAAGTCTACATCTTCCTACGTGGCTTAGATTAACTGTTGTGGATTTCATTGATTGGTGCCATGTTTTGGTTTGACCGCCGCTAGCTCTTTTCCAGCCTGACCCTATATCAGCTAACATTGCCCGTCGAGGAAGGCGATGACTAGGCATACGTAGCACATGTCCTAACCATCTCAGTCGATGCAATTTCACAGTCTCGTCGATTGATTTCCCCGCCTTACCTAGCACTCGACGCCTAACCACAATATTGCTCACCTTATTATTCCACTTCACGCGGGAGATAGAACGCAGACACCTATGATCGAAGACAGCTAATCTTTTCATGTCTTCTGCTCTCAATGGCCAGGTCTCACAGCCATAAAGGAGGACGGAGCGGACTGTTGAGCAGTACACACGCCCTTTGGTCGATAGTCGGATATCGCGTCTACGCCAGAGACGGCGAAAACTGGCGAATGCGAACCTAGCCCTCTGTATTCGTGCTGAAATTTCGTCGGAGATCAACCCGTTGGGGCTGATGGTACTTCCCAAGTAAGTGAAGCGGTCAACGTGTTCTACCACTTCACTTCCTATTTCTAATCTAGGGGTCGATGAAGTCCAATCCTGCAGCATCATCTTACATTTTATAGGGGCGAATCGCATGCCAAACATGCGGAGGTTGTTGCTCAGGGTGTTCAGTAGACTCTGCATTTTGTCAGAGTCCTCGCCTAGAAGGACTATATCGTCCGCGTATTCTAAGTCAACGAGATTCTTCCCTGGTAGCAAGTCAATCCCTGAGTCGCTGAAGTGAGTTAGGGTTAAGTCCATTAGTACATCTATGATGAAATTGAATAGGAATGGGGATAATGGGCATCCTTGACGGACGCCACTAGTCGTCACCACTTCAGATGACAACTCGCCATAAGCCCTCACCTGGCTGCATGAGTACGAGTAGAGTGCCTTAATCAGTGCAATGTATTTTCTTGGCAAGCCAGCCACATAGGAAGGTGTAGACTTCCTGACTGGTTAGGGTCCTCGGGACAGTGAAAACCAATGGCTCAAAACTGTTCTCAATGGCTGGCGCAGATGCATCCACTCCTTGTGACTTATGATTTCCAATTAAACTGTTTTTTTCTTCGTTATTACTATTCCTTTGTCTCACACCTCTGTTTACTGTCTATATTATGCATTTCTTCTACTTTCTTCTTTGCTTTGTGTGCTACATGGAGGGAGTGTGGCGACTTGAACGGCTGCCGCACATATGTGCAAAGTTCTATGTTGAAAACCGACTGATCGACCGAGGTAATTGGAGCGAGTGACCTCTTTCAAATTTCTTTCGTTAATAGTAATTGGTGCTTGCTGTTGTTGTTGTTGGTTGGCTGGTTGGTTGGTTATCTTCATCACCTCTGTCTTCTATGTTCACTTGAAGACCTATCTTCGTTCCTTCGTCCGCCATCTTTGTTGGTCTTGCCCTGTAAGTCTTTGAGTTTGTGTGTGACACTCGATATAACTAGTTGGCGAAATCTAGATCTTCTAAAGTCTTCTTATCGGTCAGTTCAACGTATTCCTATCTTCTCGCTCTCCACAAATGTTCCTCGATGGAATTCAGTCCACCACAATTAGGAATATCATCATGGGTGATAAAAATGGCAGTCGAACTTATCTTACTCCTGTCTTCCTTTGAAATGCCTCACTGACTTTCCTTTTCGTATGGTTGAATTGAACTGATGAGTTTCTTTTACAGATGGTTGGGTCTCACTTGTTTATTTCAAGATAGTTCATGTCATGGTCTGTTCTCACGTGTAGAATGCATGAATTGGACAGCTCTGCTTGGCTAGTTGTTGAAACTATTCCTCACTAGGTATTTTCTAATTCAAGACCATTCTGTAGTGCTTATTCGTTGTTTGGAAACATATTAAGATGGTGATTGTCGTATTATGGCATACACCTTCATCACATATGCCTGTAAAATCAAACAGCTCTTCAAGCGTTCCTTCTTTCAAGTAATGTTGAGCAATAGTTACTCACGTTTTGATGAGAGCTGTCTGCTAGCCAATTTGGTAGACAGTAATTCACATCAATGTTTACTTCCCACATATTGGTCATGTGAAAAGAACAAGAACAAAGACTGACTCAACAACTAATCACAACAGACTTTGCGTAGGCGGATACAATTAGCAGAGAGATGATCTGACATTCAAGAAACAGCCACAAAGAGATGAAAGATTAACTAATGTTCAGTGAGAAACAACCACCAATCAGAAGACTGTGTTTGTCTACTAACAATGATCTATAATAATGTACATGAAAATCTATAAATATGTGTTGATTTCCTTACTAAACGGACTGTTGCCTGACCCTTGTCTTCTGTAGCTACAACGTTATATTTTCGGTGCCAATAAATAACTGGCTACAAATAATAAGAATATTTTTGAATTCTTATTATAGAGTTTATGGAGATTTCGGAATAATTTCAATTGTTAGATCATCTCTTTCCGAACTGACATCAATTAGAGAGATCACTGAAATAACAGGGAAAATTGAAAGGATGGGTGTTTCTTCCCATTATGGGACTTTTCAACAGCACGCATCCACGACCTCTCTTCAATGATCGAACTCGGAATCTTTATTAGGCTACGAAACCAAGTTCGTTGACCATTCACCCAACTGGGAAGAAATTCAGCGGCTCCTGGATTCTAGAATGGAACAGGTTGAAGCCAAAGATTATGCAATCATATAAGAGGAAAAGAAGCTTTGATAACTGTTTCTTTCTGAACACACAAATTGGGTCTTAAGCATTTGATAGCAATTGCTTCAGCAGACTTGAGGGGAAATGTGACCTTTGCTTGGCCCAAAGAACATGTTGTCCGATAAACGAGAACTAAACTGAGCTGCAGGACACCTTCTAGCTATTAAGTATTCAATCTTCTATAAAGCCGAATTGAATTCAGATAGGTTTGTTTTCCACTGTAATGGTGTTTGGCATTTAAGCCATCATATTTTCCGTCAATTCCTCTTAGTCAGTTAGTTTTCAAAATCTTTTCGAGAATCACCTGACCGATAGGTGCTACCTTGACGTGGTGGTCAGGCTTGCACATCGCAATGACCCAACAAGCTACACTGACGGGAACTATTGTTCCTGCAGGTCCTACCATGCCAAGAGGGTTGTAAGGATAGCGATTCGACTAAAAGCAGTTACCGGTATAGTATACGTTATTAACAACTTGCTGGGGGGCGGTCTGTGGGCAAAGTCGTACTGCTGGGGAACAGAGATGTAACAGCAGGAAGGGGATGTTTCCCTAAGATGACCGGTTTGCCAGTCAGCTATGCTGTCTCCCCACTCTGGTGAGAAAGGATTGAAAAAGGTCTACCCCAACAACTGTGCATCCCGACCAGTGGTCTGTGACCGGCGGTGAGTTTACTAATACGGAACCAAACCACGAAACCAGTTTATACAAGCCGCATGTGACCTGCCTCAAGCAGTTGTCTCCTGGGCTCTGCGGTCACGCAACACTAACCTTCTCTCTGTTTCAGGTACCCGAAGAATCAATCAACTTCTACAGTGTGCGCAGCGGGGAAATAACGGCCGTCCACACACTTCCAGAAGCACACGAAGCCTTCTTGAGTTACTTCCGAGAATCAGAAATTCTTTATCTAATTTCTCTATGTAGAGCAAATTCTTTTGGTTTGTAAACCAATGTTTTGAACAGTGCTCATTGATGGGTAATTAAATAAAAATGTTTGAAATTCAAGCATTGTCCATTCCACATAAACTTTTAGAAAATAGATCTTCCAAGAGACACATGGGGATGTCACGCCATCGTTTATCGAGTTTCCCGAGTTTTGTTGTTATTAATATTTATTTCCTTTATTATCATACCTCTTCTATTCACATAGGGTAATTTGAACTCAGAGTTAACCAACCTTGCCATTGGTTCATTCGATACATCGATCAGTGGAGGCAGAACATCTGGAAAACCGGGAACGTTACAGTCCAAGGTGGCTACATCTTCGTCAAGTAATCTTTTAGAAGCTCAAGCGATTCCTCCACTTCCATTATATGTCCTACTGGCTGTTGATTCTCTACAAGTAACAGATGTTAGTGCTGATGTTGAAACTAGCAAACAGTTTGGTAGGTTTTCTATTTTTTGTTATTGTTGTTGTCTATTCAAATGTAGAACAATACTTTTAAGCGATCAATATTGTTTGCAGGGATTTGATTGGTTCCAGGATTTCATCATGAGTTGACAGCGTTTAGAGAACATCTGATGCTTACTAGCAACTGGTCATGTATTCAAGTACGTAGGTAGTTACCTGGGTTCTAGTGGAAAGTCGTGACCAGTAGGGTACAACAGGTTGGGTGTGAGGACAAATACTGGCCAGAGATGACATTGGCTTAGTGCCAGTCGCGCTATGTCGTGATTCGACAGAATTCGGAATTCATGGACTGGTCATTGAAGAGTTAGATCCCAGTGGCTGAATGGCCTACGAGCTCTACTTGTAACTGGGAAGGTCCTGGTTTCGAACCATTGTGGTGGGTGGATATTGCCGAAGAGTCCCAAACCAGGACTAGACACGTCACACTAGTTACTAGTGTCCAGTCAAAATATCCACTACAGTCCTACAGGAGGTCAATCGCGAGCCCGAATAGCTCAGTGGTAACGTCTCTGACTGCAGCTCTCACCGGGTGACTAGGGTTCGAATCGCAGAAGGGACATGAGTTCCTTCAAGGTTGCAGGTACGCCTTGCTGACTGGGGAGTGCCAACTAGCACGAAACCTAGGTCAGACTGGGTTTCCTGCTGATCGCCTCCAACTATCTAATATCATCACAACAGAAACAGTTGTCCAGTATACTCTCAGGTCTTCCGATGTCAGCTCATAATGAAATATTGTTTCCAGTATGATCTCATCAGGCTTAATTCTAATATGCATACACAACTTAGCCGCATTACGTTTCTATTACCTTCCCAGTGGAACATAAGGCTTCTTCAGATTAGATCTTTGAAGTTTTGGAAGACGAAATGCACATCCTGGATTCCACTGTTAGTCACCATCCACCAATTAAATAACTAAAAAGATATCACGCAAAGTTAAGGATATATAGAGAGATGGGATACACTGTAACAAACAAAATCTGCGTGTTGTCGTGTGGATTGCAAAAACCAGTCATTGTGTTTTCCTGTAGAGCTGACCAAAAATTCCTTGAGTTACCATCGGTCACAAAGTGACCCAACGATAGGCAAAAAGCATTGCTGTACAACAAAATTAGTTGACCCAAACCAACCGTAAGAAGTATTTGAAAATCAATTAGAATATTCCCAACGAGGTGGGATCAAAAATCTGTCCACAAGAATCACACACCAAACAATTCCCGTGGATAGTTCAAGGTCAGAATGACCTTCACTCACTCAAAATCGCAGTTATAGGATAACCCATTGTTAATATTATCATATAATCACAGTGGGTGCGTACTGCCGATGATTCCCAAACTAGGATGAAACAGCAGCTGTCCAGTACTCCCTGGTTTTCAGTGGTTCTCTAACTGATTTCAATCCGTGATCAACTCGTAAAAACAAAGAGAATCATTGAAACTAGAGATTGAACAGGAAGGAAGACAATTAATAATGATTAAGTCAACATAGTATATGCAAACTTGTTGGCCTTTGCATCGTCGTTTGCGCTACATCCGTAAATTTGAATGCTGGTAGTTGCTGATCAAATTGCAACTATATGCATCATCATCATCATCTGAAGGAGCATAGGATGGCAGTCAAACTTCTACCTCAATTACATCGACTTTGAAAAGGCCTTCGACAACATTGACCTCGAGGTAATTTGGAAACTACTTCAACAATATTGATAAAAGTATAAAACTTGGGCACAATGGTACAGCATAACTCGATTACGGATAAGATTTTATTATGATAAAATCATACAGTGTAGTGTTATACAGTAATATTAACTGATGGCCACGTACCGAGCACAAACTATTGCCACTCATAATCATATCAAGTTACTCATACAACTATGCAGTGTAGTGCCCCCAAATCTTTATCAACCTCATTCAACAGCTGTCACATGTCAAGTGATCCACAAAGGAAAACTCAGAGAACAAGCCTTTGAGATGAATACAGGAGTAAGACAAGGCTGCCTGCTTACTATCACCAGTAATATTCTTATTTGTGGTGGACTGGATTATGCGTCAGACTGTGGTAACGTAGAAGTTAGGAATATGTTCGACCGATGTTGAAAACTCTAAAAGATCTGGATTTCGTGGGTGATGTACGTCTGATGTCACACAAACTGAGGTGATAAAGATAACCAATTGACAATAAAAAGTGTCAATCGCTATCAACGGAATAAATTCGAAAGAGGTTACTTCTTACACATAGAGTTATTTCAACTATAGGCATAGGCACGGAGGATGATGTCGAAACCAGACAGTTCTTCATCATTCTGAAATCAATTTGGAAGTCTTCAGCACTCCCTCAGCATAAACAACAAAATTCGGATTTTCAAAACAAATGTTAAGTCAGTCAGTTCTCCTATCTGGGTCAGAAAATTGATACGTGCGTCACTAAAAGCACTTTATGAACATCTGTCCGCTCTGTTGACTCTATTCTGAAAATGAAATGGCCGACCAGAAATAATTAGTAACAAGAAATTTTGAGGATGAACCAATCGAGAATCTATTGCCCAAAAGAAATGCTGATGGACTAGAAATATGCTGAAGAGATCGTTGTGTGACATCGTACACTATCCCATTCCCTGAGTGGAACCTCAAAAGCAAACAACGAGCTGGATGTAGGTTTGAGGGTGACATGAAGAAGATGAGAGACTATGGACAATCGCAGAGCTAGCCATTTGTAGAGGACCACAGAGAATAGTACAAAGTAGAGATATGCTGTTGAACACCTATGTTGTCCCACTCGGAACCCAAGGGAGTAATAATAATAAACGTGGCAGATAGTTTATTATTCTGTTGCCATTATTAATAATATTATTATGCTCTGTGAATTTATGTGCATTCCTTTTGTCATTCCTATAGATCCATTAAATGATTGGAATGATGAATTTGGATCAGTAGATGAGTCGAAAATATTTGAAATACAAGTATGTAAACCGATCAAATATAATTCTCTTAATCTGGCCTATATATATATCATTCTTAGAAGGTTTTATTACGAGTAATTCCATGTTAGACATGTTTATTTGAAATATCATACTGTTATGAAATAAACTTTGTGAAGTACGCTGATGATTTAACAGTTTCAATGGCTGTTAACTCCCAGCTAGATTGTACCAAAATAAATAACTTTCTGTCGGAAGTCAGTAAATGGTCTGAGTCTAACGGTCTTAAACTGAATCCTTCTAAATGTCAAACTGTTAATTTCAGCTGTAAAGATGTAAACGATAGTTAAAAGAAGCCGTCGATTCTCATGACAGTTGTAAGATTGACGACAATGATATAGTGATTAAATCAGAAATTAAGTATCTTGGACTTATTCTCTCTTCTGATCTCTCCTGGTCTTCCCATGTCTCAGCGATTTCCAGTAAAATATTCCGCCTGACATTTTACATTCAGAAGTTAAGGCACTCGGGTATAACTCAACCCCTTCTCTTACAGTTCATAAACTCTTGCATCCTACCTATTCTTCTTTATTGTTCACCCTTATTCTTTCCTGGTTTGCTTAAAAAAGACTACGTCACAATGCGTAGAATGCTGCAGACTGTCAGTAGGATGAGTGGTGTCCCAGTGGACTACATAGTTAACGTCGTTGTTGGTAGGCACTTGACTTCGTGCAATAAATTTGCTAAAGGGATTTTGCCTGACTTGGAGCATCCACTTCACCCTCAGCTTTCACCTTACATCTCCTCAGGTAGAACGACTAGTAACTTCAGAACGCTGTATGCTCGCATGTCTAAGTATAAAAATTCTATGATACCATACTTGACACGTATTTTACGTGATGGAAATAATGTCAGGCAAGAATTGACTAACCTTTCTTCATCTAGTAAATAAACAATCTCCTCCATCCATCTTTATATACCTTCAAGTTTCACTTATATTATTTCTATTATACTTATGGTCCTGCTGCTTCTTTGTTTACGCTCATAATTGCAAACACCAACTTATCTCTATGACTTCTGCAATCTTTCTTTTTTCCCTCACCATATCATGTAAAGAGAACATTATATTCAATATTTTTAAACATGCTAGGATTTCTATACCGCATCGACAATACTGTGTGAAACAAGCCCACAGCAATTTCCACTTGTATTATTATCATTACCTTAGCTGCTATCATTATTATTATTTCCATTTTATATGCTGCATGTTTTTGTTTTTTGACATTACCCCTATTGTAAATGTGGAAAAATTTTCTGTGTGATTAATTTTATTTATAATTTGAGGAAATTAGATGCAATTGTGTGATTAATGCTGAAAATTCCATTCTTTATCACAGGTACTGTTTTTGGAATAAAGTAAATCATTATTATTATTGTTATGCAGTAATAATAACTGGATGACGTTTCCAACACCAATTATTGCCACTCATAATCATCATATCAATTTAGTCACGTGGCTTCACAATTTGTCTTGCGCGTGTATCTTCTCTCTATCTGTCTCCGTCTCTCTCCACCTTCCCTTAGTTGTTCGTTGACACTTTCCATATCTCCGGCACACGCGTTGCATCATTTCGATTGTACATGTGCACCGTGTTGAATCGATATACAAAGATTCAGTCATTAACCCCTCTATCTTACATGCAGTAACACACAACCATACAATAGGATGGGATAGAATGACAGTTTTAAAATCTAATGTCACAGGGTATAGGGAGAGATTGATATTAGAAGCTTCGTTTATCGAATCGACTGAAGAGAGTACGTGTAATAGGAATGATTCAACACCTGTCCACCCAGATATCTGGAAAATTCTATTACAAACCCTACAACGACAAATGGGAGAGAAGAAAGAAAACTATAAAACTGAAGTTTCAAAGTCGTGTGATTACAATTGATATGATCATGAACAATAAATTTTGTTCGAAACCTCATCCAGTAAATAATACTATTACATTCAGTGTGTGATACATCTCATGGACAAACTAATATGGAATTATTTTGTAAGTTACATAAAAATTTTCTGAATTGGATATGCATCTGCCTACTACTTAAGAATCTTTTCAGTAGTATATTCCACGAATATATATCTTTTTTGTCTTTCTCTAGGACGATGATTTAAATCTCAATGACGAAGATGAAGAAGTAGGCGCTGATGGAGCTTCATTGAAAAGTCATACAGAATCGAAGCATTCCTTATCGAATTCATCTACACAAAAAGCATCACAATTCTATGGTTTTAGTGTATGGTCATTGAAACCGGCTGCTTTAGCCCGTAGTATCCAGTTTTCTGAAGATGATGCTCGTGTACTTGCTGAGCAGTATGTGATATTTATTATTATTATTATTATTATTATTATTACTATTGACTTAATTCTCATACGTTTATCTTGAATTGCTTTTATTCTGTCTATCACTGTTCATTATTTGATTGCATGGAAGATTTCATCATGAGCGGACATCTGTTAGAGAACCAACGGAAAACCTGACAGGGAGTACTGGACGGTTGTTTCGTCCTAGTTTGGGACTCTTCATCAGTATTCACCCACCGGGATTCGAACCCGGGACCTTCCGGTTACAAGGCGAGCTCGTAGAACATTGAGCCACTGGGACCCGATCCAATGGCCAGCGCATGAATTCTAACTTCTGCCGATTCACGACATAGCGTGACCATTTCGCAATGTCTTCTTCGATGAGTTACTGCCTCATCTTCAACCTCCTGTACCCTACTGGTCATGGTTTCCCACTAGAACCCCAGGTTAACTGCCTGAATAGGGCCAGTCGCTAGTGAGCATCAGATTAATTTTCAAGCATCGGTTTTGTAAGGATTTTTGTTTGATTGCATGGAGGATTTTATCATGAGCTGACATCATTGAGAGAACCATTGTGTTCGTGGTAGAATAGTGAAGTTTCCCTGTCGGTGCATGGCATTCACTCTCAAAGCATCCAATGATTTTGATTTGATTGATATCTTCATCCTTGTTGTCGCCTGTAGTAGAAAGGATCCTGCTTAGACAAGTGGAGGAAGTGACCCCGTTGAGATTTCCTCCATTGATAGTGATTTGTGCTTGTTGTTGTTGGTGGTGGTGATGGTTGTTCATCTTATACTCCTCCGTATTCTCCATGTTCACTCGAAGCCCTGTCTTCTCTGGCTGTTTCTTCCTCCAGCTTGTTGGTTTTCGCCTGTAAGTAAGTCTTCGAGTATGTGTGGCATTAGGTATAAACTAGTCGGTGAAATCTATATCTTTTAGATTCTTCTAATCGGTCAGTCCAACGCATTTCTGTCTTCTCACTCCCGGTGTACAGTTTGACGCATAATCCGGTTCACCACAATTAGGAATATCATCGGTCATGATAGGGAGCCAGCTTGTATTACTTCTATTGGAAGAGGAAGAATAAGAAGAGACCAGCGGAGACAAAACTTCAAGTGAGCATAGAGAAGACAGAGGAGGTAAAGATACCCAACAAACTAACAAAATCAACAAGCGCCAATCACCATCAATGGGAGAGATTTGAATGAGGTTCCTTCCTTCACTTGTCTTGCCAGGAAGCATGGCTTCAACCGCAGGCTGGCGGAACGGATGAAGATGTCAAAGCTAGCCATTCAAAGAGGATCGGAAAGGCGAGATACACCCTTATCAACCTGAAACCAGTTTGGAAATCTTCCGCTTCACTCACTCAGCCAGCATAAGCAACCAGATTCGGATTGTATTCAACACAAATGTGAAGTCAGTCAATCAGTTAGTTCTTCTATATGGGTCAGAAACTTACACTGTGGGTGCATCACGAAAAGGATTTTCAGCAAGTTACAGACTCTTATTAACAACTGCCCGATTCGCCGGCTCCATACTGAAGATCAAATGGTCAGTCGGTTGGCCAGAAAAAATCAGCAGCCAGAAACTCTGGGAGGGGACGAACCAACTAAGACCCGATTGCTCAACAAATATGTAAGAGAAAGTGGAAATGGATTGGGCATATTTTCAGGACAAAACCGTCGAATGATATCGCGCTCAATGCAGGCTATCGCTCGACGGGGGAGGGTCGTCAGTGCAAGGGTGACATGGAGGAGATCGTGTGGGGAAAAGGAGATGATAGATTATGGGAAATCGTGTAGCTAGCCAGATAACGAGGACAGCGGAAAATAGAAGAAAGTGGAAATGTGCGGTTGAAGCTCTATGTTCCACTTGGAACCCAAGGGAATAATAATAATAAGTCAATTCTGGATGAATTATCGAAGTCTATTGGTGGTGAGCTAACTTCTTGAAGCTGGAGAAGCTAATGCATCTCATCTCATCTTCTCTGTGCCTTTTCCTTAACACCCCACTCTGCTTTGTTTTTCTTCTCACCAACAATACAGTCTATCAACTCAACAGCTACCTGGTCTATCACCATTGGATCAAATGTATTTACTTGGCATAGCTGATTTAATGGCTAAAACACATTCAGATATTACTGATTGTTTGTCAGTAGGCAGTTCTACGAGACGTGATAGTAAACAGCATGCATCATCATTACCAAAACAAGCATCAGTTAAAGATAGTTCCACTAAACAAGGTTAGTTATTTTATGTATCATTCTTTATTTTTTTATTTATACTACTTATTTTCATTGTATTTGTAGGATTTTTTTAATATATGCCGAAATAAATGGATTGGATGTGCTCTGAGGAGAATGATGAGTGATACAACTCTCCAGACAGACTGTGTAGTGGAACCTGAGTGGCACAAGACGAATTCTACAAATGTCCTAGGGGAACACATGGAGGAGATTGTGTGGGCAGTTGGTATGGGCATCTGAAATGGAGTGCAGGAAATAGAGTGAAGATGAAAATGTGCTGTTGAGGCGCTACGTTCCACTTAGAAACCAAAAGAAATATTAATAATAATATTATAAGGTGGATCTCATGAACTGGCATCAGTCAGGGGGTCCTTGGAAATCAGGGAGTCCCAGTCGAATGCTCTAATCTCTTTTAGAAATGACTCTGCAATATTACACCCCCAATCGTTCGGGAATGGAATCCGGTACCCCTCCTTGACGGTTGGGATCTCTGTTCTACTTCTCTTTCTCCACGAATTTTATTTATCTAGTAACACACGAAGTAATCCATGCTGAAAATTCCATACTTGTACTAAAAATACGGTGTGGCATCAAGCTGTAATCAAAAATAAAAAATAAATAATCCGGAAACTACTCAAGTACTACGGCGTACCCCAAATATCCATCAACCTTATTCAACAGCTGTATGACAACGGCACATGTCAAGTGATCCACAACGGAAAACTCACCGAGGCTTTTGGAGTAAACACAGGAGTCAGACAATGGTGCTAATTATCACCAATGATATTCCTCATTGTGGTGGACTGGATTATGCGTCAGACAGTGGGAGACGAGAAGACAGAGATATCCTGGACCGACTTGAAGAACCTAGAAGACCTGGATTTTGCGGATGATTTATGTTTGATGTCACACAAAATCGAAGACTTACAAGCAAAAACCGACAAACTGGTCGAAGAGGCTGGCAGCAAAGACAGGACTCCAGGTGAACATAGACAAGACGGAGGTTATGAAAATAACCAGCCAGCAACAACAACAACAACAGCAACATCCAGTGCCAATCACCATCAACGGGAAGGATTTGAAAGAGGTTACTTCATTCATTCACTTATCTAGGGAGCATTGTCTCAACTACAGGAGGAACGGACGGGCGAGGATGTCAAATCGAGAATCGAGAAGGCGAGAAACACATTCATCAACCTGAAACCAATCTGGAAATCTTCGTCACTCAGCATTAACAACAAAATTCGGATTTTCAATACAAACGTCAAGTGAGTCAGTTCTTCTATAAGGATCAGAAACTTGGTGGGTCACAAAGAATATTTCCAACAGCCTGTTGCAGACCTTTATCAACGACAACTGTCTTCCCTCTATACTGAAGATCAGATGGCCGCCGGAAACAATCACCAACAAGAAACTATGGGAACGAACGAAACAAGAACCAATCGCCCAACAAATATGCAGGAGAGAGTGGATATGGATTGGACACTGGCTGAGGAGGCCGCTGAGTGACATCGCGCGTCAGGCCCTCGAGTGGAACCCGAAAAGGAAGCGGTGAGTGGGACGTCGAAAGGTGACATGGAGGAGATCGTGTGAAGAAGAGTTGAAACAGTATGGACTAACATGGATGCAGGTGAAAAGTACAGCAGAAGACAGAAACAAGTGGAGACGTGTAGTTGACGCCCTATGTTCCACTAGGAACCCAAGGGAACAATAATAATTATGATAATCAGAGCGACTGAATTTAGCCCTATACAATAACTTTAAAGGTTAAATAACTTAAAGCTGAATGACCTGATTCAATGAAGCGTTTTCATCGATTGAAGACGTCATTATCTTATGCTCACCATTTATCATTAGTCAGTAATCATCATCATGACAATATTATAATGGTCAGGTTGGGATTCCTAACTGTCATCCAAGCGGTCTTAGTTAAACAAAGGGACGAAAAGTTGTCCAATGAGAGAGATTATTTCCAGACCACAACGTAAACTACTCAATCCAGATTTAAGGAATAAACCATTTTACCTTTGCAGTTATTGATCTAAAATGTTAGTTTAATTTTTTTTTCTAGCCACTTTCTATTAATCTGCATCTGTATAGCACACATATATATCATATAAAACATCTTCCCATTTTTTTTCAAGGCTTAGATGAATGCGGTCTACGATTCCTCTTGACTGTTCAACTTTACTCGTATTTGAGTAAAACACTCCCGCCGGCTCGTAGAGCTCAACTCCTTGTAAGTGTTGTTAGTCATTATTGTTTTTTATCATGATAAGTATTTTGAAGAATGTTCTTAGTCAATTCCCTTTGATTTAGTCTTACTAAAGTAGTTAGGAATAATTTCAATCAATTGAATTGTCTCCTTTGAAATGGGGGGGGGGCATTGAATAGGTATGAATTTGAGCTTGTGGTATAGTCTTGAACTACTTTGAAATGCATTATTTTACCCTAGTGAATCAATATAGACATTCAAAGGTTACATACTATTATTATTGTTATTTTATTCCTTCACATTCCTAGTGGAACGTAGGGGTTCAAGCTAGAGCTTTGAAGTTTCGGTAGCAATGGTTTTAGTTATTTTTACACGTTAGAGTTGTTAACCTCACGCCCATCAACATTCCTTTTCTACCAATCTATACTACCGACTTAGTGGGGTTTAGGAGTGCATTGGGAACCGAGTTTTGAACCATGAACCACGTGAGGCGTGGTTGGCTAGTCTCCTACCGCTGAATCGCCGATGCACGTTGTGATATATCAATGGAGAAGTCGAAATCTCGAAGATGATTATCAATGAAAGAAATTGTGGCAGCTTAGTAATGTTTTGGTGGGCGAATTAATTAGTGAACAATGAGTGGGTCGTGGATTCGAACCTACAAGTATTTGGAGGCAATCAAGTAGTATCAATAGCTTTTTTACAACATTTTTTTCCTTCACGTTCCCCAGTGGAACATAGGGCTTCAAGCTAGTGGCTTGAAGTTTCTGTAGCAGTGTTTATTTTAGAGGATGAGGTTGCTAGCCTCATGCCTAACCTTTCCTCTTTACCAGCATTATTTCTGGCTTAACGAGGCAAAGGAGTGCGTCGGCTAGGGATCGAACCCCGGACCACGTGCATGGTCGGCCAGCGTCCTAACCGCTATGCCATCGACGCATACAACATGATATATATATATCGATAACTACCAGGTGATCGGTTACAGGGTTTCGTCATAATCTGACATCGGTTAGAGAACACTGAAAAACCTGGGACCACTGGATAACCAACCGTTTCGCTCTAGTTTGGGTCTCTTCGTCATTGGTCACCCACTGCCAGAGTTCGAACCCAGTAGCTTCCAATTACAAGGCGAGGTCGTTGATTGGAACCCGACCCAATGGACAGCCCATGAATTCCAACTTCTGTCAATTCACTCACGATATAGCGCGACTGGCACTAGCCAATGTCATCCGTGACGAGTATTTATCCTCATACATGACGTGCTGTACCCCACTGGTCACGACTTCTCACTGGAACCGAGAAAGGTAGTTACCTTTCTGATGAAGAGTCTCAAACTAGGACGAAACAGCCGCTTGACAGTACTCCAAGTTTTTCCAATGGTTTTTTAACCGATGACAGCTCATGATGATGATCATGGTTTCTTGAGTTAGCAAGACATCAAAAAACAATACGGTGTTGTCTTCTGTCGCGTACGTGAACTCAATTTCTGCGTAAACAAGCCATATTGAAAGTTTTGTAAGAAAGACCCCCGTATCGATTAAGGAGTCGTTAAGTTAGTCAGGAATTCCACATTATTGTCACACTTTGTGGACTGATAAAAGTTCCGCCTTTACAATCCTATGGAAGGTCCCACCTCAATTCCCTGAGTTTGTAATTTTGTTCGATTTCTAAGCATAACTTTGGCAGTTGTCATAGAAAAAATTCAAACTAATCTCCTTATTTAGGAGTGTATTCAATTCCTCTCCCTACTGTGGTCTTCAAACTCAACCTAGGTTGTTGCTACATTAATCTGTACGTTACAGAGGAGCCAACTTTTGGGTTGCTCCCTTCAGAATCAGGAAAACTTGAAATAAAGCAACTAAAAAGCGCAACAGGAAAGGCAGCGGCGACAACAACAAAATACCGTGGCAGTAATATCACTGTTAAATACAATTACCAAAAATGATATGAAAACCATAGACTCATTGATTTGGGTCAACTTGGATATGTAAATCCAATCATACTTAAAGTTATAGATATTAGTTAGTGTTAAACAGAGTTAGTTATCTAGGTATTAATAGTCAACAAGATTTAACCCACAGATTTAGTGTTCGAAGGTAAACAAATTACAGTAGTTTCTACAACTTCCTGTGCAAAAGCACCACAGAAATAAGAATTTTATGTAACTAAGTAAATGTAGCGCGCCAATCGACAAGCTTGCCAAGGTTTGTGATTTATGATTGTTATTATTCTGCTTACATTCTCCTTGATTTTATTTGATTCTGCTGATTGGTCTGCATTGTTTTGAAAATGTCTATGACTGATATTTTATTACGTAGTCGTGTAAAGTCCCGTAAGAATTTACCGAGAACACATTTGCTTGCATAAATCATATTGTTAGCGGCCTGCTCAAAACTTGGACTACGAAAAACTTACATCTCTATCTATTACACATATTTTCTTTCGTTCGGTTTGTTTTAATCTATTATTATATGACCTCTAGTGGTATTATCTACTATTGTGTGCTTTTACAATGTTTACAAGCCTCTCATTCGCAATTTCCTACTAAACTTTACTAACTGAACTGCCTGGTTTCAACGTAGAACTTTGGACAGGTGTGCAGCTGTTCGTGTTGTCACACTCCCTCCACGTACCACACAAAGCAAGAGAGAGAGAGAGACAGAGTTCAAAAAGAGCGAGAGAGATAATAAACAGAAGTGTAAGTGAGGGAAAAAGAATAGTAACATGGAAAAACAATATAGTTTCATTGGATATTATAAGTCACAAGGAGTGGGTGTATCTACGGCAATGAGAACGACTTTGAGCCATAATACCAATAGTGGGTCTCCAACCTTTTTTGTTTCTACTATCCCGAGGACCCCAACCAGTCAGGAAGTTTACACCTCCCTACGTGTCTGGCTGGCTTAAACTAACTATTTTGGATTTCATTGACCGATGAAACCACGTTTTGTTTTGACCACCACTAGCTCTTTTCCAATCTGATAGTATGTCAGTTAATATTGCCCATCGAGAAAGGGGGTGGCTAGGCATACATAACACATGTCCTAACCATCTCATTCAGTGTAATTTCACAGCCTCGTCGATTGATTTCCCCTCCCATCTACTTAGCAGTCGACCGATACCTAACCTCAATATTGCTCATCTTATTATACCACCTAACACACACGGGGGATAGAACGCAGACACCTATGATCAAAGACAGCTAGCCGGCCTTTTCATGTCTTCCAATTAAGGAAAGGCTTTGTTGTGGACGGTAACGTGTTCTGGCACATGAGGTAACTGTTCTTCTGTTATGTGTGTCCTTGGGTGTCAACATGTACTTCTGAACACCTGAACATTTTACAATTGGCTTTCAACCAGATATCATGGATTTCTTGAAAGAGATAAAGCAGATTTTTCACTTAATGGAATGCTTTGTGCTTCATCAGCTCAGAGCGCATTGTGTGTCACAGGATATACTTACATCAGTTAATATTCTAACTCAAAGATATCGTACGAAGGGAAAATGTCATGCAGGAACCTCCTCTGAAGGTTCTGTACACCAGGAAACAGTACTTGAGACAAAAAAACGAAGTAACAATAAATTCATCCTAAAATGTTTTACTGTTTCTTTTTAATCGATCTGTGACTTGTAATGTAAAGAGATGTGTAAATGTACTACTTTTATTTGTCTCTTTTCGTTTGCTCTAATGCCTTATAATGACGTTGATGATGATTTCACTATGTGATCCGCTCTCATTGTGTTACTTACTCTCTTTCACTTCTTTTGTGTGTGTCAAATATCATTTCAGTCGTCTGGTTTAACTAATTCTAGTCTTGTTTGGGCGTATCATTCTGATTCACAAGAAGAGTTGTTATCACGTTTACCAATTGCTGCTACAACCTCAACTACTACTACTACTACTGCAGGCGGTGTGAGTAGTATAGATGCTTTAGAGTTAAATTGGCCTGATTTTAAACGATATGGTTGTGGTTGGTGGATTCGAAGTGAAAGTCTACTTATCCGATGTGCTGAAAAGGTAAATTTATGCTTAGTGTGTTCTTTATGTTTCTTTTGTTGTTTTTCCCTCTATGTTTTAAATAAGAGTTAAAACGTTTCTTTTGCCTACGTGGCTGGTTCAAATTAACCAGTAAAGATTTCATGTATTTAATAGTGTGAAATACTCCTATATCATGAATTAAACGTCATTATGAACGAAGAGTGTTCTTTTCAATAATTTCTCGTCTTCAGGTTCTTACAATTTTAAAATAATTATAATATTTGTTGTCGTTACAATAATGCGAGCCAGTTAGTTATGTGGTGGATACGTTTTTTATTTACGTAGAATAACAGATTAGTTATGGGGTGTCAAAATAAATAGTCGTATTTGTATGACAAACGTCCTAGGTTAAAATCGATTGTGAAATATCGTAAAATGGTGGGGGAAACGATGGATGATGATTAGTCATAATAGATTTGTAGAATGTTGTGGGGTAGATAATAAAGGTGTCAAGTGAAGTGGCTAGTACAAAGTGGTCTGTTATTCAACGTAAAAGATGTATCCACCGCATAACTGGCTATCATTTTTGTAACGACAACAAATATTATAATTGTTTTATAATTATATATGTCCAAACCAAGTTCACTTTTAACAGTTTGAAAAAACTTTTGGGCATTGGGTATATGATATTCATTATAATAATGGTTTTTGTATTTCGAAATGATTGAAAAACAAAACGATATTGTCGTTTTTACTGACGTCTCGCTATTTAATGCTAATAGCTTTATCAAAGTATTATTAAACCGGAATTTACAAAATCTCAGCATATATATAACAAAGAGTTAAGAGGTGAGAAAATAGACAAGTTAGGTCAAGTTAAAAGGGCATATTGAAAGTAAAATTAGCAATGAAGATCACTAAACCAAATAACAGAGGTAATAGTACATCTGTTATGGTATCGAAACAAGGTTTACTAACTTGATCATCGTTTGTTAGTCTGGGGTCATTTTTCGTTGTCAAGTTGGTCAATTGGTAAAGATAAAAAAACCAACTGTAGATTGCTGGATTTGATCAGTGTGTAAAAATATAAAAGCAGCGTGTGTTTATTTAATGATATTGCTTATCACATTCGTGTTGATTTTGTCACTTCATGGGTTAGTGGTGTTGTAACCAGGTCAGATTCTGTTTTAGTCCATCATTCCTATTCAGACAAATCATAAAGAACGTCTAATATTAGAAGCACTTCATATCAAGCGGAATCCAAATTGTCTGAATAGGAATGATGGACTAAAACAGAATCTGACCTGGTTACAACACCCCCCTCCCCCATCAAGTGACAAAACCAACACGAATGTGATATGCAAGTTCACTATGTAAACACACGCTGCTTTCATAATTTTACACACTGATCAAATCCAACAATCCAGACTTGATTTTGTTATCTTTACCAATTGACCAACTTGACAACTAAAAAATGCCCCCAGACAGACGAACGATGATCAAGTTAGTAAACTTTGTTTTGATATCATAACAGATGTACTATTACCTTTGTTATTTAGTTTAGTGATGTTCATTGTTATGTTGACTTTCAATATATCCTTTTAACTTGACCTAACTTGTCTATTTTCTCACCTCTTAACTCTTTGTTATATATATGCTGAGATTTTGTAAATTCCGGTTTAATAATACTTTGATAAAGCTATTAGCATTAAATAGCGAGACGTCAGTAAAAGCGACAATATCGTTTTGTTTTTCATTCATTGGGAAATACAAAAACCCTTATCATAATTGTTTTATAATTGTAAGAACCTGAAGAGAAATTCCTGAAAGGAATATTCTTCGTTCAGATTGACGTTTAATTTCATGTAATAATTCCAAGCTTTTGTTTTACCACCACTTGCTCTTTTCCAACCTGATCAATCCTATGTTAGTTAACATTTTCTGTCAAGGAAGGCGCTGGTTAGGAATGCCTAACACTTGTCCTAACCATGTCAATCCAATGTTATTTCACAACCTCATCAACTGATTTTCCCTCCCTGCCTAACCCCAATATCCCTCACTGTATTATACTATGTAACACGGGAGATAGAATGCAGACATTTATGATAAAAGACAGTTAACCGGCCTTTTCATGTCTTCCACTTTCAGTGGCCATCTGTTACAACCGTAAAGGAGGACAGGGTCAATACTTCTTTTGATTGACAGCCAGCTGGATATCCCGTCTACGTGAGCGATGGTGCAGGATGGCTAATCCCACACCACCCTTTTTTATCGATGTTGAGATTTCGTCAGTGATCAACCCGTTAGGAGTGACGTAGCTACACTCTACCACTTCACTCCTGCCTATATTTAAGCTAAAAATCGACGTATTCCAGTCTTCTAGTATCATCTGAAAGGAGCAAATCGCATTCCAAGCATTCGCAGTTCACTGCTCCTTGAGGTGTGTTCAGAAGACTCTGCATTTTTTCAGCGTTTTCACGTAGTATGAATCTAACACAACTGTGAATATATTTTTCAATCAACGTATGTCCAAAACCTCACTATTTCAAAAGTGAATAATTTCTTGTTCATTTATAAGCGAATCATTAAGTTGTTCAAATTCCTGTCTTGTTTTATTTTATCTTGTAGATGGCGCGTACCGCATTTCAAACCACCAAAGATCCTATGGATGCTGCTGTTTTCTACTTAGCTATGCGTAAAGCGAAAATGGTAGCTGCATTGTTCAAGTAAGCTTGCATGCACATCCAATTTAAACATGTTCAACATGTAATTAAATGACTCTTGGAAGTTCGGTCACTAGTTTTTGAAGTGTAGGCTACTTCTTCTTTTTCTTCTGACAGATTCTTCTCCTCTTTTTGTTATTGTGAAGCACTGAGATATTGGTAATAGGTAATTTCGTTCGCCTTTTGTAGGTGAAGTACAAGCTTCCTAAATGAGCATTGTTGAAGTCACTCAAAATTGAATTATGACATCGATATTTATCGTAGAAAATGAAGGTTTCATTGTTTGGAGGATTTCATCATGAACTGACATCAGTTAGAGAACCATTGGAAAACCTGGGAGTACTGGACAGCTGTCTCGTCAGCCTAGTTTTGGACTCTGCCTCAGCAGTACGCACCCACCACAGGGGTTCGAACCCAAGACCTCCTGGTTACCAGGCTAGCGAGCTCGTAGGCCATTAAGCCACTGGGACCGGATCTAATGACCAGCCCATGAATCTTAACATCTAACAATTCATGACATAGCGCGACTAGTGGCCTAATGGTCTACGAGCTCACTACCCTCGTAACCAGAAGATCCTGCGTCCGAACCTCTGTGGTGGGTGCGTACTACTGAGGCAGAGTCCAAACCTAGGCTGACGAGGCAGCTGTACAGTACTTCCTGGCAGGTTTTTCCAATGTTTCTCTAACTGATGTCAGCTCATGATGAAATCCTCCAACCAATCAAACAAAATCCCTACAAAACCAATACTTGAAAATAAAGATTTCACCCATGAAATGATACAATTTTGGTTGAAAGCTCTGAGTCTTAGGGGGTGGGGAACACTAGCACTTACTGAGGCTTGCAGGTACATCTTATTGACGAGTCCTATTTGCGACAAACTGCTCATCAGGGATTCGACTGCCAGTCGCTATCAACCAGCAGGTACCAGGTGCTGACACATTAACTGACACTGAGCATTTCAATCGAGCAGTAATCATACAACCGGTTCCTCTAATTAATTTTGATAAAGACCCTCAATGGTTGACTGTTTACAGTTTCTCTTTGCGTACAGTATTGATATCCGCCTATCCGCACTGAGGATGTTCGGAGACCATTGCCACTTACACAGAACAGTGTGCAAATGGTGTCATTATAAAGTAATCATTTCTGATGTACAATAGTGTGCGTTTTAGACATTGGTGGAAATTGTTGTGCGGTAATTGGTTTTCTTTATCTGGATACTGACTTTCATGGCTTGGACATAACATGTACTATGCATGTAATCCCAGCAGCTCCCATACTGTTCACTATTTGCCCTAGCTCTTTGAATGTTTAGAAGAAGTGGAGAAGTGTTTAGCACATAACAACGTTGTGACCCTGTGAGATAAAGGATACTTGTGTTAGATTGGAACCTTTTGATGCATCACGACATTCTCAGTGGAGTTTGAAGGATAATCCGAATCAGTGTTTCAGAACGTTATTCTATATGGCTAGGAGTCGCAATCAATGGCGTATAGGCGTCAGGTCTGAAGAGATCAGGACAATGTAGAGGTGTGGTGTATAAGCCCTATGTGACATTCGGAACCCAAGGGAACAATAATATAATGAAAATTTAATCTGCTTGATGCTATACATGGTAATCAAGAAAGCGAAAAAATTTGAAAAAAGCTATATACTACTGTTTGATCGGAATGAGTAGTTGGATATTACCAATGGGAGAAACGGCCGTCCGACGTTTAGACCACCTACATCTGACTATCTGATATATATATATATATATATATATATATATATATATATATGACTGGTATACAAAACTGCTTATCTCAAATCAATCAGTAGTCTATGGTTTTATATCTGTTTTCTTCTCTTTCTAAAAGTAATGCGAAGTGATATTATTATTATTATTGTTTCCTTCAATTCCTAGAGGAACATAGGGCTTCAGCCACGCGTATCCATTGCGTTCGGTTCTCTGCTAGAGTCTTCACCTGGCTCCAGGTCTGTGCACACATTTTTATCTCCTCTTCACATGACCTCCTCCAAGTCATGCTTGCACTGACGACCAACTCGCCGCTTGGCTTTCGGCCGGGTTCCACTCGAGCGGTGTCTTGTCTAGTGATGTCACTCACTTGATGGTTTCCTCAGAGTATAGCCAATCCATCTCCATTTCTTTCTGCCTATTTGTTTCACACTCGGTTCCTGGTTGGTTTGCTCCCAGAGATCTCTGTTGCTGATCTCTTCTGGCCGGCCATCTGATCTTGAGTATTGAGCGAAGACAACTGTTAATGAAGGTCTGTAGTTTGTTTGAGATGCTCTTTATGACGCGCAGTGCAAGTCTCTGATCCGTATGGTAAGTAGCACTGACTGACTTCACATTGGAGTTGAATGCTGTTGATCTCCACACAGACTTGAGAGTAGTGAAAGCTTGTCCTGCTTTGCCGATCCTTGCTATGATATCGTCGTCACTTCCACCCGTAGTTAAAATGATGCTTCCCAAGTAGGTAAAGGAGGTTGGAGGCTGTCAACAGATAGCCTTGTCGGGACTTAGGTTTCTTGCTAGTTGGCACTTACCAGTCAGTCAGCAAGCCGTATCTGCAATCACCTTGAAGGAATACATGTCCTCTGTCTGAGATTTGAACCGGCGTCACCCAGTGCTGTCTTTACAGTCAGAGACGTTACCCCTGAGCTATTCTTTATGATTGTATTGGTTGCAGATACGCCTTGCTGACTGATGAGTGCCAACTAGCATGACACCTAGGTCAATTAAGGCTTCCTTCCGGTTGTCTTCAACCATCCAACATCAACTATTCAAAGTTCACCGTAATGATGGAGAGCCACCTAGTGGATTATAGTGGCCACATTGCAAACGTGACTGACTGATAGAATTCAGTCTGCACTAAACAAACAAAGTAGTACATACATATTACACTAGTTAGTAACTAGTGTCCAGTCAGATTTTCTATTACTTTATGATTGATTCATTCGAACTTATTTTTCATCCATCGGTGTTTCTATTTTTCTATTAACATGTAAAATATCTTCACAGGTAATCACTTTGTTTAGAAATGTGTGTACTCATCACATCATGTTTTTTTTTTTAAAATTTTAATTGGAATTATGCAAATTTATTTCAAGATTTACATAACATTTTTTCGATATTAAAGCGTAATTCAATAAAGTGACCACAAGCAATGATAAGAATGCGAGGTAATCAGTACATCCAGACAGTCGAATCATGTGCTTTGTGCCATCTAAGTGCAAAGTAATGTCGTCAAATTGGCAGGAGCCTGTACGTGCACTCACCCTTGCAGGTGGACATTAAGAGATTCTCTGCTTTTGACCACATGTTTACGATCTCTTTCTCGCGTTAGGTGGTATAATAAGGTAAGTAATGTTGACGTTAGGCGTAGAGTGTTGGGCAAAGACGGAAAATCACTCGAAGAGGCTATGAAGTTATATAGATTGAGATGGTTAGGTCACGTGCTGCGCATGCCTAGCCGTCGTCTCCCCCAACGGACGGGCATTACTAGCTAATTATAGGTGCAGGTTGGAGGAAAAGAGTAAGTGGTGGCCAAACAAAAACATGGCCTCATCAATCCATGAAATCCCTGACAGTTAAACTGAGTCAGGTAGGGAGATGCAGACTTCCGGGTTGGCGCCCGCCCTCGGGACTCTAAGAATCAATGGCTGGAGACAATGGGTGACATGGCTCAAAATCGTTGTCAATGGCTTACTCAGATGTATTCAGTCTCTGTAATCTTTCATATTCCTTTCTACTATTACTCATTCTGTTTCACTCTTATATTTATCTAAATTCTATTGATTCTCTTCTCTCATTTTCTTGTCTACCTTTTTGTGCTATTTGGAACGTGGCAAGTGGAACTGCTGCACTTCGGTTCCAAGTTCTATGTTGAATCCAGCAGCAGCAGCCTTGCAGGTGGAATTGCTTGAAAGTTGTCGATAAATTCGTGTATCTCATTAGTTGTGTGAGTGCTGGTGGTGTGACATACGGGATTTTTATCCGTATAGTGAAAGCTAGGGTAGCTGTCAGTGATATCGGGTGTACAGCGCAATTGTGCTCTACGTCTGTGAAACTTGGCCTCTGCGAGCTGAGGATGTGTGACACGGCAACTTTGCGTATTCGATCACCACTTTCCGTGGAATTGATTGCGTTTGATGGAATCATCCTGTGAGTAATTCTGAGTCCCGATAGCGTGTGTCCCTAGACACATTGTGGAGGTCACCACCCATTAAGTGTCGTCATCTGGGGAAACACCGCCTTCGGTGGCTTTGGTGAACATGTGCTATGAATGTCATCCCAGAGGCCTCCGTACATTTCTGTGTTAGCCAGACCTGCAACTGAATAGAAAAAGCAGAGAGATGGTCAGTCTTATAACTTTGAGTATAATGGGTTGGTACATCATGACTCCTTGCTTGGTAGCCGAAAGTTAGTTAGGTTCAGTGGCTCAATATATAATGAGATATAGCTAAGAATCTCAATGAATGGCGAACATGCCGCTAACTTCCTCCTCTCCTCCCTTAGTGACAGTAATACGACGAATGTTGTGAAATATAGTAACTTCCTTTCTCGATGAAGTCCTTTATTTATCCTCTTCTCTTTTGCTGTATACCTTGTTGTTTTATTATTATGGTGTGGCGCATTTTCTTGGTATCCTTATTGTCCCATGCCTGTGCTTTAAATAAAACAGTAAAATAAGAGAAGCAGGAAGCTTGCCTCCTTGTTGACATTTTGTATAATACCGGTAAGTTTCGTGTCAACCATTGTCTCCAGCCATTGGTTCTCAGAATCCCAAGGACTCCAACAAGTCTGGCAGTCTACACGTGCCTACCTCTCTGGCTGCCTTAAGTTAACCGTTGTGGATTTCATGGATTGATCGCATGTTTTCCCGTAGTTACCACTAGCTCTTTTTCAACCTGATGCATCCTATGTCAGCTGACATCTCCTGTCGGGGAAGGTGGTGGCTAAAGATGCATGCGTATTTTGATGTGGTTGTGTTCTCTGAGCTGGGTAGTTAATTTGCGAAGCTTTCATCACCCTACTAGTCGACATCTTCAGCGCATACTTCAATTTGAACTGAAGTGAGCTTTTAGATTTCTCCACGAGTTTATTAATCATCTCTCCTGGTCGGTTACCTTGGATGTGATTGGTTGTTTTTGTGTGTTTTCACACCTTCTAGGCTACTTGTATTGGAACTGATTGTTTCTTTGACTTGGACTTTGACCCTTTGTGTGTGAGGTTTTTTCTTATCGGTTGGTAAATTTTGTCAATCTCGATGTGTCTATTGATTGATGATTCACTGGAATACCAGGCGGGTTTCTAAAAATTCTCTAGCATTCTTGTTGTTCCCTCTGTCTAATATTTGAATGTTGTCCCAGTCGAATTGATGTCAGTGGTTGTCTGTATGTAGTGAATGCGTAACACACATCCTAACCATTTCAATCAATGTAGCTTCACAATCTTATTGGTTGATTTACCCACTTTACGTAATACTCGAGGCCTAAACTCAATACTATTCACTCAGTTATACTACCTGACATAAACGGGAGACAGAACGGAAACACCTTTGATCTAGTCTTTCTATGTCTTCCACTTTCAATGGCCACGTCTCAGAGACATGAAGAAGGACGGAGTGAAGTACGGCTGAGTAGTACACACATCCCTTGATGGATTGCCAGTCAGATATCGCGTCTATCCCTGAGATGACGTAAGTTGACAAGTGCCACATGAGCTTTTTGTAGGCGTGCTCAAATTTCCTCAACATGATAGTAAATTAAATATATTGGTAAGGTTACTGCAAACTTTTATATGAAGGTTTATTGTGCTACGCTTGACTAAGTTACTATTAAACTAGCAGACAAAAGAAAAAAGAAGACAAATTCTCAAACTATTCTGCTTTCTGTATTTAGCAATTTATTAACTACAATTAATTTTCGAACTGGAAAATGTGATTGCATTTCGTATACTTAGGCTGCTGTCATGTCAATTCCCACTTTTACCCTATTTCATTTTTATCCAATTTCCCTTGTTACAAAAAAAACTTTAGACCAAAAAGAGGGTGTATTGATCATATCTCCACCCTTCGATAGATTCTAGAACATAGTCATGCTTATCGGCGTCCAACTATCCTCATATTTCTTGACCTACATGAAAGTGGCATTCGATTCTGTCGACCGAGAGGTACTCTGGCGATGTTTGGCTGTGAAGGAAATGCCAAGAAAATACATCGCACTGATTGAGACACTCTACTCTGTCTCATGTATGACCACCTGGCTACAGCCAGGTGAGAGCTTATGAAGAGTGGTCATATAAAGTGGGGACAACTAGTGGTGTCCGGCCGGGATGCCTACTGTCCCCATTCCTGTTTAGTTTCATCAAAGATGTACTGATCGACCTGACCCTAACTGACTTTGGCGACTCAGTGATTGACTTGTCACCATCGGGGAATAGTCCCCTTGACATAGAATATGCAGACGACATAGTCCTGCTACGTGAAGACGGTGACAAACTGCAGAGTCTTCTGAACATCTTGAGCTGCAATCTTCGAATGTTAAGCATGCGATTCGCTCCCGTCAAATGCAAGATGATACTACTGGACTGGACTACACCAAATCCTAGCTTAAAGATACGGAGGAAGTGAAGTGATAGAGCGTGCTCACCACTTGACTTATTTAAGAAGTTCACTCAAGTCCACCGGGTTGATATCTGGTTTGGCATTTGCCAACTGACGCCTTTTCTGGCTTAGTTGACATGATGTCTGACTGCCTACTGATCAAAGGCCAGATGTACTGCTTAGCAGCAGTTCACAGTGCCCTCCTTTATGACTGCGAGACTTAGCCATTGAAAGTGGAAAAAGCATGAAAAGCCTAGCTCTTTTTGATCATTGGCGACTGCGTTTTATCTCCCGTGTGAAGTGGTATATAAGGGTAAGCAATATTGATGTTAGGCGTCGAGTGCTAGGTAGATGGGAGGGGAAATCAACTGACGAAGTTGTGAAGTTACATCGATCGAGATGATTAGGACACATATGACTTGGCATTTCCTTCCTCGACGATAGGTAATGTTAACTGATATAAGATTTGTCAGGTTGGAAAAGAGCTAGTGGTGGTTGAAACAAAACATACCTTCATCAGTCAATGAAATCCACAACAGTTAGTTTTAGCCGTGTAGGAAGGTGTAGACTTCCTGGGACGCTAAAAACCAATGGCTGGAGACAATTGGTGATATGGCTCAAAATTATTATCAATGTTGGCGGAGATACATCCACTGTTTGGGACTTATAATGTCCAATAAAATTGTATGGTTCTTCTATATTACTATTCTTTTTGCCTTATATCTGTGTTTATTATCCGTGTTTTGCATTTCTTTTTACTTTCTTCTCTTGCTTTTTGTGCTATATGGAGGGAGTGTGGCAACTCGAACTGCTGCACATCGATGCAAAGTTCTATGTTGAAACCAGTCAGTCTGCTTGATTCCATTAAGCGGGTAACCAAGAAAGCAAACATGTTTGCATAAACTTTTATTTCTTATCTTGCTTTATTCTTCTTTTTACTTCTTTTTATCAGAACTACTGGAAATAAAACATTGGAGAATTTCTTCCGTTCAGATTTTACACCTGGTCAACCAGCTTGTCGACAAGCGAAGTTGAATGCCTTTCGTCTACTTAGTCAGCATAAATATCTTCAAGCGGCTGGATTATTTCTGTTAGCTGGATGTTTAGAGGATGCCGTGCGGGTGTGTTTAGACACTCTGAAGGACTTACAGCTAGGTGTCCTGATAGTAAGGTATGTTATTCGAGTTGTTAGTATCTTATTATTATTATTATTAGTGTTTTTAATACTCCCACTGTTGAATAATGACTTATGCTCGATAATGAAGCTCAGTCGTCTCTCATGACTGTCTGTTAGAGTTCGTCTTAGGCTCAACTAAATACACCTTTTAATTTCGATCACACACTGATATCAGTTGTAGAACCATTAAAAATCAACAGGGAGTATTGCGTACAGCTTTTTCCTTCTAGTTCAGGACTCTTCATCAGTTCGCACTTACTACCCTCCGATCACAAGTCAAGGTCGTAGACCATTCAGCCACTTTCGACCCTACTCCCCAATGGCCATCCCATGAATTCTAACTTCTATCGATTTGTAATTTTAGCTGAACTGACACCAGCCACCAGTGTTATCGGTGGAAAGTATATATCCTCATTCTTGACCTCATGGAGCCTACTAGTCACGGCTTCTCACTAGAAGCACACACTCCTTCGCACTGAATCTATCCCAGATGGAAAGATGTTTGAAAAACACCTGAAACAGAATGAGCATTAGTGTTGCATTATAACCGCCCATTTCACTACAACTCTTTGCGGTCATTCGTACACACATAGTCTGTTTCAAGTGGTTTTTAGGATTGTGTCTATATGAAATTTTTGCCTCTTCGGCTGTAACAACAGAAGACAAGGTCCAGGCAACAGATCGTTTATTGAGGAAATCAAGAGACATTTATATATTTTTATGTACATTATTATTCGTTATTATTAGCTGAGAAACAGCATCTTCTGATTGGTTGTTTTCTCGCTGAAAGTTATTCTGTCATCTCTTTGTGGATGTTTCTTTGAAGGTCAGACCATACATTTGCGAATCGTATTCGCCCACGCAAATTCTGCCGTTATTGGTTGTTGAGTTAGTCTTTGTTCTTGTTTGTTTTTTTCTCATGACCAAGATTTGGGACGTAAACATTGACGTAAATTGCTGTCTACCGATTTTGGCCAGCAGACAGGTCTCACTACACAGTTACGGAGACTGTTGCAAGACAAGTTGATATGTACAATTTTAGGGATCGATTTTCAGCAACCCATCCCCTTCTGTACAGCATAAGTGGCTTACCAATCATCCGAGGGGAACGCCTTACTGTTATGTTAGATTCTTACTCCTCAGCGCATAAGCCTTAGGTCTCAGAGGACTTTCAATATGACGGTAACTGGTTGTAGTCTGATCACTATCCTAACATTATTTTTGGCCTGATAGGACGAAACGTGCAGGAATATTCCTTCCGGCCAGTGTAACAATCACAGCTTCTCACTACAGTGTCAGAATCTCCATTTTGAAGCTTGAACTATGAGTCTTCAGAACCCTTTACCTCGGTGGTTCCATGGTAGAATGCTGACCCAGTAATAGCTGAAGTTCTGGGGGTCGATCCTCGGTCACTTCACTCTTAGTCGCCTCACCCAGTTGACTAGTAGATAGTAGGCCAAGGAAAAGGCGGTGGGGTAGATTGGGCTTATGCCTTATGACAAGCCGACTGCGTTAAAGCAACAGCACACTTACTGAAATTTCAGAAGGCGTGAAACACTTATATTTCACTGAGAAAGCAAATAATAAGGGTGAAGATTCAAAATTTTCATCATGAGCTGACATTAGTTAGAAAACCATTGGAAAACCTGGGAGTACTGGACAGCTGTTTCGTCCTAGTTTGGGACTCATGATGAAAATCCTGTAACCAATCAAATCCCTACAAACCAACACTTGAATATCAATGAGATGCACACTAGCGACTTGCCCAATTCAGGTAGGTAGTTGCCTGGGGTTCTAGTGAGAAGTCGTGACCAGTAGGGTGCAGCAGGTCGGGCGTAAGGACAAATACTCGCCGAAGACATTGGCTAGGGGTCGCGCTATGTCGTGAATTGGCAGAAGTTAGAATTCATGGGCCATTGGATCGGGTCCCAGTGGCTTAATGGTATACGAGCTGGCCTTGTAACCAGAAGGTCCTGGGTTCGAATCCCTGTGGGTGCGTACTGATGAAGAGTCCCAAACTAGGACGAAACAGCTGTCCAGTACTCCCAGCAGGTTTTCCAATGGTTCTGTAACTAATGTCAGCTCATGATGAAAATCCTGTAACCAATCAAATCCCTACAAACCAACACTTGAATATAGGGATATATCTTTAGCACCCCATCCCCTTCCGTACACAGCATAACTGACTTGCTAGTTATCTGAGGGAAACGCCTTAATACTGTATTACATTCCTATTCCCTGGCTCTCAGACAACTTTCAATATCCTATCATTATATTTGGCATGATAGGACGAGACGTGCAGGAATATTTTTTACGGTCAGTGTAGCTTGTTAAGCCAATGCGATAGGCTTTACAGCAAAATACTCAGTGCATTATAGCATATACATTTGACAGTCAACGTGCATACTTTGAGCATGTTCTGATTCATCGATATTCCTTGAGATGTTTCATTTCTACACTATGATTCTAAAGTCCAAATTTTACAATCAGGTGACTTCACTCAATTTAGCACTCATCAATTTGTATGCAGTTGGATATCTCTTGGCCCAGCTGACAGGATGCTGTACCTCAACAGTCATAACTTCTCACTACAGTGTCAGGATCTCCATATCGAAGGTTGATTAGTGAATCTTCAGAACTCTGTGCGTCATTTGTTCCAATGGTAGAATGCTAACTCAGTTCCAGGATCGATACCTGATCCATCCACTCTCAGTATTCGCCGAGTTGACTAGAGGATAGTTGACTAGGGCGGCTGGTTGAGCTTATAGCAAGCAATGCCACTTCTACTGAAAATTCAGGAAGCTTCTGAAGCCCTTATATTTCACTGAGGGAGCAAGGAATAAAGGTGAAGATTCAGAATTTGGAATTTTCGGGAGTTTGTTTAATATTGGGAGAAATTACGTCATCAATCCATACTGATTTTCCAAGTTGGGGTGTGATGATTGATACTTACTCATCGACAGTATTGGTGATATTGCCTTGAACTGAAAGAGGTTAAAATCTATAGATTGTTGAATTCTTACTCAACAGTTGGATGTTGAAATTGCTCCCTCGAACACTGTGGAGTGATCAAAATCTTTATCAACGTAATTCAACAGCTGTATATGACAATGCTACATGTCCAGTGATCCACAACAGAAAACTCAGTGAAGCCTTCGACGCGACGACAGGATTAGGACATGACTGACTACTATCATCGATGACATTCTTAATTGTGGTGGACTGGAAATATTCATCACACTGTGAGGAGCGAGAAGACAGGAACGAAACTTCGCGGATGATTTGTGTCCAATGTCACATAAATTTGTAGACTTACAGGTGAAACCAACAGGTTGGAAGAAGAGACATGCAGCAAACACAGGACTTCAGGTGAACATAGGGAAAACAGAGTTGATACAGATAACCAACCAACCAACCAGCAACAATAAGCATTAATCATTATCAACGGGATAAATTTGAAAGAGGTCACTTCCTTCACTCATGGAGAAGGTGTCGTTTCAGAAAGGCAAGACAGACCTCCAATCACTTAGCATAAAGCACGACATTCGGATTTTCAACAACAATGTTAAGCCGGTCAGTTCTTCTCTTCTATATCATTTGGAAACTTGACATTAGCGTCGCAAACAGCATCTCCAAAAGGCTACTACAGATTTGCACCAACGGCTTCATACTGAAGATCAGATGGGTGGCCAGAAAATTCAGGAACAAGAAGCTGTGGGGACAAACCAATCAAAATCCTATTACTCAACCAACAAATATACTGAGATGGGTGGGACACACGCTGAGAAGGCTGTTGGGTGACATGGAGGAGGTCGTGTGTGTTGAGGAGATGAAAAGGATTAGTAAAAATAATAACGTCATGATCCTGTATGCCTTGTTCTGTGGTTAGATGTCAGATGCGCACTGTTGAGTATTCCCTGGATGAGACGAAACAATGCTGCAGTGCTCTTAAGTTACCATTTTTTTATTCCTTCACGTTCCCAAGGAAACCTAGGGCTTCAAGCTAGAGGCTTGAAGTTTCTGTAGCATTGTTTATGTTTACAGGATGGGGTTGCTAGCCTCATGCCCAACCTTTCCTCTTTACTAGCTTTTTTAATATTGGCTCAGCAAGGTGAAGGAGTGCGTCGGCCGGGAATCGAACCCCGGACGAAGTTACCATTGGAAGTTTTTATTGTGTGATTTCGGTGTGTGAACTAAACGTATTTTAAAATACCACTTTTGCTTTGCCTATTAAATTTTACGTGTATATTTCTTTCCATTTTAGACTGTATACATCATCGTCACCGGGAATATCAGGACATACAACAGTATCTGCTTATCATGATTTCTTGAGACAACATTTAATCAAGCACGAGGATCCATTCCTTAGAAGTATGGCCTTTTGGAGTTTAGTAAGTTGACCAGTGTGTTAATCTTCAAACGTCAATCAGAATAAACAATTATTGTCCTTGAATTTATTATTCACGTAGGCATATATAGCAAAAGCTTTAAGGAAATACTGTTCACGGGCGTTTGTTGTGTCTCCGATTGAAGAATTCGGCTTCAACCGCACTTCTTTATTGTAACCTGTTCTCCGCAATCACTTTCAATTGTCTTCATGATTGTCCGTAGTCTTCTTCTTTCCTCCTCATGTTACTCCCTCCATCTTATTCTCGGGTCCACTCTTAACTCCTCGCTGTGGGTATGTCTGGCGTATGAGACGTCAACTGGAGGCCTCGTTAACATGTTTCCAATCTACTTCAATTTCCTTCTGCGGCATATTTGTTAGGTGATAGGATCTTAGTTAGTTCGTTATCCCCTACCAGAGGTCTTTGTTACCTTATCCTTCTTTGTAGGGTCATCTGGTCTTCAGTAAGGAACCAGCTAAGTGCGCTGATGTTGATAAACGTCTGCTGCAACTGTCTACATGTACTGTTGTTAATTTGGGGAGCCTGAACGCCTCACCTTTTTTAGAATCATAGGGAGTGGTTAATATTGTGAGGACGGGGTTCATTGACAGAATCATTCTTATTTCAACCAGTGAGTCGAGAGTTTGAATCCCGCTTCACCTGATGCAGCCTTAGTATCTGGGTATTATATGGCGTTGCACACACACACATACACACACGATAAATGTTGTTCATAGCCTAAAAGCGGAAAGACTTGTTTGGTAAAAACTGAGTATTGAAACAAAAAACTGGGAAACAATCCGTAGTCAAAATTAAGGTGAATCAAATCCCTGCAAAGTAACTGTTGAAAATTAATCTGATGCTCGCTATTGACTGGTTGCGGGACTAAGTTGTCTGAACTTCTGATAAGAAGTTGTGACCAGTGGAGTGCATCCAGTCGACAGTGAGGACGTTGGCTGGTCATCGCGCTAAAACCACAAGATGTTAGAAGTTAGAATTCATTGACTGGCCATTGAGGAGTCGGATGGCAGTGGCTGTAACTGTAAGGTCCTGGTTTTGAACCGATTGCAGGGAGAGCATACTTCCGACGAGTCTTAAACTAGGACGAAATAGCTGCATGCTCTACTCCCTGATGGCTTTCAGTGGTTCTCTAACTGATGTCGATCCATAGTGAAACTTGAAAACTAAAGCATGGATTGTCCAAGATACAATTTCAATAATATGAAAGTACTTCCTGATGTCTGGCGCATCACGAAAGGCATTTCAGACAGGCTACTGTAGTCCTTCATCAAAAGTTGCCGTCTTTACTCAATACTGAAGATTAGATGGCCTGCCAGGAGGGATAAGCAACAAGGAATTCTGATGACGAGTCGATCAAGAAGCCATTATCTAACAAATATGTAGAAAGAAGTGGAGATAGACTGGATACACGCGGAGGCGGTTTTTGAAAAACTTCACCCATTAAACAAGGTCCTGCAGGGGAACTCGAAGGCGAGACGATGAGTTGGATGTAGGTCTGAAAGTGACATGGTGGCGGGTGAGGGTGGTGATCGTGTGATGAGCAAACGAAAGCTTATGAACAGTCTTGAAGTCAGCTAAGAAAGATCGTAGAAAATAGGATTAAATGAAAATATGGACAGTAATCATCGCAAGATTACATATAGTCTGTGTTAGTGAAGCATGGATAGTCAGACAAGGGGATGTTAATCCTTCAATGCTTGACATGGATAGGGTGTTTCTCACGACTTTTTTCGATGAAATAGAAGTAGATTGGTAAGAGAGGGCAAAATTTTGGCATATAAGTAGGGGGTTTCGATCGTGGGTATACTGAGAGTCATTTTCAGCACAAATGTGAAGTTAGTCATTTCTTCTATACGGGTCAGAAACTTGCAGTGCGTGTCACGAAAAGCATTTACAACAAGTTATAGACTTTTATCTACGACTGCCCGATTCGCTGACTCCATTTTGAAGTTGAAATGGCCGGTCGGCGGGCGAGAAACAATTAGCAACAAGAAACTCTGGGTGGTGACGAACCAACCAAAAGCCGATCACTCAACAAATATGCTGTGAGAGAAAATGGAGATAGGTCGGGCATACACTTTGAGGTGTCTGTCGGATGAAATCGCGCTCAATGCAGACCATCATTCGAGTGGAACCAGAATGGAAAGCACTGAGCAGATTGTCAGCGCTAAGGTGGTGAGGAGATGAGAGATAATGGAAAGTCGTGGACTCAGAGGATGGCAAAAAGTAGAAAATAGTGAAGATTTGTTGTTAAAGCCCTATGTTCCACTCGAAACCCAAGGGAATAATAATAATATGCTGAGAGTTACTGGCTGGGGGACTGTTGATGACACTGATGTCTTCAATCTTTCTCATCAATAAGGTTCTACAAATATTCACTCACCTTCGTGTTCATAACTCACAGGTAATTCTAGGAGGACAAGACATAATTATCATTTATTGGATTTCTTACTCACATTCCTTACTCATTACCGTAAATTGGTGGATGGTGCGTATTTCGTCCTATTTGGGACTCATCAGCTGTCTGTCTGTCTGGGTTCATCATAAAACTTGGAATCGAAGTGCAGCACTTTGAGTTGCCACATTCCAAATAGCACACAAAGGTACACAAGAAGATGAGTGAAGAGAATCAATAGAGTTTTGACAAGTATAAGAGTGAAACAGAATGAGTAATGGTAGAAAGGAATATCAATAAAGATTACAGAGACTGAATACATCTGCGTAAGCCATTGACAACGATTTTGAGCCATGTCACCTATTGTCTGTCTCCAGCCACTGATTGATTCTTAGAGTCCCGAGGGCGGGCCCCAACCCGGAAGTCTGCATCTCCCTACCTGACTCAGTTTAACTGTCAAGGATTTCATGGATTGATGAGGCCATGTTTTTGTTTGGCCACCACTTACTCTTTTCCAACCGGCACCTATATCAGCTAGTAATGCCCGTCGGGAGGGTGAGGCGATGGTTAGGCATGCGCAGCACGTGACCTAGCCATATCAATCTATGTAACTTTATAACCTCTTCGATTGATTCTCCCTCTTTGCCCAACACTATACGCCTAACGTCAACATTACTTACCTTATTATACTACCTAACGTGAGAAAGAGATCGTAGACATCTATGATCAAAAACAGTCAACCTTTTCATGTCTTTAACTCGCATTGGCCATGTTTCAGAGCCATAGAGAAGGACGGAGCGATTTGCTGAGCAGTACACACGTCCCTTGGTTGATAGCGGGATGTCACGCCTACGCCAGAGATGGTGTAAGTTAGAGAAAGCAGCTTGAGCGTTTTGTATCCGTGCTGAGATTTCGTCACCAATCAATCCGTCAACTAGTCACCATCCACTATTTTACTACATGTTAAATAATCATGCATCGTCGAAGCATCCACCACACAAGGAGTCGACCGGTCAACACTTAGTTGACGCCAGTCACTTCTGTCCAATCAATCAGCGAGAAAGGTCAAATTGAATTGAACATTTTTTCAGGAGTTTTATTTTTACTCCAATAATTTTTTTTGTTTTTTTTCAAAAATTATTTAGGGTGACCCATTAGCTGCTTTACAAACTTTACTAGAAGGGCCTGGAATCCTAGTGAATCCTGATAGTTCAGGTATTCCTGCGAAAAGAGATAGTATAGGCCAATCGGTTCAACAGAGTCCACAACATCCACGACATTTGTCTGGTAATAATCAAATTCCCGGCACTGGTTCTTCTTCTTCTTCAACAACAACACCACCAACAAAATCTGTATGCCCAAGTGTTTTTAAATTCTACACCTATTTACAATCTCATCCACTGGTATTACGTCAACAGCGTATTGAAGCAGCAAATCTAATCGATTCTGGTGCTGTATATCGTGTGAAGAGTTTAGAGAGACGTTTATACTTTCGAACTGCTCATCATTATTTTGTCCTGGGATGTCCAACATTAGCACTTGAAGTGCTTACTAAACTACCACCTCTTGAATTAGTGACTTTTTCATCAAATATGGATCATATACGTAGAATGTCAACTGGTGGTGACACTGTGACTACTCCATCTTCAACATCTAGGCGTCAATCAGAAATATTGTCGGGACATGTTGCCCAATCGGAAATTTCAGCGAAGAAGGAAAGGTATGTGTGCTATCTTTGGTGTTTTCGAATTGATTGGTCAATTTTTATTGTAATATTGTAACAACAGAAGACAAGGGCCAGGCAACAGATAGTTTAGTAAGGAAATCAACACATATTTATAGATTTCCACGTACATTATTATAGATTATTGTTAGCAGACGAACACAGTCTTCTGATTGGTTCTTTCGCACTGAAGGTTAATCTTTCATCTCTTTGTGGCTGCTTCTCGAAGGTCAGATCATTTATCTGCTAATTGTGTCCGCCCATGCAAAGTTTGCTGTGATTGGTTGTCGAGTTAGTCTTTGTTCTCATTTTTCTCACGACCAATATTGGGGACATAAACATTGACGTAAATTACTGTCTACTAATTTTGGCTAGCAGCCAGCTCTCACCACACTCGTCCCCTCGTCAAACACTTGCGACTGAAGTTGGTTTGATCTTCTTGGTTATAGGGCCTTGTTCGTTTGTCTTGCAGTCTGGAATCTCGGCGCTCGCTGATGTTCACTTGTTTCTCTGTGTTTACCATTGCAATTGTGTCTGCGTAACCCCATCTCAACGTGACCATATGTGGTTCTTCCCACTTTGGAAACCGTTTGTGTGACTCTATCGCACATTCGTTGGTATTTTGCCTCGCTTTTCCATATGCTGCTTTCGCCCGACCTTCCAGCAGCGTCCCAAGTAGCAGCCTCATCGCTGACAAATCTTGAACGCCACTCAACTGCGAAGAAACCTCGAAGTCCTGCCCGAAGATCCATATGTCTCCATCAAAAACTGCAGGGTATAGGCTTTCCATTTGTCGGTAGGCAGCGACACCAAATGTAATAGCAGAAGACAAGAGCCAGGCAACAGATTATTTATTAAGGAAATCAACACATATTTATAGATTTTAATGTACATTATTACAGATTATTGTTAGCAGACAAACACAGTCTTCTGATTGGTTGTTTCTCACTTAAAGTTAATCTTTCATCTGTTTGTGACTGTTTCTTGAATGTCAGATCATCTATCTGCTAATTGTATCCGCCTACGCAAACAAAGTGTGCTGTGATTGGTTGTTGAATCAGTCAGTCTTTGTTATTGTTTTTTCACATGACCAATATTTGGGATGTAAACATTGACGTAAATTACTGTCTATCAATTTGGCTAGCAGCCGGTTCTCACCACAATATTAGCAGGTATAGAAAAGAATGGGTCACACTTCTGATCTAACACAATATTGTACTTTTATGACTGACTGGCTGACTGACAAACTGGTTTCAATGTAGAACTTTGCACAGATGTGCAGTGTAGTTCGAGTCGCCAAACTGCCTCTTTGTAGCCCGCAAAGCAAGAGTAGAAAATAAAGAGAGATAATAAATAGAAGTATTAGGTAAAATGAGTGGTATATTGTGGAAGAACAATATAACTTCATTGGATATGACACATCACAAAGAGTGAATGCATCTGTTCCAGCATTATGGGAGACGTGGAAGGAACACAAAGAAACACCAGAACTACCCAAACACGAAGATCTATGCTAATGGTGTATTGAACATAAGTTATGCATAATTTGGCTACATAGAGATATTTTCTTTAGTTTGGTTTGTAAGGATTGGTTATGTTTTTGCGAGTTGATCAATCCGTGATCTGATGCTCGCTAGTGACTTGCTACAGGATGGAGTTTCCTGGAGTCAGTTCTAGTAAGAAGTCGTGACCAGTGAGGTCCATCCAAATGTCACGTGTGAGGATGGATGTCCCACCGAAGACGCGCTATATCACGAATTCGTAGAAGTTAGAATTCATGGACTGACCATTGAGGAGTTGGGTCCCAGTGGCTGAATGGTATACGAGCTAGCTTGCCTTGTAACCAGAAGGTCCTGGGTTCGAATCTCAGTGGGTGCGTACTGCCGGTGATTCCCGAACTAGGATGAAACAGCTGTCCAGTACTCCCTGGTTTACAATGGTTCTTTAACTGTGATATCAATCCGTGATCAACTCGTAAAAATATGTAGAGTTACCAATTTCCAAGTAAAGATACCCTTACCAAGCCTTCGTCTTCTACCGTTTCAGTGTGAATTGAAAGAAACAAAATGTTTCCAACAGTTGGTGTGATCACTGACAATCATTTTGCTCGAAATATTCCCGAAAAACAAAAAAACTTGTCATTGTGTGTAAACTATTAACTTGATCAATTCCACAGTGCCCAAACTTTTTATTGACATTAACATTAGAAGAAGTGTAGTGTCTCGACAGTTAAAAAACAGAGGGGTTGGGTGTGATGGCGAATTCTTGCCAGCGATGACATTGGCTAGTGCCGATCGCTCTATGTTGTGCTATAATTCATGGATGGGCCATTATTGAAGAGTCAGGTCGTAGTCATTTAGTCGACTCTACGAGCGGTTGCCTTGTCATCCAAATAGCCTGGGTTCGAACCCCTGTGGTAGGTGTGTACTGCTCTACGGGAGTCGCAAACTAGTCTGACGTAACATCGGTGTGCAGTACTCCCTGACAGGTTTTCCACTTGTACTCTAATCGATGTCTGTTCATGATGAAATCGTGAAACAGCAGAATATTAAAAATAGTATTATTTATCTAATTTCTTTTCATATTTCTTTGTCAATCGGTTAGTACTGTGAAAGAAGATGACGATAATCTGTTCACCCTGTCATTTGATGATCCTATTCAAAAGTATGAATCAGCGAAATCACAAGATCAATTCACTCTTCAATGGAGTGATGATGAAGACGCCGACAATGATGATGATGGTCATAAGGGTAAAACTGAAGGCGCTGTTGACAAGTCTACGAGAAATAATCCTGTCCTTCAACAACAACAACAACAGCGACAACAGACCACATCTCAATCACTGGATGATTTCACTATTGAAGGTGAGGAAACATTTTAGTCCCCGTGGGTGAGGGGGAATAGCTATTTATGCGTAAAAACACTTTTTTTTTCCCGATTGTGTTTCTTTGAGAAGGTGGTAAACAATTTCTCAATTAGGTTCTGTAATGAGATGATCCGACTGACATTGGCTACCTTGACAATGGTCGTGTGGTTTGCATAGTCGGAATGACACCCCAAGAGCTGCACTAACTGGAATTAGTGTTTTTTCACGTCCTGTCTATCTAAATGCTGCTTGAAAGGTCGCTTGAATAGTCGTTAGACCAGAAGCATGTTGGAGGGTTTACTGGTAAATATGGATTTAACGGCAGTACGATGTTTTCTTCAGATGATCTGCATGTTAGTATTGCTGCCTCTCCGCTCTAGAGAGGTTAGGGGATTTAGAAAAGGTGTTACTCGGAAATTGTACATCCTGGCTTACCTGTTTGCGGTAAGGTGTTTATGAGGATGCAACTCCGGAAACCACTTCAAATGTGTGGTGTGTGTGTCCTCTAGGCTCTGTAGTAATGTAATCCTAATACATTACCCTAAGAAGGAATAAACATTCGTTATGTGAGCAGTTGGAAAGGAATCACCATCCACACACATGCACTTCTATAGGTACACAAAACATGCCTAACCATCACTCACCTTCACCTCCTTAGTTATAAACCGAATTCTATCTTACCAAATTTCACACCATGTTATGTAACATTTTATATTGGCCTACTAATCCTATAATTATGTACCCCTTTCCAAAATCTATACACCTTATGTATTATTCTATATATGACATTATTTATTTTGACACTTAAATGCATTTCATACTATTATTATTTCATGTATTCACACCTTTGACCTAATTCTCTCACCGGATATAATTTCTTTTAAAAAAGCCCATATATATACGATTGTACAGCTTGATAATAAGTTCGTTGTTGGAAAGAGTCTCTTCGCTGAATATTGTGTTTTTAATTAATTAAGTTGGTCAATGGATTCAATTTCTTTCATGATTAAAGTCCATCTGTTTACCCGTTACTGGCTAAAGAAATGAGATTTTTAGGCAGTTGGTCATAGATTCAAGGACCTCTTTTTCAATTTTTGTAGTCTTTACAACACATGTGATGAACGTGTGTATGTTTCATTAGTGATTGACCACAGGACGGACCAGTGTGGGGTCTTCTAGGTGTCTGCGTGTGAGGATGAATAACCGCTGATGACAAGGGTGTTATAAATCACGAATTTACTGAAGCTAGAATTCAGGGATTGACTATAAGATTCCATCCCTGTGGTTGGAGGGTCCATCAGCTCGTCCTCGGTTTGATACTTGGTGGAATGATCAGTACCGTATTGTTATAGAATCCCAAACTAGGATGACACAGTTGTTGATATTACATAGTTAAAGGCAATCAGCAGGAAACCACACCTGACCTAGATTTCGTTCTAGTTGGAACTCACCACTCAGCAAGGCGTATCTGCAATCACCTTGAAGGAACTCATGCTCCTTTCTGAGATTTGAACGCGTTTAACTGTAATATCAACAATTCAAAGTGCACCATGATGGCGAGCAGCCACCTAGTGGCATTGGTGGCCACATTGCCAACGTGACTGATAGAATTCAGTCCACATTGAACAAATGAAGGAGTGGACACATTACTCTATTTGCCAACTAGTGTCCGATCAAAAGTATGACACATTTGTCTAGCACTCCTTGGTTCTCAATGGTTCTCTAACTGATGTTAATCTGTGTTGAAACTTTCAACTGATCACAATCCTCGTTAACCAGTACTTTTATATTTATAAGGTTGATTTCACATTTTCTTACCGTGTTTATTTGCTAATAATAAAACTACTCTTACATCCTTTGTCTGTCTTTTAAAGGTCGAGGAGTTGTTGATTTAATAGCCAATCAATTGAAGTTTATTGCTTGTTTAAAAATATTAGCTGAAGAATTGAGTACACTGGCAGCTGGAGCTGAGGTAAGGTTATATATATTGTCTTGTGTTATCTTTCTTTTTATTCAAAAATATCTGTATTATATGCCTTAGTTCATTGTCTGAAGTAAGTAACTGGGCTCTCAACTTGTGGGTCTTGGGTTCGAATCCTTCTCAGTCATCCCTCTCGGTAATGTTTGAGCAGCCCACCGGTGTTACCATCTCTAGACAGTATGTTAATATACAGTACTGACTGATGGATTGTTTTAAACGTAGAACTTTGCATAGATGTGCAACAGTCCGAGTTGCCGCTCTTCCTTCATGTAGCATATAAAGCAAAGGAGAGAGAGAGAGTAGAGAGGTTCAAAACGGAGATAATAAACAAAAATATTAGCCAAAAGAATAGTAATATATAAGAACAATATAGTTCTATTAGATATTATAAAACACAAGGAGTGAATGCATCTGCGCCATCATTGAAAAAGAAGAATGTGATTCGTATCCTGAGGACCCCAACCAGACTGACAGTCTATACCTCCTTCCTTGTCTGGCTGGCTTAAACTAACTGTTATGGATTTCACTGACCGATGAAGCCATGTTTTGGTTTGATCACCATTAACTCTTTTCCAACCTCATCGATCCTATGTCAGTCAGCTAACATTCACATTAATTTACTGATTAAGTCACTGTTGAGCCTTCCTTAGATTTACTTGATTTCTTGACTTAAACTTTCTCCATATTAGACTGGAAAAGCGTAGCAGAAGGGGGTTTCATCTCTACAACTTTGGTGACGTTTATAGTTGTGTATAGAAATGTCTATCAAACTCTTGAAACCCAGTTTACGTGTTTAGAAAGAAACAGTTGTAAGTCTTTCTTTTGCTCATCGTAGTAACTGGATGTCTACTCAGCCCCCCTCTCTCTCATTTGATTACACAATCTTCGGCTTGAACCTCTTGTCCTTATTACTTAACCGGTATTATGATCTTGAGTAGTATTGAGCGAAGACAGCTATTAACGAAGGTCTGTAGTTTGTTCAAAGTGCCCTTCGTGACGCGGCGCCGAGTCTCTAATCCGTATTGCAAGTAGTAATGGCTTCACATTGAAGTTGAAAATCCGGATCTTATTTCTGACGATGAGTGTTGATCTCCACACAGACTTGAGAGTAATGAAAGCTTGCCTTGCTTTCCCGATCCTCGCGCTTTAATATCTTCATCAGTTCTGTCCGCCTGTAGTTGAAACGATGCTTCCCAGGTAGGTAGGTAAAGGAGGTTACTTCTTTCAGATTTCTCCTATTTATGCTGATTGTTGTCTGTTGCCGTAGTTACTGTTTACTGTTGACCAGGAATCTTCATTACCTAACGCTGTTTTCTCTGTGTTCACCTGAAATCGTATCTTCTCTAGATGCTTCTTCTATTACCAACTTGTTGCCTTTCACTTGCATATCTTCCAGTTTGTGAGAAATCAGACATACATCACATCGTGGAAATTCAGTTCCTCCAAGTTTTTTGTGTGGGTCCATTTTATGCCTGTCTCCTCGTTACCCGCCTCTGGCTGTCGCATTATCCAGTCTACCACAATTAGGAAAATCTTTGGAGATAGTGGGCAGCCAGCTTATCTTACTCCCATCTTCACTTCGAAGGATTCCGTGAGCTTCCCATTGTGGATTACTTGGCATGCAGCATTATCGTCCAACTCTTGGATGAGATGTATAATTCTTGGTGGCATCCCTTAGTTGCGAATAAGTTTCAAAATCACCTCTCGATCGACGCTGTCTGCTGAACGCCTTTTCAAAATCAATAAAGTTGACGTAGAAAGCTGACTGCCATAGACATCACATGAAACTGAATAATTTCTTTATGCTGGATGCAGTTGATGAAAAGCCAAAGAAGTAAACATTGAGATGGTGTATACCATGTCAAAACCAACACTTTTCTTGCTCTATTTAAAGTCAGTTACTTAGTTTATTGAACATTTGTATCTGTGCATTGGTGGCACAGTGGTTAGGACTCTCGCCGACCATCCACATGGTCCGGGGTTCGATCCCCTACCGACGCACACCTGATATCTATGGTCGGCCTGCAAAATTTGGGCTACCGATATCACATGCTGAAAATTCCATACCTGTACCAAGAAATACGGTGTGGAAACAAGCTGTAATCAAAACAAGAAAGAAAATCTCTTTAATAATAATGTTTTTTTTATTTTCTTACTGGATATAGTCTGAAGGTGTATCTCTTCGCCAGCATGTATGGCAATGGCTTGAAAATGAATTGGCTGTTGTGAATTCTCTAACTGGTCTAAGCAAGTCTTCTACTTCTTCACTTACTGGTGAAAGAACAACAGAACACAATACGAGTAAGTTAGTCAGTTAGTTAGTTAATTAATTATCGTTTAAAAGATTGAGACTAGTCTATAAGCATAATTTCTAATTCATGGAAAAATACCCATCCAAACATGACTATAAAAACAAAAACAGTTCAGCGAAAGAGTCTCTTCTCCTCGGCGGTGGCGAATTCATTCACTTTGCTGTGCAATCGCATTTAGATATAATTACTTTGTGTTTCTACGTGCGTGTGTACATTAGGATTGTGAAATTAAAAAAAATTATGAGCTGACATTAGTTAGAAAATCATTGGAGAACCAGCTGGGAGTACTGGAAGGCTGTGTCGTCCTAGTTTGGGACTCTTCAGCAGTACGCACCCACCGAGATTCGAAGCCAGGACCTCCTGGTTACAAGGCGAGCTCGTATACCATTAAGCCACCGGGACCCGGTTCAATAGCCCATGAATTCTAACTTCTGCCAGTTCACGAATTAGCGCAGCCGCTAGCCAATGTCTTCGGCGAGTATTTGTCCTCACGCCCGACCTGCTGCACCCTACTGGTCACGACTTCTCACTGGAACCCCAGGTAACTGAATTGGGCAAGTCACTAGTGAGTATCGCATTGATATTCAAGTGTTGGTTTGTAGGGATTTGATTGGTTACAGGATTTTCATCATGAGCTGAAATTAGTTAGAGAACCAAGTCGGGTGTGAGGACAAATACTCGCCGAAGACATTGGCTAGCGGTCGCGTTATGTCGTGAATTGGCAGAAGTTAGAATTCATGGGCCATTGGATCGGGTCCCAGTGGCTTAATGGTATACGACCTCGCCTTGTAACCAGAAGGTCCTGGGTTCGAACCCCTGTGGTGGGTGCCTACTGCTGAAGAGACCCAAACTAGGAAAGGAAAACAGCTGTCCAGTACTCCCAGGTTGTTTTCCAATGGTTCTCTAACTAATGTCAGCTCATGATGAAAATCCTGTAACTAATCAAATCCCTACAAACCAACACTTGAAAATTACTTAGGGTTATTGTTTACGTAATCGAAATGTTTCAAGAATTTGATGAATAATCAAATTGTAACTAGGATGGGGGGAAGATTAGTAAGTATTTGCAAGCATTGCGCAATATGAAATAGGATGTTAATGAAAGAGCATGGAGACACGTGTCCAAAATAGACTATATAATAGGTAGAGAGAGTAAATAGAGGGTTGGTTAGGAAAAATATGTCACTAAGAAGTCATACAAAAATTCAAAAAAGTATCATTAACAAAATTATACTCAAGGTAGAAAGAGGGGATGCAGAAGTTTCTTCTGTGTACGCATAAATTAGGGTTTTTTTATCCGGATCTCATTTTGATGCCTACTGGTGACTGGCACTATACTCAGGTAGGTAGTTACCTGGGTTCTCTTGGGAAGTCGTGACCATTGGGGCACAGCAAGTCAAGTTTGAGGACAAACACCCACTAGCGACGACATTCGCTAGTAGTCGCACCATATCATGTGTTGGCAGAAGTTGGAATTCATGGACTGCTCATTGAATAGTCGGATTGAAGTGGCTGAATGGTCTGCTAGCTAACTCTCCTTGTAACGAGAAGGTCGTGCGTCTGAACTCTGGCGTTGGGTGCATACTGTAAAGAGTCGGAAACTAGATGCTTATGTTCCACTCGGAACCCAAGTTAATAATAATAATAATCATAAGTAATAAGATTATAAGTTTCCAGACCGTAGATGCTGCGTCGGTGGTATAGCGGTTAGGACGCTCGCCGACCATGCACATGGTCCAGGGTTCGATCCCCGGCCGACGCACACCTTTACCTCGCGAAGCCAGAAATAATGCTGGTGAAAAGGAATGGTTGGGTATGAGGCTAGCAACCCCATCCTGTAAAGTAAACACTGCTACAGAAACTTCAAGCCACTAGCTTGAAGCCCTATGTTCTACTGCTGAACGTGAAGGAAAAAAACAAAAGAAAAAGACCGTAGATGTTACGAATTTCCTGGGATAATTTGAGCGCTGAGTAAGATTATTATTATTATTATTTGGATTAAAATCCGAAAGATTTTTGCTAAAGAAGCTGTTTCTTACACGGCGAAACGTTCAGAAAAATCTTGTTTTGATGTTTTCTTAAAAATGCTGGGATTATTTTAAGTAATTTATAATGGCTTATAAGTAATAAGCTCTTCTCTATCTTTTACCTTTTTAAATCATTTGTGTGTTTCTGGGTGGCTAGATTAACTCACACACTTAGTTTTTACTCTAATGCAGAGTACTTCCCAACAGAAATGAGGAGGAAAACATCGTAGAGATTTGGATATTGCTTCAGATGGAACATGGCACAATGTCACACGTTTTACTTGAGGATTCTTTGTGAAGAGTAGATAGTTTGCTGCAATTTAAATGCACTCAAAATTCTATACATATTACCTAGAATAAAGCTATTATTATTGTATGGAGGATTTCATCATGAGCTGACATCAGTTAGAGAACCACTGGAAAACCTGGGAGTACTGGAGATGTGACAGTAACTCATCTAAGAAGACATTGCGAAATGGTCGCGCTATGTCGTGAATTGGCAGAAGTTAGAATTCAAGGACCATTGGATCGGGTCCCAGTGGCTCAATGATCTACGAGCTCGCCTTGTAACCAGAAGGTCCTGGGTTCGAATCCCGGTGGGCGCGTACTGCTCAAGAGTCCCAAACTAGGACGAAACAGCTGTCCAGTACTCCCTACAGGTTTTCCAATGGTTCTCTAACTAATGTCAGCTCATGATGAAATCCTCCATACAATTAAACAAAATCCCTACCAAACCAATACTTGAATATTATTATTGTTATTATTTTCTCCTTGTAGGTGTCATTTCTTCAGATAATTCTGAATGCTCTGGTCCGTTAACTTCAACATCGTTCTTACTGACAACTAGAAACACTGGTTCTGTTTTAGCTGGTATATTTATGAGTCTATCGAATGTTTCATCAGAGATACGTGAGGCAGAATTGAACCGATTGAAAACACGTTATGATTGGATAAAAGTAGGTGTTACTCCCTCTGTCCCCCTTTTCCCCTCTCATTCCGCCTACTCTTGTGTGTATATTTTGCCTGTTTATCGCTTTGGTTTCATCTGTTTTCGAAGTTGTATCAGCACCGACACTGGAACTGGTTGTTCATAAATCCTCAGCATAGGCCATTATGTACCATCATCCATGATATTTCTGTAATTATGGTATTTGCTTTACGCCGTCTAATTGCACAGGACTCTGTACGTGCATTTACTCTTGCAGGTGAACCTCTTGAAGTTGTCGATAATTTTACGTATCTGTGTAGTTGTGTAATTGCTGGCGGAGGGGTAACAGATGAGATTTCCAACCGTATCGTGAAAGCTTGGGTGGCATACATCAACGTGAGCCACCTCTGGCGCCGTCGCAACGTTAGCCTGACTGTCAAAGGTGTTGAGTTTACACTGCTTCGGTGCCAGCTGTCTTGCTCTACGCTTATGAAGTCTGATCTCTCTGAGCTGAGATTGTGTGGCGACTCTGCGTATTCGACCATCTCTGTTTCCGCAGGATTGCTTGCATTCGATGTCATCATCGCGTTAGTGAGTAATTCTAAAGTCCGGCGGCGTGTGTTTAGACACAGTGGAGATCACCATTCGTTGAGTATCGGCTGCCCACACCGTGGAAGTTGGTTGAGTCTTCGGGTACCTGAAATAGAGAAAGGGTTAGTGTTACGTGACCGCAGAGCTCAGGGGACAACTGCTTGAGGCCGGTCATACGCGGCCTGTTTTTGTTTGTTCTTTCTTGTTTGGTGTGTCTCAGTAGCATATTTATCACGTCTGCCCTGTGACACGGCAACAGGAAGCGCGGTCGTTGTTAATCCGAGCCCCGACCTATCTGGCATGATATTTTGTGAATTTGTTTGAAGTCATAGTATTGGATTGGGTAGCTGCTTTTTGTCTAACCGCTATCCAAACAACCTTTCTGGCATGGTAGGACCTGCAGGAACATAAGTTCCAGCCAGTATAGCTCGTTGGGTCATTGCGATATGCAAGCCCGACCACCACTTCAAGGTAGCAGCTATCGGTCGGGGGTCCAAGTGATGTAGCGGATGATGATTTGGCGTCTGAAACGATGAATGAACTCAGGTTGAGTCTCACTCAGTGGGAATAACAATGATCACTGGGATGGAGAGCACATCCAGCTAAAAAGTTCCGCATAGAGTTAAACAAACACACATCGTGGATTCTACTGTTAGTAACCGTTAGTATGAACAATATATTAATCCTCGGATATATCAGTCGACTGGAAAATCGAAAAATAACTCCAGAATATTCAAGTGTTGGTTTGTAGGGATTTGATTGGTTACAGGATTTTCATCATGAGATAAAATTAGTTAGAGAACCATTGGTACCATTGGATCGGGTCCCAGTGGCTTAATGGTATACGAGCTCGCTAGCCTGGTAACCAGAAGGTCCTTGGTTCGAATCCCGGTGGGTGCGTACTGATGAAGAGTCCCAAACTAGGACGAGACAGCTGTCCATTACTCCCAGGATTCCCAATGGTTCTCTAACTAATGTCAGCTCATGATGAAAATCCTGTAACTCCAGAATAAATCCATATTCATTAGTTTATTTTGTTTATATTATCATCATTATAACACCGCTTATTTTTTTCACGCCTTTCCCCCCTCCTCCCCTACCCTTTTAGACTCATGAAACCTTTTTAACATCATTAATCAATTTCTGTGATTTATATGGATCAAGTGGTATGCGACTGCCAGCTGTACGTATTGAATTATCCCTTCTGTTGAATGAACTGTATTCATCGGCATCATCTTGTCTACCGACTAATCAATCAACTGGACTGTATTCAGCTTATAAATCGGATAGTAATCTTGTCGCGCATAGTGGTGGTGGTGGTATCGGTGGGGGTTATTCTCCTTCACCGCTGAATTCATGTTGGCCTATGACAGCTGTAGCTTTAATCGATGGTATACCATTGCTACGTACAGTGATGCGTTTACCGCCTGGTGTATTACTGTTGCCTGATTCAGTGAAGCGTATCAAGGTAAGAAGTGTTGAAGTGTGTTCATTCTTTTTATTACAGTTACAACTTACTTTAAATTACCCACGATTTTCTTCATATATATACATGCATACATACATGGGAAAGCGTCTCTGAATAATAGTGGGTTGTATAATGGACTTAACCCTAAGTCACTTCAGCAACTCAGGGATTGACTTGCTACCAGGGGATATGCAGACGATATAGTCCTTCCAGGCGAGGACGCTGACAAAATGCAGAGTCTACTGAACACCATGAGCTGCAATCTACGAATGTTCGGCATGCGATTCGCCCCTGTAAAATGTAAGATGATGTTGCAGGATTGGACTACACCGACCCCTAGATTAGAAATAGGAAGTGAAGTGGTAGAGCACATTGACCGCTTCACTTATTTGGGAAGTACCATCAGCCAACGCCAACGGGTTGATCTCTGACGAAATCTCAGCATGGATACAGAGGGCTAGTTTCGCATATACCAGTTTACGCCGTCTCTGGCTTAGTAGACGTGATATCCGGCTACCTATCGACCAAAGGGCGTGTTTACTGCTCATCAGTCCTCTCCGTTCTCCTTTATGGCTGTGAGACCTGGCCATTGAGAGTGGGAGACATGAAAAGATTAGCTGTCTTTGATCATAGGTATCTGCGTTCTATCTCCCGCGTGAAGTGGTATAATAAGGTGAGCAATATTGAGGTTAGGCGTCGAGTGCTAGTTAAGGAGGGGAAATCAGTCGACGAGACTGTGAAATTACATCGACTGAGATGGTTAGGACATGTGTTACGTATGCCTAGTCATCGCCTTCCGCGACAATAGGCAATGTTAGCTGACTGGCATAGGGTCAGGCTGGAAAAGAGCTAGTGGTTGTCTAACCAAAACATGGCTTCATCAGTCAATGAAATCCACAACAGTTAGCTAAAGCCAGTATCGTAGGAAGGTGTAAACTTCCTGACTGGTGATGTCATCGGGACAGTGAAAACCAATGGCTGGAAACAATTGGTGACATGGCTCAAAATCGTTCTCAGTGGTGCAGATGCATCCACTCCTTGTGACTTGTGATGATTTCCAATGAAATTGTTTTGTTCTTCGTTATTACTATTCCTTTGTCTCACACCTCTGTTTACTGACTATGTTATGCATTTCTCCTAATTTCTTCTCTTGCTTTGTGTGCTACATGGAGTGTGGCGACTTGAACTGCCGCACGCCGGTGCAAAGTTCTATGTCGAAAACAGATAGTGGGTTGTAACATCTTGCTTTGATTGGACACTAGTGATGATAAAGCAATCTGCTCTATGTGTATAAACTCATTGATGATGATAATAATAATAATAATTTGAACGTGGGTGTGTTGTATAGTCCCCTACCTAAAACAACTGCAGGGGTGCACATTTTGCGTCTGGTTCTTAGTTCAATGATAAAATTTATAAGCAAAAAGACGGAGTGGATCATCCACTTGCAGATGGCTTCATGGCAAATGTAGAAAATTAAGATATCGTTATTAATACTATTATTATTGTTCCCTTGGGTTCCGAGTGGGACATAGGGCTTCAACGACACCACATCTCCTCTTCAGCTGGCCCCACAATTGCTCATAAGCTCTCATACGATCTCCTCCATGTAACCCTCGGGCGCTTCCTGTTCAGATTCCACTCTGGCGACTACATACCGTGGGATGTCATTCGATGGGCGCCTCAAAGTGTTGAACAAGAGGTCTGTTACCTGAGTGTCTTGCTGCTGTCTTACTTCTGACCAACCATTTCATCTTCAGTATGCAACCAGCAAAAGCAGCTGTTGAGGAAATTCTGCAATCTGTTAGAAATGCTTCCCATATCAAGTTTCTGACCCACATAGAAGAAGTGACTGACTAAACGTTGGTGTTGAATATCCGGATATTGTTGTTTCCGACATCCTCATCCTCATCAATTTTAAACCAGTTTGGGAATCTTTCGCTTCTTTTCGCCAGTATAAAGAACAAGATCCGGATTTTCGAAACAAATGTAAAGTCAGTTATTCTGTATGAGTCATAAACTTGACCAGCATTTCACGGAAAGGATTTCCAACAGCCAGTTACAAACTTTTATCTACAGCTGTCTCCTTCTCTGGCTCCATAGTGAAGATCAAATGGCCGACCGACCAGAAAAAATATAGCAACAAGAAACCCTGGCTAGGAACAAACCAACCAAGAGCTGATTGCTCATCAAATATCTTGTAGGAGAAAATGGAGATGAACCGATCGAACATACGTTGAGGAGGTTATCGAATGACATTGCGTGCTAGGCCCTCGAGTGGAATCCTGATGGGAAGCGACGAGTGGGTCATCAGTGCGAGGGTGACATAGGGGACATCGTTTGATGGGGAGGAGATGAGAGATTGTGGTCATTCGTGGAGCTAGCCAGCTGAGGAGAAGCTCACAAAATAGAAGAAAGTGGAGATGTTTTGTTGAAGCCCTATGGTCCACACGGAACCCAAGGGAACAATAAGGAAACAATCTTTTTACTATTAAATGTAATGTGTTATATGTACTTTTTATTGAAGATATGCAGCCAAGTTCTTGGGCTTCTTAATAAGATACATCAATAAAGCACATGTATGTATATGTCCTTGTTATGTTGAAACGTACACTATTCAGTCCCAAGTTTGTTGGCTTTACCACTAAGTTATGTAAATAATGACTGTAATATCGAATCATCGTGATCTGCAGTGTGTGTGTAGCTTTGACTTTGAGTTCATTAAGCTTCAGCACTGGGTTACTGATAGAATCCCACCCCACCTACTACTTCTCAACCTGGTAGTACTTGGATAGTACTCTCAGCCTTCACACAATGATCATAGATTTCTCACCTGTTAAGTGCCACATATACAGTGTTGTGGTGGTGTGATACAGACAATGTGTTCTAACACAGTTCAGTACAGCATTAGAAACAGAATACTATGTATATATATTTGAACATTCTATCTCATGTCGTTTAATGTAAACCAAAATCACACGCTCAGTGATTGGCTAACGAATATAAATAAAGCGGTTTGATTAATGAAAAATATACCTTGGTTTCCGTGTCTTGCCTTATGTTGTTACAGTGTGATTTAGCTTCCCAGACTGAAGTAGATGGGGTGAGAATGGAACCTCCGTACCAACCGTTTGGAAGTTGAGTCACATCTCCATCAAACTTTGACTTGGTGTTAAGCGGTGGGATGTAGTCAACAGAATTCGTACTTGTTGGCTGCAGTCTCAAGGGAATTGATATCCCCTTGCAGGGATTCGAACTCGCGTCACTCAGTTCTGCACTCAGAGAAGTTATTACACTAAATGCTAATCCTAGTCTCTGTAATGAATAAACTCCCATTTGTTGTGAACTGAATGTACAAAACTGATCATTGTGTTCTTAGTGTATAGCTGACCGAAACTACCTTGGGTTACTAACAGTCAAAAAAATGAGATAAAGTCTAGGGTACTATTTTCAACAATCATAATATATCAAAACTCAAAATTGCCTCAACCATGCTGTTAAACAGCGACATAGATCAAATTAGTTCTCAAGTACAAAGTAAGTACTGTAGAATAGAAGTACCTGAGAACCTTAATGTATATGTAGAACTTGGGCACTGTGGTGGTAGTAAGTAATTCCATATTAGTTTGTTTATTGGATTTATCACACAGTCAGTAAAACAGTATTATTTACTTGATGACACAGTTCCGAACAAAATTTATTGCTGTTCATAATCATTTCATGAATTATAATCACATGACTTTGAAACTTGAGTTTTATAGTTTTCACCCACCCCCACCCCAAAAGTATGGTGGAGGTATGTAGATGACACATTCACTGTACTCAGAACACAGGATATAGATAGTTTTTTCGAACACATCAACTCAAAGGTGGAGGCAATTCAATTCACTTATGAATTGAAAAGTCAGGAAGGAGAGCTCCCAATGTTAGATTGCAACGTAAAGAGGAAAGAAGATGGGAAGTTAAACACTAGTGTTTACAGGAAACCCACGCATTCAAACAGATATTTGGACTTCCGATCATCCCATCCTATGTCAGTAAAAATAGGATTAGTGAAATGTTTAAGTAATAGAGCACAAAAATTAAATAATACCAAGGGTAATCTAAGGCAGGAAGTGATACACATAAAAGAAGCCTTGAATCTTAATAATTACGCTGATAAATTATTCAGGAAATATGTAAGGAAATGTAAAAATAAAATAAATAATGACAGTAGTGATAATAGTAATATCAATGACGACATGCAAGTCAAATATGCGCAAGACAACACCAACAATAAGGAATCTAAATCATCAGTAGTAGTTCCATACAAGGAAGGAACCTCGGAAACCACCTTACGCAGAATTCTTAACAAGGCAGGAATAAAAGTGGCTGTCACTTACCCTCCCCCCCCACAAACTCAATTAGAAACAAGCTTTGTCGGTTAAAGGATCAATCCTGTGGAGTCTTTAAAACAAAACAATTTAGTTTATCTAATACCCTGCCTGCAATGATTGTCAGGTAAAATACATAGGTCAAACTAGTAGAACAGGGGCAGTCAGACTAGCCGAACATAAAAACCTAGCAAAATCTAGATTGGTTAATCCAAATAAGAAAAGAAATCTAGAGAATAGTTCAGCTATAGCACTCACTGCATGCAATTACACTCAACCATGCAATAGGATGGGGCGGGATAAGATGACAGTTTTAAAATCTAATGTCACAGCAGGGCATAGGGAGAGATTGGTAACAGAATCAACTGCAAATACGTGTAGTAGGAATGATTCAACACCTGTTTACCCAGATATCCAGAAAATTCTACTACCCCAACGACGACAAATAGGAGAGGACAAAGAAAACTATAAAACTCAAGTTTCAAAGTCGTGTGATCACAATTGATATGATTATGAACAATAAATTTTGTTCGAAACCTTGTCATCCAGTAAATAATACTGTTTCACTCACTGTGTGATACATCTAAAAAACAAACTAATATGGAATTACCTGAGAATCTATTAGACTATACATTCAACAAGGTGAGATCACTCAATAAACAATTCTCGAAGACACTCCAAAGTCAGAGTGACACTATTATTATTATTATTTCCTTTAATTCCTAGAGGAACATAGGGCTTCAGCCGTGTGTCTTTATTGCGTTCTGTTCTCTGCTAGAGTTTTCACCTGGCTCCAAGCCTGCCCACGCGTTTTCATCTCCTCTTCACATGACCTCCTCCAAGTCACCCGCGCACTGAAGACCAACTCGCCGCTTCCCTTTCGGGTTCCACTCGAGCAATGGCTTGTCTAGTGATGTCACTTGATGGTTTCCTCAGAGTATGGCCAGCCAATCCACCTCCATTTCTTTCTATCTATTTGTTGCACAATTGGTTCCTGCTGGGTTGGCTCGCTCCCAGAGATCTTTGTTGCTGATCTTTACTGGCTGGCCATCTGATCTTGAGTGGTCTTGAGATGGTCTTTTTTGAGATGCTCTTAATGACGCGCAGTGGAAGCCTCTGATCCGTATAGGAAGTAGCACTGACTTCATATTGTAGTTGAAAATCCGGAACTAATTTCTCATGATGAGTGCTGTTGACCTCCACACAGACTTGAGAGTAGTGAAAGCTTATCTTGCTTTGATATCCTTGTCAGTTCCGCCTGTAGTTGAAACGATGCTTCCCAGGTAGGTAAAAGAGGTAGTTTCTTTCAGGTTTCTTCCGTTTATGCTGATTGTTGTGTGTCGTTGTTCTTGTCCGGGAATCTTCATCACCTCTGCCTTCTCTATGTTCACCTGAAGTCCTATCTTTGATGCTTCTTTTATCGCCAACTTGTTGTTTTTCGCTTGCATAACTTCCAGTTTGTGGGAAGTCAGACATATATCAGAGTGACACTGATTCACTCAAACAAAGTCGCGATCCTTAAAACACCACATTATCAATATCATCGCCACACAACCAGTAAGTGAAGCAATAACAGTAGAATTTAAACAGAGATAAAGACAAATTATCAGGATTATGTCAACATATGGTACGCAAAAGCCAGGACAATGTGATATGCAGTCTAGGAGAGAAATGGATAATAATTACAAAGTCCCTTGGAGTGCCATATCGTTCAGAAGTGATTTTCGAAACAATTAGACTTGCTATCTGGCTGCCTAAATCTTGATAGGTGAAGAATGGGTTTCGAACCCGTCACTTGATGGTTGGAAGTTAATCATTTTTTGACCAATCAATAATGGCCTACTGTTATATTCATGTTGTGCTGTTCTATTTCTCTTCTATTTCACAGTATATGGTTCATGATTTGATCACATGTTTGGAACTCCTGCCTCCACCATTTCTAGTTAGTGTTCTCCTGCCTTATCCATATCGTCCTCCGCATGCACATCACTGTGATCATCATCGTCATAAATCCACTACTACTGGTAAAAAGTTGAAATCACATACTTCTGGAAAAGCTTCAGAATCATCTTCTGCAGGAGCTTATTATTGTGCTGATTGTATTTGGGCGCCAACAGCGGATCGTCAGCGTAGAGTATACCTTTTGCGTAATTTATGCGCTGCACTATCTGCATGTATTCATCAGTGTTTATCTGTTGGTGGTTGGCTTGGTCTTGGTTATCTGCTGGATGACAATTCAATGATGATGAATAATAATAATAATAATTCATCACTGACAAAAGTATTCGCTCTACCAGCGACAAGTTCTATAAATGCTCGTTCAGGTTAGTTCAGTTTATGTCTACGTGTGTGTGTGTGTGCGTGTTTGTATGTGTGATTTTATTATATTATATCAGACCAGTTTATCATTGCTAATTGGATACAAAGCCCTGATACTGTGGAAGATGAGTTATACATCTTGAGGAAAATCCTAATAGAAAATGGATTTCCACCACGTTTTATATATAGACAAGAATATACATTCAAATCCTAAAAAAAAAGTGACTTATCAACGGTACCCAAGAAAATACTTTACATGAGCTTGGAATTCAAAGGGGACTTAGCTTCCGATATCATGAAACGAAGGATATCACACAGTCCGTGAAAAGAACATTCCCTGCTGCATCTCTGAAAATAGCCTTTACTAGTCGACCATTATTGTTCAATAACCTGAAGGACAAGATCCGGCTGTTGACCAACACTATGTGTGTTTATCAATTCACCTGCTCGTGTGGAGCTAGGTATATCGGTGGTTTGACTCGAGTTTTGTCCAAGAGGGTGCAAGAACACTATCCTGCATGGTTGTTATGAAGAGGTGGAAATGGAGCAATAAGAAGCGCGATCATTGAACATCTGGTCGATAATGATCACCTTATCGCTACAGTCTCCGCCTTTAAAAATCATTTACGAGTAGAAAAGTAATTTATCCAAAACATTATGTACTCGACTTATCTGTATTGCTGAAGCCATCTTCGGCCATCGAAACAGAAAAGCCAGATCTCTGTATGCACAAAAAGTTCATCCAATCCCTTCAACTTTCATGCTCATAATCCCTCTATATTAAAGTATGGTAATCCCTAATCATATTTTGGCTCTACCAATTTTTCATTTTGTCTATTCCATTTGTATTCTCTTCCTTTATTACGTCAATTGTTACTACTATTACTATTCTCACTTTGAACTGTCCCCGGTATTATTTCACTCATCCCACTTGTCATTCTAAATCAATTCTGTCTTGCAACATTAAATTCTATGTTATCAAATTTCACACACTATTACGTAACGCTTTTATTTTTATTCGATTTGCCTACTAATCCTACAATTTCACACCCTTTTTCAAGTTCTATCCATCCTATGAATTATTCCATATATGACATTAATTTGCTTTGCCACCTGACATTTAACTACCATTATAATCACAAACATTTTAGTTTTAATTGCATCTCATACTACTATTATTATTATTTTATGCATTCACGCCTATGATTTAATTCCCTTACCGGATATAACTTCTTCATAGAAAACCATATATATACGACTGTACAGCTTGATGATAAATTCGTTGTTGTAAAGAGTCTCTTCGCTGAATCATTTGTTTTGATTTTCTATAGGATATAAATTTATGATAAACAGAATTTGGAAATACTCGTTTCGTCCTAGCTCGGGACTCATCGGCAGTGCACACCCACTACAGGGGGTTCGAACTCTGGCTATTTCAGTTACTAGGCAAGCTCGTACAGCTTTCATCCACTGGAACCTGACTCCTCAACGGCCAGTCCATGAATTTTGATTTCTACAAATTCGTGATTTTAGCACGCACTGCTGCTACCAGCTAGTGTCATCGCTGCCGAGTATTTGTCCTCAAGGCCGACCGGGTGGACCCGACTGGTCATGACTTCTCAGTAGACGTAAAGACAGGCAACTTCGTCCTGCAGCCAGTCACTAGGTAGCATCAGATTTATTTTGAAGAGTTAATTTGCAGGAATTTCAAGGTCCACGATGCACGGATTGATTTCAGTTAGAGAATCAATGAAAACTGCCAAGAACTACTGGGAAGCTGCTTTTTGTCCTAGTTTGGGACTCATTGGCGGTACTCATGCACTGAATGGTCTACGAGCTCGCCTTGTAACTGGAAAGGTCCTGTGTTTTAACCCCTGTGATGAAGAGTCTCACACAGGGACGAAACAGCTGGCCAGTACTCCATGCTGGTCTTCAATGCTTCTTTAGCTGATCTAAATCCGTGGTCAAACTTGAAACAAATCAAATCCCCTTCGAAAATACTCATTTCTCAATACGAAGCAATCTGATGCACTCAGATGCATTGAAGTGTTAGAACGGACAGTCTATCGTCGTTGTTAGCCGTGAAGGCATGATTTATGCATGCATGCACTGACATGATAATATCTGATTGGACAGTTTTTTTGATCACTTTATATTTTGCTTTAATTTTTGAGGTCGTCCGACGTCATTCAACCAATCAGCTCTGTTTTATATATGACTTGAATTCGCGTGGTATCGTAAACTCTGTGTATAGAATGTATTTTGAATAATAATAATAAAAGGTTATCGACCGGTTAGAAAGAATAAACGACGGGGAACTCTGAGAGACAATGTACTAACTAGCCTATGCTAAGCTTAGGAGATTAGCAGCTAGCTGTCGTCTCCTCCTCGTTGGAAAACCGTAGCACTTCAACTGTGGATTTGTTTATAATCGTCTTTTATCCAACTCTAGCACAATATGAGCACCAAGGAATACATCACAAAAAGCAATAAAACACTGTGTATGAAAAGAAAGTAGAATTGTAACGGGAAAAGGCAAGAGACTTGATAGCACACTTCTCATTAAGGAAAATTACATCATATTTATACATTTTTAGCCGCATCTATGATTGGCTAGTTCACTGGATAATAGACTGTTCTGATTGGCTGTTGACTTTTCGAAAGTTAAAACTCTTCTGATTGGTTGCTGATTTCCTGAAAATAACATTTTGAGATTATTTCCTGATCACCAGATTTGTGAAATAACCGCTTCTACTTCTGCAGCCAGTTACTCAGAATGTTGCTTACAATGGTGGCTGTTTACCATTAATGTGTGTATATGTGGTGAGAACTGTCTGCAAAAGAAAATTGGAGACAACAATTTACGTCAGTGTTTACTTCCCAAATCGGGGTCATGAGGTGAAACAAGAACAAAGCCTAACCTTGAGGAACTCAACAGCCAATCACAGCAGACTTAGCGTGGGTGTATACGATTCACAGATATATCACCAGACTGTCTAAGAAACAAAAACAAAGAGGTGACAGAATAAACTTCAGCAGGAAAACAACCAATCAGAAGACATTGCTTCTCTGCTAACAATAACGCTAATAATAATGTAAATAAAAATCTACAAATATCTGTTGATTTTCTCAAATAAACGATCTGTTTCCTGGTCCTTCTGTTGTTACATTTATACTTCGGATAAATTTTGTCAATAGCACACGGGATCATGAAAAAGAGGCAAACATACCCATCAAAAACATTTAAGGAGCGTTCATTATTTCACATTACCTACAGAAAGACAGGGAAGGAGGAAATTACAGTGTATTCGCCACTGTCTACGGTTTCCCATTGTATCCTATGACGTTTCAAACAACCGATTCAAATTACCTCTATGACTGCCATCCAGGGAGTTGTAATGCATCGACAGATGATAACGTCACCCAAGTATCCTTCATCTCACAGTCACTTCATGGTAGGCTGAGCACCTCACCGCTTTTTCCACCCAGTCCCAAGGTCAGGGAATAATTTATGGTCTAGAAGACAATGAGATGACATTCACCACTTCCAAACAAATACCATCAGAATTACTCACATGATGATACCGCTGGATGCAAGATATTCTTTAAAGAAAGCGATTATTGAGCATGCATAGTCATCTCACATTCTCAACTTCAAGATGTCGGGTTTCACAGGTGTAGAGCAAGACTGTACGCACAGAAAAAATTGTAAAGCCGATCTTTGATAGTCAGGCTACTGGTGCGATTACAGCTAATGTAGTCGAAGTAGGCAAGTACCACCATAACTTTCAGTAAGAGATCTCATCCGTCACATTCTAATATTTCACCTGTGAGATTGAGTCCAGGTAATTACTCCCGCCAATCTAGAAGCGGTACTTTGTACTTAAAACATGCTTCACCTGTGGACACTGATCGCTAACTGATTCCTTGGGACCTGTATTCCATCTCACCTTGGATACATTAGTGGTTATCAATTCGCAGGGAGCATTGTCTCAACTACAGGAAGAACGGACGAGGATGTCAAATCGAGAATCGGGAAGGCGAGAAACACATTCATCAACCTGAAACCAATCTGGAAATCTTCGTCACTCAGCCTGTATCAACAACAAAATTCGGATTTTCAATACAAAAGTCAAGTCAGTTCTTCTATACGGATCAGAAACTTGACGAGTCACAAAGAATATTTCCAAGAGGTTGCAGAACTTTATCAACAACTGTCTTCGCTGGCTCTATACTGAAGATCAGATGGCCGGAAAGAATCACCAACAAGAAACTATGGGAACAAACAAAACAAGAAACAATCGCCCGACACATATGCAGGAGAAAGTGGAGATGGATTGGACACTCGCTGAGGAGGCCGCTGGGTGACATCGCACGTCAGGCCATCGCTCGAGTGCGACCCGAAAGGGAAGCGGCGAGTGGGCCGTCCAATGGTGACATGGAGGAGATCGTGTGAAGAGAAGTTGAAGCAGTATGGACTAACATGGACGCAGGTGAAAAGTACAGCAGAAGACAGAAGCGAGTGGAGACGTGCAGTTGAAGCCCTATGTTCCACTAGGAACCCAAGGGAACAATAGTAATAATAATAATTCGCATATATTTTGAGTAATTTTAAAAATATGAGTAGACATCTTTTTTTGAGAGATCTCTGGGAATGAAATTACTCTGCATTATCTGTTGTGTCATACTGCAGAACAGCCCACCACACTACCCTCATATTCTGTAATTCTTGTTTGTTTGTTTTGTTTCTTGCAGTTGATCGCCTATGCGTTTCTGGTCAAGTATTTAGACCAAACACAGAACCAGCTAAATGGCCTGGTAAGTCTTATACTCCCAATTATACGCTGAACGTCATCCCTATTTTCTGTTGATTGATAATATATGTTGTTTTTAGGGATATTAGCTGTGTAAAGATATGATTGATTTTATTGCTAGTCGATTAGAAATTAAATCAGAAATTAAGTATCTTGGACTTATTCTCTCTTCTTATCTCTCCTGGTCTTCCCATGTCTTAGCGATCTCCAGTAAAATATCCCGCCTGACATTTTACATTAAGAAGTTAAGGCACTCGGGTATAACTCAACCCCTGCTCCTCTTACAGTTCATAAACTCTTGCATCCTACCTATTCTTCTTTATTGTTCACCCTTATTCTTTCCTGGTTTGCTTAAAAAGGACTATGTCGCAAATCATAGAATGCTGAAGACTGTCAGTAGGGTGAGTGGTGTCCCAGTGGACTACATAGTTAACGTCGTTGTCAATAGACATTTGACTTCGTGCAGTAAATTTGCTAAAGGGATTTTGTCTGACTTGGAGCATCCAATTCACCCTTAGCTTTCACCTTGCATCTCCTCAGATAGAACAAGAAGTAACTTCAGAAAACTGTATGCTCGCACGTCTAAGTATAAAAATTCTATGATACCATACTTGGCACGTATTTTATGTGATGAAAATAGTGTCAGGCAAGAATTAACTAACCTTTTTTCATCTAGTAAATAAACAATCTTCTCCATCCATCCTTATATACCTTCAAGTTTTACTTTTATTATTTCTATTATATTCATGGTCCTGTTGCTTCTTTGTTTTACTGTCATAATTGCAAATACCAACTTATCTCTATGACTGCTGTAATCTTTGTTTTTTCCCTCACCATATCATGTAAAGAGAACATTATATTTAATATTTTTTTTAAACATGCTAAGATTTCTATACCACATTGACAATACTGTGTGAAACAAGCCCACAGCAATTTTCACTTGTATTATTATTGTTATTACCTTAGCTGCTATCATTATTATTATTTCCATTTTATATGCTGCATGTTTTTTTTACATTACCCCTATTGTAAATGTGGAAAATTTTCTGTGTGATTAATTTTATTTATAATTTGAGGAAAGTAGATGTAAGATATTGTGATTACTGCTGAAAATTCCATTCTATATCACAAGTACTGTTTTTTGGAATAAAGTAAATTATCATTATTATTGCTCTTGTTTTGACTAGCCTCTAGGTGGATTTCCTCACTGTGTAGAGACTTATTATTATTTTTTGTTATTATTATTGCTTCCTTTGGTTCCGAATGGAACATGGGGCTTCAACATTACATCTCCACTTTGTCCTGTCCTCTACGTTTCCCACCAATGCCTATAATCTCTGATATCTTCCTCGCACGATCGCTTTCATGCCAAACATGCCCAACTCGTCGTTTCCTATTGGGATTCCACTCGAATGATAGTCTGGCGATCGCACAGTGTCATTCGACGGTCTCCTCAGTGGTGGTGTCTGCCCAATCCATCTTCATTTTCTTCTACATATTTGGTGAACGACAGATTCTTGCTTGGTTTTTTGTTCCCATAGCTTCTTGTTGTTTGATTTTTCTTTCTGTCCGGCTATTTGATCTTCAGTATGGAGTGAGGGCAGCTGTTGATGAAAGCCTTCATTTACCTGTTGGAAATGCTTTTCGTGAGGCGCGTATCAAGTTTTTGACCTATATAGAAGACATTACTGACTGATTTATAATTGGTGCCGAAAATTATGCGTAGACTAGGCGGTTCACGGGAGGCACAAACACGAGGGAAACAGGCAGGCTTTAGACCAGGAAGAGGGTGTATTGAACATATCATATCTTCATCCTTCGACAGATTCTGGAACACAGGTATACTTACCGGCGTCCAACAATCGTCATATTTCTTGACCTAACTGAAAGTGCTATTCCATTCTGTCGACCGAGAGGTACTCCAGCGATGTTTGGCTGTAAAAGGAGTGCCGAGGAGATACAGTGCACTGATCAAGGCACTCTACTCGAACTCATGCAGCCAGGTAACAGCTTAAGGAGAGTTGTCATCTGAAGTGGTGACAACTAGTGGTGTCCGTCAGGAATGCCTAATCAGTATCCCCGTTTCTATTCAAAGTTCTATGTTGAAAACAGATAGACAGACAGACAGACAGGCAATCTAGCTATTTATACTGAGTGCAGAAAATTTGAAAACTGAAGGTCACTCTTTTCTTTCCGATTCTGGTTTTGACACCCCCATCTGTTCCGATCGCCTGTAGTTGATTCGATTCTGCTGAGATAAGTGAAGGAAGTAACCTCTTTCAAAATTATTCCGTTGGTTGGTTGGTTATTGTCAACACCTCCATCTTCTTTATATTATTTCACCCCTTAACCATACGTGGTATCCCTGGCACCAAGTAGAATATTCCCAACAAGGTGGGAATAAAACCCTGTCACCATGACTCACAAAGCGAATAATCTCTCCCCCAGACAATCCAAATTCAGAATAACTTTGACTCACTCAAGCAAAATCGCAGTCGTATAACAACACATCACAACCTTCACACAACAACAAAGAGGAGCATTGAAATTAGGGGGGCAAACGGGAACAAACACAAATAATTAGGATCAAATCAACAGATAATATGTAAATGTCAGGACAGTGATATACAGCTTAGGAGAAAAAGACTGATAATCATTACAAATTTAATTGCAACATCAAAATAGGTATAAATATTGTAATAAGATGGTTCTGGAGGGGTTTTCCAAAAATTAATCCCATTACAAATCTTATATTGAAAATTAGTGGCTAGAAACTTTCGGAGACATCGATAAGAGTGTACACACCAACAATGCGATTGGTGTTTTCACTCTCTGACATTCTTTTGGATGGCTAGTACCTCGGCTTTGCCCAGATGTCTCAATTTTACTCCCTTTGATAGGTTTGATCGAATCTTGTATATTATTTTGTAGGATTTTTCGAATGTCCTGAATTGACCAGATGTTCTGTCAGTGAACTATATATACAGACGTTTTCGTTCTCCTTTTACTAGCCAGGCTGGATAGTGTTCACGAGCGCGTTTTTCAAGTTGGCGCATGGTATGGCCGATGTACTCAGCTTCACAAGAGGAAGTAAACTGGTATATGCACTTTAAAGTGGCCCAATTTGACAGCTTATCTTTTGCGTTTTGTCTGAATAGTTTCTTGCGGGAAAACGTAAGTCGTAGGCTCGTGGCGAAGTATGTCTTCCTCACAGATCTGCAGAAGCGTTTACGAAGGATTTCTGCTTCAATGTCACTTTTAAATTCTAGATTAAGCAGAAGTATCTTCTTCGGGACGGATTGAATTTGTTCAGAAGTCTTCTTTGATTTGAGATTCTTGTCCATGAACCTGGGCGGAAAACCGTTTTCCATCAGGGTTCTCCGGAGATCACTCAGTTCTTCGTCAACCATTTCCTCGCTACATATCTTCCGAATCTGATTGACTGAGTCAGTGGTTGCTAGTTATGCACTCTCTCTGTACAGCTTTAAGCCAGACCATTTAGTTGTCCTGTAAGTATCGACGAAATAAAGCCTTCCTACATTTTTTCAGTTTTATTTGCCGCATTTTTATTATTCTCGTCGAATCTTTAGACAAATAAATGCAAGGCCATATTGTAAACTTCACTAGTGGGATTCAGTCTGCGCTAAACAAGCAAAGGTCTAGATGTACAAAACCAGTTGCTTAATACCTAGTTTCCAATCACTATAATAGGAAGTCTTCTTTGATTTCAGGTTCTTGTCTGTGAACCTAGGCCGAAACTGTTTAGCCATAACGCGAAAGACAAGCTGTCAAATTGGGCCACTTCAAAGTGCATATACCAGTTTACTTGATCGTGCGGAGCTGAGTAAATCGGCCGTATCATGCGCCAACTTAAAAAATGCGTTCGTGAACACTACCCCGCCTGACTAATAAAAGGAGAACGAAAACGTGTATATAGTGTATACAGTGACAGAACATCTGGTCAATTCAGGACATTCAGCGCCATTCGAAAAATCCTTCAAAATAATACACAAAATTCGATCAAGCCTATCAAAGGGAGCAAAATTAAGATCTCTGACATTCAACATTTTAAAAATATCCATCGGTCATCATCCCACTATTCCTTATTCTTCCACACTCGGAATACGTGTTTTCGACTATGTTTATTGTTGGTGCTGATTTCATTAATGAAATTCTTTGGATTGTTATTTTTATTGTTCGGAATCGTTGTTTCGTCCTAGTTTGGAACCCATCAACAGTACTCACCCAAAACTGTGGGTTCGAGCCTGGGACCTACTAGGGAAGCCCGTAGATCGTTCAGCCACATTAAGACCTGACTCAATGGCCAGCCCATAAATTCTAACTTCTACCATTTCGTGATTCATTTCTTTGTACGACTGGCTCCAGCCAGTATTTGTCCTCACTTCCGATAGGGTGGAATCCCACTGGTCACGACTTCTCATTAGAACTACGGTCAACTTCGTTGTGCAGCTGGTCATTAGCGAACATCAGATAAATTTCCAAGAGTTTGTCTAATGGTCTGTAACCGTAAGCTCCGATGTTCGATTCCCTGTGGCAGTTGCGTGGCAGTTCCAATGAGTCCCAGGGGTCCACGACGAAACATCTGTCCAGTAATCCGTGGCTGGTTTTCAATGGTTCTCCAACTGATATAAATCCTTAGTCAAACTTCAAACAATTATTATTATTATTATTTGATCCACAAACACCGTCACTGGTTAAATTATTTTTTTAATGTATAAAGCCTTAGGAAGATCTAATTGAAAAGAACAATATTGTTCACTTATATGCCCTGTTTTAAACAGAAAATATTTTAATTACAGTCCTACTTTGTCATGCTTCAATTGTGAAAATATATTCTCGTTATACTGTTTTTTTGTTTTCTTTTAGGTCTTACATGCTTGAAGAGTTACACTGACCCACAGGTACAAAGCAGTACCATCCATCCGAGTCAAATGATGATGCGTATAGCATCGTCAGCACAGAATTTATCCGATCGTGGTGAATCTGCTGTGCTATCAACACCGCCAGTAGTCATCCAATCAGTTGACCGGCGTCGATTAATTGGCCTACTGGCTCAAGCTTTAGCTGCTTCATATTTCGGTCTACTTGTCTATGCTTTATACACTCGTGACACGTCTATCCTCTATCGGCTGGCATGTGCACGTTTAGACGCAAAGACATGGAGTCGTGTATTCGGTGGAACATACAGAGCTAAACCGTATCGTCCACCAACACAACCACCCGGCAGCAGTAGCTCGGTAACATTCAATTTAAAGACAGCAACGACAACAACAGATAAAAAAGGTGTTGCTCCGCCACCGCCGAAACCACCAAGTCGACCTAAACGGTAAGATTTTTTCACTTTGTGGAAACCTTTGTCATGTCTCATATATCGATTCGCAAGGTGTGATAGCCGTTTCTTTTCCCTTTGATTTCATTTTTTATAAATATGTAACTATCGGATGTCAGTGAGTTTCTGTGTGTGTGAAGAGATCTGTCTTAGAGTTTATTGTATCAAGGGACTCGACCGATAGCTGCTACCTTGACGTGGTGGTGGTGATCGGGCTCGCATATCGCGGTGACCCACCAACAAGCTACACTGGCTGGAACCAATGTTCTTGCAGGTCCTACCATGCCAGGAAGGTTGTCAGGATAGCGATTAGACTAAAAGCAATTACCGGCATTGTGTAAGAATCTTTCTTACACTATGCTGGGGGGTCTGAGGGTGAAGTCGTACTGCTGGGGAGTAGGGATGTAACAGCAGGAAGGGGATGTTTCCCTAAGATGACCAGCATGCCAGCCAGCTATGTTGTCTCTCCACTCCGGAGAGAGGGGGTTAGGAAAGGTCAACCTCAAAAAATGGTACATCCCTACTTACCCCACCTGCGGCGGTCCGTGACCGGCGGTAAGTTTTCTAATACGGAACCAATCCAAGACACCAGTTCATATAAACCTCAAGCAGTTGTCCCCAGGGCTCTGCGGTCACACAACACTAACCCTCTCTCTCGGTTTCAGGTACCCGAAGAACCAACCAACTTCCATAGTGTGGGCATTCGGGAAGTAAGAACTGCCCACACACTTCCAAAGACACATGAAGCCTTCCTGAGTATCATTCTCCTCTACCCAGATCACCTTCATCATCTTATTCCCCTACTACAGTTAATACTATTCACAATTTGCAATCTGCACACAGTTCGAGCAGGTGGAATTTTCATCACAGTTTCCATTTGAAAATCAAGTTGTTCAGATGGCCACGATATTTGTGATCCGCTTGATTACCCCCCATTTATGGTATCATATTAGCAGAAAACTATATACTACTGATGGATTGATTGAGATGAGTAGTAGTAGTTGCATACCCCATCATTCACAACAACCGGTTATCTAAAACACCGGATGACCGTTTCGCTTAATTTGCGACCGAGTTGATCAACCATCGGTGTGTGTACCCCGGTTTGACTTAACTAAGGCAGCTGAATCAGTTCATTTATTCAAGTATTGATTTGTAGGGATTTGATTGATTGGTTATAGGATTTTATGAATGAGATGCTCACTGGCGACTGGCCCTATATTCAGTTAGGTGAGAAGTCGTGACCAGTAGGGCGCAGCAGGTCGGGTGTGAGGACAAATACTCGCCGAAGACACTGGCCACTGTTTCGGGTTCCAGTGACTTACTGGTCTATGAACCTTGCAACCAGAAGACCCTGGATTGGAACCCCTGTGGTGGGTGCGTATTGCTGAAGAGTCCCGAACTAGTCCGAAGAAACAGCCGTTAAGTACTTCTAGGTTCTCGTATGGTTCTCTAACCGATGTCAGCTCATGATGAAATCCTGTGACCAATCAGTTCATATATGTTATATCAAGCGAATCACATATTGTGATCTTGGTTTCCAAAGGAAACGATGGTGAAGTTTCATCTCGAATAGTTTGACCCAGTAACTAGTTAGCCAGAAATCAGGTGTGATTTGAAATGTGATTCGACTTTCTTAGCTTTTGTTTTTGTTAATAAGCTCGGTCTCAAACGAGCTAGTTGGTAAGCACTACTCCATTATAGATAAGATTTTTTCATTTTGATATATCACACAGTGTTTGCTGTACAGTAATATTAACTGATGGCCACGTTTTGAGCACAAACTATTACTGCTCACAATCATATCAAGTTACTCACACCACTTTTTTCCTTCATTTATATACATGTGTGGAATTGGTTAGATATTTGAATAAAAATCAGTATGGGATAATGTACATTCAGAAACAATAGTAATATGAGTGTTATTGATCAATTACAATTAGATGGGAAATAAGACAAGTGTTTTTATAGTCATAATAAATAAATAACTTGTCAGCATGTTGTGATGTGCTTGAATTGAAATAGAATTTTGAGATTATTTATTATCCTCCTCTGATTTAACTGACTGGTGGTAATAATATCTTCCATATCTCTGGTATTTGCATTGAGTCATTTCTGTTGCATGTGTTGGGTGTAGATTCACTCGGTAAACCAGGATTCAGTAATCAACCTCTCTCTCTCTCCGCCTATCTACATTACTTCTTAGAAATTTAACCCTCTCCCACCCTACTGTGTGATTGTGTGTTAATGCATGCAGTGCAATTGCTGAGTGTTTTTTTCTAAATTACTTATCTTCTCTGGGTCAACCATTCTTACCTTAGCTAAATTCTTATGTTCGGACAATTCGACTATCCCACCCGATCTCCTAGTTTGACCTATGTAGAACTGACCTCACTCACAATCATTGCAGGGTATTTTGTAAATTATATTATTGTGTCTAATTGGGTCCACCGGGTCTTTTAGCTTACAGAGCTTTCCCTATCTGAGTGAGTTTGTAGGTTTGAATGCCACCCTAATTCATGTATATAAATGAAGTAGAAAGTTGTGTGAGTGAGTGACTTGATATGATTATGAGTGGCAATAGTTTGTGCTCGATAGGTGGTCATCAGTGAATATTACTATATAACACATAGTGTGTGATTTATCAAAATAAAATCTTATCTCTAATGGAGTTACACTCTACCACTACAGTGCCTAAGTTTTATACTTATATCGGTAAGCACTACTATTGGTTTATTTGAGTGGATATTTTTATGCAACAAAGGAACTTGGATGAAAATGAAGTAGAATAAAACTGGAAGTTGAGATTATCATAACAGGTGTACTATTTTCTAAAGTTTGCTTTGTAAGGGTTTGTTATGTTTTTACGAGTTGATCACGGACTGATATCAGTTAGAGAACCATTGAAAACCAGGGAGTACTGGACAGCTGCCGTTTCATCCTAGTTTGGGAATCATCGGAAGTACGCACCCACTAGGATTCGAAGCCAGGACCTTCCGGTTACAAGGCAAGCTCGTATACCATTCAGCCACTGGGACCCGACTCAATGGCTCATGAATTCTAACTTCTACCAATTCGTGATTTAGCGCGATCCCAGCCATTGTCGTTGGTGGGACATCCATCCACTGGTTTAGTGATCTTCATTGTTATTTTGACCTTCAGTGTGTCCTTTTAACTTGACCCAAGTAGTCTATTTTCTCACCTCTTACCTCTTTATTAATTTCATATATACACATTCCTATGACAAGTCTGTGTGTGATCAGATTGTCGGAAATGTGTTGCGCAAATACATCACAACACGATTCAGACAAATTACGTCTTCTCATTGCTTCATCTACACCATAATAATAATAATAGTAATAGTAGTAATAATAATATAGAAAACATTGTGAAGAGAAGGGAAGGAGAATTGTAAACGTAAAATAAAAAAGTACGCTATCAAGGTAGATTTAAGCCGAACTATTGTCTCCTTTTGTACACATAGCCGACCTCTTTAATCTAATAGCGTTGGTTTCAGGGAAATCGAGAACTGTTTTTTTTTATTACCCCTTGCTTATTAATAATTGTAAAGCTTTTTTACTCAACGTCACCGTATGATTATAGTCCAATAAATGTTGTGTGATAGTGCTCCTTGGAATGTCATCATGAGTAACTAAGAGTTATTTGATGAAAAATCATGGTGGATTGGGTTCAGTATATCATGGCGGTGGGTAAAACAGGATGCTCATCGATCGTATTAGTTGGCGATTGAGCTCTGTTGTGAATTTAAGGGATTCATGCGTCGTCGAAGACCATTAACCCAGTACGATTGCATGACCAATGAACTGGCATCGTATGCCGAAGAACTCCAATGTGGGACGAAACGGATATCCAGTGTTTCCACGGGATTTCAATGATTCTCTGAATTTCTATATATGTAAATATCGTCTAAGTTTCTCTTCCAACACCTTTTCCGTAATTTATGTGCAATATCAATTTGTTTTACAAAAAAATATATAGTAATCTAGGTATGGCTATGCGGAAATTTCATTTCCCTCATATTATTGTGTAAGTTGATGACAAAATGAAAAGTAATCATAAAACAATACATATATATGTACATACTGTGTGCGTTGTGTGTGTGTGTGTTTGCTGTATGTACGTTGATAGTATTTTGAAGCAAACAGTTGGCTGAGTGTTGTTCATAACACGTGGCGGGTGCTTCCTTTTTTTCATAAATATATGTCCTTTTCTCTTACCGCTTAACACACTATAGTTGATTACTTTTGTTATTATTATTATTATTCCCTTGGATTCTGCAGTGGAATATGACTTTGACAGTACATCTCCTCTATATCACCCTTGGATGTCCACTCTCTAGGACCTAGCGTCGTATATATCCAATCCATTTCCTGTTACCAGGGTACAGTCTTGTTGACATTTATAAAATTATATTTGTAAAATCTCAGCTAAAATCACACCTTCACGCCTGTTCAAACTGTTAGGATTCACCCATATATGTAGGGCTTCTGCAGTCAGTCTTTCTTTATATGAACCAAAACCTTTCTGTAAAACCTTATTCTCATCAAGGTCGATTTTGTGTCCCGTTTCTATCGAGTGCAGTACAATCGCTGAGTTGTTTTCTAGCTTCTTCAAGTCTGTAGAGGTCTTTGGAACCACCTTTAGACATTGTTTATGCTCTTTCACCCTTACATTTACCTGTCTGGAAGTTTCTCCTACATATACGGCGTTACAATCCCTACAATTGATCTGGTATACACAATTCTACTGGTTTTCTTGTTCTATTTTATCCTTAACCTTAACCAGTAATGAGCGTAAGGTGTTTGATACACGAAAATACACTCGTATGTTATGGTCGTTAAGGATTCGCTTTATTTCGTCGGATGTTTCTTTGCGGTAAGGAATCACCGCTGTACTAACCCAATTCTTAGCAACAGGTTTTGATTCATCCTTATCTTCACATTTTAAATATCTATTTATGAAGGATTTTGGATAATTATTTGATTCAAGAGTGGATTGAAGCAATTTTAATTCCTTGCTAATATCTCCCTCCTCAGTAACTAGACGTTTGGCTCTGTTGATCAGATTCTCGGCCACAGTTACTTTGGTGGTAAATGGGTAAATGTTTACTATACCTATTGATAGCTGTTTCTTGATTCACATGACTGGACAAACAATTTAAAACAAGAGATGTACTTTTATATATAAACATACTATTTTATTTATTTATTTATTATACATGTTGATGACTGTTGCATGACTCATGATTGGACAAAGTTTAAAAACAAGAGTTGTTGTTTTCGATATATAAACCTCTGTTATGTTAATTCGATTAATTTCCCTGAAGAAGTTCGGACCAGATTGCCGAACGAAACGTTGGAATTAATCATTTCAATCTCGCTGAGATTTTACAAATATAATTTTATAAATGTCTACTTCTCACTCAGCGCTCAATTATTTTGCAACTATCCGATCAAATCTTGATCACAGTTCATATGAAGTATAGTCTTGTTGGGTTAGAATATACGGATGATATAATTCTCCTAGGTAATGATCCTGAACACCTTGAGTGGGAATCTCTGAATGTTTGGGATCCAATTCGTTTGTGTCAAATATAAGATGATGCTACAGGACTGGACTACACATCGACTTCTAGCTTTCAGATAGGAAGCAAAGTGTCACAGCCTATTGACCACTTCACTTATTTGGAAAGTCGATGAAATCTCACCACGGATACAACTCACTCCATCTCTGGAGTAGACGTGATAACCATCTGGTTACCGATCAAAGCACGCGTATACTGCTCACCAATTCTCTCCCTACTCCTTTATGGCTGACTGTGAAACGTGGCCATCGTAAGTAAAAGATACGAGAAGGCTAGGTGTCTTTGATCATAATAGGTGTCTGCGTTCTATCTACCCTAGGTGTTAAGTGGTATAATAAGGTGAGCAATATTGAAGTTAGGCCACAGTCGAGTATTATTTAGGTAAGGAAGGAAAGTCAGTCGATAAGGTTATAAGGCTACGTCGATTGAGATGGTTCGGATATGTGTTACTCGCAAGCCTAGCCATCGATCGTATTCCTCGACAACGAATAATGTTCATTGGCATAGGATCGATGAGGTTTGGGAAAGAGCTAGTGGCAGTGGTCAAAACGAAACTTGTCATGAGTTTAAGCTAGCCAGACACTTAGGGAGGTGTGGACTTTCAGTCTGGTTGGGGTCCCCAGAATTCTAAAAACCAAATGAAGACTGGAGACAACTGGCGGCTCAAAGTGATCGTTGTCAATGATTGGCGCAGATGCATTCACTTTTTGTGATTCCCCATGTGCATTAAACCCTTCTGTGTTACTGTTCTTTCTTTCTCCCTCACATTTCTGCTTATTATTTTCCTTTCGAATCTGTGTTACTCTCTCCCGTTTGTCTTTTTTTGTGTGGTACGTGTACGAAGTGTAACAATTCAAACTGCTGCACTTCTGTTCAAATTTCTATGTTGAAACCCGTCAGTTAATCAGTCCATTTTCTCCTACCTGTTTTCCCGGGTGTCAACTTAACACATTATCTTTCAAATGACTTATAGTCATTGGTGAATAATGCCCCCTCCCTCTCCCAGATATGAAGCCTTTCTCATATGTGTTATTTTAATTAAATTATTATTATTGTTTCCTTTAATTCCGTAAGGAACATAGGGCTTCAGCCGTGCGTCTCCATTGCGTTCGGTTCTCTGCTAGAGTCTTTTCCTGGCTCCAAGTCTGCCCACATGCTTTCATCTCTTCACATGACCTCCTCCAAGTCACCCTTGCACTGACGACCAACTCGCCGCTTCCCTTTCGGGTTCCACTCGAGCGATGGCTTGTCTAGTGATGTCACTTGATGGTTTCCTCAGAGTATGGCCAATCCATCTCCATTTCTTCCTGCCTATTTGTTTCACAATCGGTTCCTGGTTGGTTTGCTACCACAGGCCCCTTTTGCTGGTCTTTTCTGGCCATCTGAACCTGAGTATTGAGCGAAGACAACTGTTAATGAAGGTCTGTAGTTTGTTTGAGATGCTTACTTTTCCTTAATAAGAGGCTTAAGAAGTCGGATAATGCGACAGACAGACAGCTGAAAACGTGAAGACAGGCATGAAATGCACCCATCCAAAAACTTGGAGGATCTACATTTTTGACGATTTGATATATGTCTGATTTCCCATAAACTGGAAGATATGCAAGCGAAAAGCAACAAGTTGGCGATACAAGAAGCATCTAAAGAAGATACGATTTTAGGTGAACATTGAGAAAACAGAGGTAGGTGATGAAGATTCCTGGCCAACAGTAAACAGCAACAACAAAAACAGAGAACAACCAGCATAAATGGGAGAAATCTGAAAGAAGCAACCTCCTTCATCTACCCACCTACCTGAGAAGCATCGTTTCAGCTACAGGCAGACAGAACTGATGAGGATATCAAAGGTTGAGGATAGAGAAAGAAATGCAAGCTTTCATTACTCTCAAGTCTGTGTGGAGATAAACAGCACTCAGCATGAGAAATGAGATCGGGATTTCCAAATGCAATGTGAAGTCAGCGCTACTTGCTGTATGGATCAGGGACTTAGCGCGTCACAAATGCCACTTTGAACAAACTACACACCTTCATCAATAAACATTTGTATTCGCTCAATACTACTCAAGATCAGATGGCCGGCCAGGAAAGATTAGCAACAGGGATCTCTGGCAATGAACGCACCAACCCATCAGGAACGAATTGTGCAACAAATGTGCAGGAAGAAATAGAGGTGGATTGGATTGGCCATACTCTGAGGAACCCATGAAATAACATCACGAGCCATGCCATCCGTTCGTTTGAATCCGAATGAGAAACGAAGAGTGGGTCGTCTGAGGGTGATATGGAAGAGATCATGCGATGAGGAGATGAGAGACTGTCCACAGTCTCGGGCCCAGCTGAAAAGGAGAACAGGAAATAGAAGAAGGCAATGTGTTGTTGAAACCCTATGTTCCCCTCGGAACCCAAAAGAACAATAATGATAAAACATTTGTTGATGCCCATAATGTATCACTTTGTGTATTTAATGATAACATGCATATGCATAGTTTCTGCCTAACAAAATATATTTAACAACTAACTCTAGTCTCATACACGAAACAGGTGGCAATTAAATAACAAAGCTGTTGTAATACTACACCGCAGTGGGTGATTAGTTTCCTAACAGACTGAAACGGGCTTTTCCTTACATGCACTTTTAACCATGAAGAAACATATTTCTCTTTAAAGGTGTGTGTTATTTCATGCAATTTGTTTGGCTGGTGTTTTTTTTTCCTGATTTCGTTAAGAAAAACTGTTTTTAAAGATTGGTGAAAATCAACTGTTTTGTTCGTGCGTGTTCGAATTCTGTTTTTATGATTGGTTCAGACATCCTGAGCAGTTAGTTAAAAGTCACATTACCCATTCATTGCTGGACCATATTATTCTTATTATTGTTCCCTTGATTTCCGAGCGGAAAATAGGGCTTCAACAGAACATCTCCATTTTGGTCCTATTTTCTGCAGTCCTCTTTAACTCATATTCTCCCCATCACACGGTCTCCTCCATGTGATTTTCAGACCCGGGCTCCACTTATCATTTCCCATTCAGGTTCCACTTAGACTGTGGCCTGGCATGCGATGTCATCCAATTTTACTCTCTTCTCTTGCTCTATGTGCTACATGGAGTGTTACAACTCGAACTGCTGCACATCTTTGCAGAGTTCGACATTGAGACCAGTCACCCTGACAACGGTCTACTCAGCGTGCGTTGGATTCACCTTCATTTCTTCGTCGTATTTGTTGGGCAGTGGGTTCTTAGTTGGTTTTTCGTTGTTAATTCTTTCCGGCCGTTTGATCTTTATTGTGGAGCGAAGACAGTTGTTGATAAATGTCTCCAGCAGCCTGTAGAAAATGCTTTTCATGACGCACACATCAAGTTCTTGAAGTATGCAGAAGCACTGACTGACTTTTGCTCCTTATGGTGAGTACAGAAGATTTATGAACTGATTTCTGAGTGATGACGGTTTGTTTTGCCTTTTGATTATTGTTTTGACATCCTCATCTATCCCAACCTGCATGTAGTTGAAAGGATGTTTCCGACATACGTGAAGGAGGTAACGTTTTTCAAATTTCTCCGGTTGATGTTAATTAGTGCTTCTTTTTGTCGGTTGGTCAGTTATCTTCATCACCTCTGTCTTCTCTAGACTCACCTGGAATCCTGTCTTTGCTGCTTGACTCTTCAACCAGTTTGTTGTTTTTCTCCTGTAAGCCTTCGAGTCTGTTTGACATTAGACATAAGTCATCCATAAAGTGCAGATCTTCGAGGCTCTTCTTGTCGGTCCAGCAGCATTCTTGTCTTCTTGCTCCCCCCCCCACCCCATGCATGATGTTCCACGTAATGCAGTCCACGGCAGTTAGGAATATCATCGACGAAAATTGACAACGGCTTTGTCTTACTCCTTTCTGTACTTTATAGGCTTCTGTGGTGTTTCTGTTATGGATAACCTGACAGGTGGTATTGTCTTTCAGATGTTGAATGAGCTTGATAAAGATTTATGGCACTACTGTCCATACTGTTGAAATAGCTTCCAAATTACTTCATAGTACACACTGCAGAAGGCCTTTTTGAAGTTGAGATAGAGGTTTCACTGTCATTCAATGCTTTGTTCGATGATGGTGCTGACGTGTAGAGTAGCAATTTGACCCACACATGATTCGCTCCTCCTGAATCCATATTCATCGTAGAGAAATCTTGAAGTGTCTTCTTAATTCTTTTAATTGCATAGTTCGTCTGTCTATTAAAGACAGTACAGACTATGCCTTTCTCATTTTTCTTCTATCATTCCTTCTCACCAAATATCAAATTTTGAAGTATCAATAGACGTGTTGTTTTTACTGGATGAGGTCGTCAGCTGCATGCCAAACCGTCCGTCTTCTCCAGACTTACTTCCAGTTAGTAAATTAGTTGACGTTTAAGAGTGTGATTCTCTGGGGAATCGAACTCTGGACCACTTGTTTGGGTTAGGGTCGGTGAATATTCAGGAATCAAATTGTACAGAAAATTGTACTTCATTTTATTGCGTTGAAAGAATGATAATAATAATAATTTACTTTATTTCAGAAACAGTACTAGTGGTACAGTGTGGAATTTTCCACACATATCTACAATATTTCCATCTAATTTTATCAAACATTTAAAAGGAGTATTAAACAAACAAACAAAATCTAAAGACACCAACAGCAAAAAAAAAACAAAAAAAACAGGATAAACACAAAATAATTATAAATGCGAGAAAGTACCAAGAAGTAGAAAGGAAATAAACATCACATAAAAATAACTCAGTATTGGATAGTGGAAGCTATGATATGATTATACATGGTGACAGTAAAGCTATAGTCATACAAGAAGTTATTAACTGATATTTAAGAATGTTTATCAGTTAATTTGGTTGAAACAACTCTAAACAATCATAAAATAACATTTCAGGGTTGTTTTTTATTGTCAGGTCTAATGCGGTGTTTGTAGTGGTAGTGTGAGTAATCCTGAATAATACAAAATTTTAAGATGGTGATAATGGCTTTCACAAACAAGATTGTCAGTTAATATTGTCGAACAAAAAAGCCAACAACCACAAAACTAATAATTACATGATGGTTAATGACAGGACAATTTTGTAATACTCATCGTGCTAATATAGTCGGAACCAGTAGATACACAAAAGGAGGAATAGAGTAAAGTACAAAAAAGTAAGCCAATGTTAATAATTTAGGTAGCTAAGTATGTTTAAGAAGGTGTTCACTTTAGAATACAAAATAAGAGAGAAATAAAAGAGCCTAAAATTATGATTATTAACAACAAAGCAAGTCATAGGTTTCGCGCTTAAAATTGTCTCTGTCACTTAGAACACGGGCCAAATATGGTATCGTTGACCTCCTGTACTTGGTTGTATGAGCATAGATTATTTTATACTGATTTCTGGTTCTGCCTGATGAGACACAAGGAGAGATTTGGGAATAGAGGGGTTGTTGGGGGTCGGAGTGTATGGTTTTTGACCATTTTTCGCATGTATTCAGATGCCTATCAACTAAAGTAGTGACGAGCTAACTGAGTTTTACACCACTAGTCCTACTGACTACCTTCAACATCCTTCTCAGGATGGTATAGTCCTTTTTCAGTAGACCAGGAAAGACTAATGGGGAGCAGTAAAGTAGAATAGGTAAGATCGGAGAGTTGACAAATTGTGAAAGTAGAGGTTGGGTGATTCCAGATTGTCTAAGTTTCTTAATGTAGTAGGTAAGACAGAACACTTTCTTAGAAATCGTTAGGATATGAGATGTCCAAGTAAGGTCGGAAGATAGAACTAGACCGAGGTATTTTGCATTAGACTTATCAGATTGTAGGCAAAAGTCGATAACTATTTAATCCAATTTGGACTTTCCCGTTGATTGATTTGAGTGAAGTTCTTGGCCTCAGGTTGGCATGTCGGCTCCTTGTGTGATGTCTGCTTTGACGATATCTGATTATCATCTCATTTGAAGTAAACTGGTGGCTGGTGACTAGCCTCAATGGAATCCACGATGCGCATTTCTTCCTATTTATTGACTCGTCAGTTGGATATACCTGGATTCCACTACTAGTCACCATACACCAATTTACTTCAAGTTGAGTAATCAAACATCGTTGAACCATCTGCATAAGTAGCCGAAATGTCAACCAACCTCAGGCCGAGCACTAGGGTTCAGTCAATCAACGGTTAAGTCCGAATCGACTTAAATAATTACTGATATACGTTGCACAAGAGGTGCTAGCTTTCGTGACCCAGGTAGACCCTAGTAGATAATGCCTTGGTGTTTCAAACGACGGGTACTGGGTCTTATCCTCAGTGGGAATACCATCTCTCACTGTGGGGGAATCCACGTACATCCAGATGACGAGTCCCAGGTAGGACGAAGTGGTCATCCTAGTGGTTTCCACTGCAGCTAGTCACCATCCACCAGTTGACAGCTGATATCTCTAAATCATTCAGGATTCTTTTTGTGATATGATTAAGTTCTGTATTTGTCTAATTATCTCTAACCTAATCTACTGCTAGTATCCTCACAATCTTCACATCGATATCCGACTCGCGTTCGAAACTCATCTCAAATATTACAAATAACATGAGGATACTGTTATAGATATGTTGGAAATTCATTTCGAGTGTCAGTGTAGTTTCACTTTGCAATAAACAAGCTGGATGACTCACTGTCACCGTGCACTGTGAACTGCTGATATTAGGTGGTTGGATGTAATCGCCGGGGGGAACACGATACCGCGCGATCTAGGTTTCCTGCTTGTTGGCTGGCACACTCACCAGTCAATAAGGCGTATTTTGAAGGGACTCATGTTCCTTTAGAGATCGGAACCCGTGTCATCCATTGCACTGCCTATAGTTAGAGATGCGTTACCATTGAGCTGTTTTGACTGGCAATTGACCTCCTTCCTGCAGGACTGTATTGGATACTTTGATTGAACGCTAGACAGTAATGGCCCGTCATCGTGGATCACTGTTAATTATTGCTATTAGATGGTGGTAGCTAATGTCCTCTCAATTACCAGTGAGCAATCTGTTGTTTGAGCGAACCAACCAGGAACCAATTATAAAACAAATAGGCAGGAAGAAATGGAGATGGATTGGCCATACTCTGAGGAAACCATCAAGTGACATCACTAGACAAGCCATTGCTCGAATGGAACCCGTCGAAAGGGAAGCGGCAAGTTGGTCGTCAATGCAAGGGTGACTTGGAGGAGGTCATGTGAAGAGGAGATGAAAACGTGTGGGCAGACTTGGAATCAGGTGAAGACTCTAGCAGAGAACCGAACGCAATAGAGACGCATGGCTGAAGCCCTATGTTCCTCTAGGAATTAAAGGAAACAATTATTTAGGAAGAAAAGAAAAAAACAGGTACTTTTTGAATTCAGCCTTCATATTTCCTATATCGACATAGTGTTTGGACCCCTTTCTTTCTAGCTTTGTTTGAATACCTATGTGTTCAAAATGCATTAACCTAGTGAGGTGATTATTTATAAGATATCGGGTGCAATACTGTCTTTTATGTAATGATACCCCCACCTAAATATAACATAAATATAACATTATTTTCAACTTCTACTTCCTTGTGTGTGTGTATGTGCACATTTTATAGACCAACTCCAATTTCTGGTAAACGCGATAGATCAAAATCACGTAGTCCTGAAAAAGCTGTTATGAAGGCTAGAGATCGTGCAGTTGCTGCTCTTGAAGGTGAGTTAACGCTTTTACTATTGTTGTTGTTGTTGTTTTTGTTTCTCTTTGCCACCTAGATTTTTTTGGATGTTATACAGGCTGGAGAAATGATTGTCCTAGCTAGCTAGCTTGTAGTGTCATGGATGAATAAAAGATAACAAATTGCTCTGATTGGTTGTTTATTTTCTAAATGTTAAACCTTGATGCGAGCGATTGTCCAATGAGATTTTTTCCTGACCACAACGTAAGCTAAATCCAGATATGAGGAATAAACACTTCCACATACGTACTTCTGCAGCTAGCCATTGACTTGAAATGTTGTTTTCAATTTTGGCTGCTACTTTCTATATCAATCTGCGTCTATATACTACTGATAAATCACGTCAGTACCACACGCTACAATAGCGATTATTTAACAACTTTGATTGGACACTAGTAACTAGTGTGCTGTGTGTCTAGTTCTTTCTTTGGTGACGACTTGAAAATTAATCTGATGCTCACTAGCGACTGGTCCTATTCAAGCAGTGACCTGGAGTTCTAGTGGGAAGTCGTGACCAGTAGAGTACAGCAGGTTGAAGATGAGGCAGTAACTTATCGAAGAAGACACTGCGAAATGGTCGCGCTATGTCATGAATTGGCAGAAGCTAGATTTCATGGTCTGACCATTGAATCGGGTCCCAGTGGCTTAATGGTCTGCGAGTTGGCTACCCTTGTAACCAGAAGATCCTGGGTTTGAGCCCCGGTGGGTGCGTACTGATGAAGAGTCCCAAACAAGGCTGACGAAACAGATGTCCAGTACTCCCTCTCAGGTTTTCCAGTGGTTCTCTAACTGATGTCAGCTCATGATGAAATCCTCCATGCAATCAAACTGAATCCCTACAAAACGAATACTTGAAAGGCGACTCTGCGTGTTCGATCATCGCTGTCTCCGCAGGATTGCTTGTGTTCTATGGCATCATCGCGTGACTAATCCTGAGGTTCGGCGGTGTGTTTCAACACAGTGGAGGTCACCATTCATTGATTGTCGTCATCTGGAAACACCGGCTCCGGTGGCTTGGACATGTGCTGCGAATGTCATCCCAGAGGCTTCCGTACAGGTCTCTGTTCGCTAACCCTGGGACGGGATGGAAAAGGTGGAGGGGTGGTCAGTCCATGACGTGGCATCGTGTGATAAAGGATTTTTGTGCTAGATTAGCATCGGTTGGTGCGTCACGACTCCCTGGTTGGGGTCCGCGAGATAGCTCGAATCGATGGCTCGAAACGTTATCGGATATGTCCAAGAATCGTAATCAATGGCGAACGTGTTGCAATTTCCATTTTTTCTTCCTTTCCTGATGATAGTTAACGAATACTGTTTGAACTTGTTAAACATGACTGTTTTCCTTCCAGATGAAGTTCTTCATCCGTTCTCCACCCATATTTTTACTTTTAATCTATGCTGTTTTGTTACTATTATTGTGTGGTGCATCTTTCTTGGTGCCATATTGTACCAAGTTTTTTCTGCGTTTAAGTAAAATATTTAAATAAAAATACTTGAAAATTAAATTCTATCAGTCATGTTTGCAATGTGGTCACCATCCTAAGCAGCTTGCCGTCACTGTGCATATTGATTTGAGGATACTAGATGGTTGGAGGCAATCGGCCACAGGAAGCCTTGCTTGACCTAGGTTTCATGTCACTTGAAACCTGGAAGGAACTCACATCCCTTCTGAGATTCGAATCCGCGTCACCCATGCTACATTCAGAAATGCTACCACTGAGCTATTCGGGCTCTCGATTGACCTCCTTCCTGTAGGACTGTATTGAATACTTTGATTGGACAAAAGGCTCCAGATACGCCTTGGTGACGAGTACCAACTAGCACGAAATCTAGGCCAAGCAGTGCTTCCTGCCGAATGCCTCCAACCATCTAATATCATAAGATTATTTAACAATCCTGGATGGTAGTCAATATCTTCATCTCGTTGTTAGGTAATAATCAATTGAGATATATTGCCCGAAACAACTGTCCCTGGATGTCCTACCACGGCAGAAAGTAGAGGTGTTGGGTAGCGGTAATACACCTCAAGCAGTTGATTCACGTATGCTATAGTAGGTAGTGTGCACTGCGTTGGGCTGTCTGATGATGAAGTTGTGGTAGAAAGGTGTTTTCCTCAAAATGCTAAACAGCCAGCTATGTTGCCTTCCTATATGATAGAGGAAAGGTTGGAAAGATTCATTTCCAAAACCTCTATACACAATGACTAGTCCTACTGTAATGACACAAGACAAGCGCCAGATAACAGATTGTTTATTGAGAAAATCAAGAGGTATTTATAGATTTTTATATACATTATTTGTTAACGGAGAAGCAACCTCTTTTGATTGGTTGTTTTCTTGCTGAAGGTTATTCTGTTATGCCTTTGTGGCCGTTTCTCAGCAAATCAAGTCGTATATCTGTGAATCGTATTTCCACACTTTAACTCCGCTGTGAGTGGCTGGTGATCTTCTCAAGGTTAAGCTTTGTTACTGTGTTTTTTTCTCATGACCCTGATTCAGGACGTAAATTGTTGTCTACAATTTTGGCTTGCAGTCAGCTCTCACCACACTACTATAGAGACCGTTGAGATAACCTACGGCTGCTAGAACGTTGGTGAATCCTTATGAATATCTATTGTTTCTTTTATGACGATCAAAAACCCGACTCGTTGTCATCTTAGCACAGGGAACCGATCACTGCTTTCTACTGTGGATAGCTGCCAGAAACATCCTTGGGCAGGTTTCAAAGACAACAAAATGATGACTGGTTACAGAATTTCATCATGAGATGGCATTGGTTAGAGAACCATTGGAAAACCTGCCAAGGAGTACTGGACAAATGTTTCGTCCTAGTTCGGGGCTATTTGGTAGTGCTCGCCCACCGGGGTTCGAACCCAAGACCTTTTGGTTACAACGCTAGTGAACTCGTAGATCATTAAGTCACTGGGTCCCCATCCGATTATATTCGCGTTTGAGAACTATGTGTGATTCTAATAACAACATCAGAAACTCAAAATTACTTCATCAATGCCGTTAGGCAGCTGTACATGTTAGATAAGCTTCCAGTACTATAGAAGATAATTATTATTATTCCCTTGGGTTCCTAGTGGAACATAGGGCTTCAACTACACGTCTCCACTTGCTTCTGTCTTCTGCTGTACTTTTCACCTGCGTCCATGTTAATCCATACTGTTTCAACTCCTCTTCACACGATCTCCTCCATGTCACCCTTGGACGTCCTACTCGCCACTTACCTTTCGGGTTCCACTCGAGCTATGACCTGACGAGCGATGTCACCCAACGGCCTCCTCATCGAGTGTCCAATCCATCTCCACTTTCTCCTGCATATTTGTTGGGCGATTGGTTCTTGTTTTGTTTGTTCCCATAGTTTCTTGTTGGTGATTCTTTCCGGCGGCCATCTGATCTTCAGTATAGAACGAAGACAGCTGTTGATAGAGGTCTGAAACAGGCTGTTGGAAATATTCTTTGTGACCCGCTGGCCAAGTTTCTGATCCGTACGTATAGAAGAACTGACTGACTTGACGTTTGTATTGAAAATCCGAATTTTGTTGTTGATGCTGAGTGACGAAGATTTCCAGATTGGTTTCAGGTTGATGAATGTGTTTTTCGCCTTCTCGATTCTCGATTTGACATCGTCGTCCGTTCCTCCTGTAGTTACGACAAGTGAAGTGAATGAAGTAACCTCTTTCAAATCCTTCCCGTTGATGGGGATTGGCGGTGGATGTTGCTGCTGTTGTTGTTGTTGGATAGACGATAGTTAGTTAACCTAAATTTAACTATACGAAGTACCTTGAAATCAAGTAGATTATTCTTAATTAGGTAGGATCTAAAACTCTACCAACAAGAATCACACACCAACACTTCTTGAAGACAGATCAAGGTAGGAACGAAATTGACTTAACACAAACAAAACGGAGGTGATGAAGATAACCAACCAACCGACCAAGAACAACAAAAACAACAAGCACCAAACCCTTTCAACGGAAATAATTTGAAAGAGGTCATTTCAGCTACAGGCGAAACGGATAAGTATGTCAAAACCGAAATCGAAAAGGCAAGATAGACCTTTATCAGTCTGAAAACAGTTTTGAAATCTTCTGTACTCAGCATAAACGATAAACTTCAGATTTTCAACGTCAATGTTAAGTCAGTCAGTCAGTGATAATTATTATTATTCCCTTGAGTTCCGAGTGGAACTTAGGACTTCAACGACATATCTCACCTTTGTCCTATCTACTCTCATCCTCTTCAGCTGGGTTCACGATTGCCCATAATCTCTCATCTCCTCCTCACATGACCCACTCTTCGCCTCCCATTTGGTTTCCATTTGAGGGCCTAGCTAACTAGCTTGCTAGTTTTCTAGTCGGTCCCTAGCCCGGGTAAATAGGGAGGGTTGGGTGTGTGGGGCTAGCAACCCTACGAATCACAAAAGCTATCAAACTGCTAGAGAAAAAATGTAGTCAGACAGTTAGTTGTCCTATATGGGTCAGAAACTTGATAAGGGGGTCACAAAAAGCATTTCTAACAGGTTGATGCAGACTTTTGTCAACATCTCCCTCCCTCGCTGACTCCATACTGAAGATTTCATGGCCGGTTGGAAAGAATCATCAACAAGAAACTGTGGGAACGAACCAATCAAGAGAATGATGGTCAATCAATATGGTGAACAAGACTGTTGGGTGACATTACGCATTAGGCCTTCCAGTGGGAAGAGACTAGTTTGGCCTGGATCTGAGGGTGACATAAAGAAGATCGTGTAATGGTGAGGAGATGACAGCAGCCTATGATCGATCGTGGAACTATCTACGAAGAGGTGCTGCTGTCGAAGCCTCATGTTCGAGTCGGAACCCAAAGGAATAACAATAATAGTAAACAATTTTTGTGGATATTTTGCTATCTATACATTACTAGTTTATTTTATTATTGTTGTTTTTTGTTTGTTTTTTTCTATATTTATTTCATAGTCGCATCGAAGATTGGCAGTCCACCAAAGCCTACTGTTCTAACTAGTCAACATATACGCTTCCTGGCGCATGCTGAAGCTGCTGCTATAGCTGACTCAAAGGGTGAAACATACCGACAAGATACTTCTGCCTCAAATGAACAACATGCAACAACAGGAGACCAACAACAACAACAGCAACAGCAAGCATCGGTCAGCCCTGATGAATGGTTCATCTTTGCACAATCTTCCATACTATCATGTCTTCTTGAACGTGTAAGTGAACAGGGCAAAAGGGGACTCTGTGTATATATTATTGATTGATTGATTGGTGTGTGAGCAGTTGTTTACCGCACCATTCACACATCGACCAATTGTGCTTACTAGCCACCTAGGTTGCAGCGATCCATTTACCGGACGACCATTTCGCTCGTTTTGGGCTGAGCGGTGTACCCAATTTCCGATTGTCTAGCTAGCTAGCTACTTAAGCGACCTGATAACATCATAAATCAAATTCTCAGTTCCCAATTCATGATGTTTTTTTTCGGAGACAGGTCGATTCTCACATCTCAGTTTCTTTTGAAGGCTGAAATTATTCAGATCGCCACAATTATGTGAGTGATCTGTTTGATATCACTATAAAAGGTAATCAAGAAAGCCCCAAGCAGAGAATTGTTGAGTTGTCACAAACATAGATGTTAATATTACCTGGCTGGCTGTTTTCTAAGTAGAACTTTGAACCGATGTGCACCAGTTCGAGTCACCTCACTCTATGTAGCACACAAAGCAAGGGAAGAAAGGAAAAAGAAATGCAAAATAGAGACAGAAAACGGAGATATGAGGCAAGAACAATAGTAATGTCGAAGAACAATATAGGTTTATTGGAATTTATAAGCCACAAAAAGTAAATTTTGAGCCATATCACATACTGTCTCCAGCCATTGGTTTTTGCCGTCCCCAGGACCCCAACCAGTCAACAGGTCTACACCTTCCTACGTGATTTAAACTAAGTGTTATAGATTTCATTGACTGATGAAACCATATTTTGATTTGACCAACACTGACTCCTTTCCACCCTGACCCTATGTCAGCTAGGCATGAGTAACACATGTCCTAACCATCTTAGTCGACGTAACTTCACAGCCTCGTCCCTTGATTTCCCCTCCCTACCTATCACTCGACCAAGGCGCAGCCTCAGTATTGCTCACTCTATTATACCACTTCACACAGGACAATGCATGGGCAATAAATGCATCAGAAGAGTGGAATAGGTGTATTGGAGTTGCGTAATAAGATGAATAATTTTTATGAATGAGTTATAATCACAAACAAATGAAAGTCAATTCAATAGAGAAACAATAAGATTGTTTGCATGATAACAGGAGTGGTTGAATAATCGTCTTTTGTATTCATAGATCCGGTTTCTCTAACTGAATGGCTAAAGCTTCAAAAATGCAAAGGAGACGAAAGCGTGTTACTTTTGTTAGGTCGTTATTCTTCACTTTGTAGATAGATTACTTTGAAGAATGAGGCGTTTGTTGTGAGACGGAATGACCAGTGTTAACAAGGTGTCCGATCATCGAACTCCTTACTGAGTCACTACTACCTTTCTATAACAACGTGAGATAGAGTTTTTCAACCCTTTAAGACGCATCGAACGACCAATATACCTGGTTCCACAAGAACAGTTAAACTGATATATGCACATAGAAGTGGTCAGAAGGCGAGATATTGTCCTTAAGGCTTCTGTAGACCAACGGATGACTGACTTGTGAAGACTACTTTTAGCGTTGCTGCGGAGAATGTTCTTCTCTTTAAGATATCGCAGGTTGAGTCTCCTTTTTGAAACAAGTTATGTTTGTTTACTATGAAGTTTTGGTTTCATATTCATTTCAATAAGTCTTGGTGCGTACCCATTTTGGATGAAAATTTCTTTCAGAAAATGAAGTTCTCTTTCTAGGGTGTCAGATGCGTTGGATCCGTGTGACAAGGGATTTAATTAAATTCCATATTCGTTCAATGGTCAATCCACCGGTAGAAACTTCTAGTCAGTTTCCAATTGACTGTGACCGCCTTCTTAAGGTTCTATTGGGTCGTCTTATTGCATCCACATCAAGAAGGGGAATTTTGGATTCGTTTTCTATCCGAAGAGGGAATTTTATTGCCGGATGACAGTTTCTGAATACTTGTAGGAATTGATTGAAGTTATAACTTTTGTCACAGTTGTCATTGGTGGTCGATTTTAATAGACCCATTGTGCGGCTAAAGCAGAAGAGAATGAATTCGCCGAAAAAAACAATAGCCTCTTCTCTGAACTACGTATTATGTTTTCGTTAACCTCCACGTGTCCTGGTGAGATACACTCTAAGATGATTTTCCTCAATGGTGACTTGCAGTGGTACCTAGAATTCCTCGCTTCGTCTTGATTTAGGTCTCATCAGCTAGCTGAATTTACGTTCATTCCTAGTGAATGAGTGGTAATTTTCCCATTTTGGCGTTTGAAACGAAAGGTCAGCACTGGATTCGAGTTTCAGTGTAGGGAATACCCAACACCATCTCCCACTAGAGATTCCAGGTATATCCACCGGTTGACGAGTCTCAAACAGAACAGAATCCGCGTTCTGGTGGATTCCGCTGCTAGTCAGTAGCCGTCGCACCCCCAACCAAACTAACTTCATATTACCTTGATAAGTCACACAGTGTTACACAGTAATATTAACTGATGACCACCTTTCCAGCACAAACTATTGCTCATAATCATATCAAGTTACTCACACAACTTCTTTCCTTCATTTATATACATGAGTGGAATTGATGATTAGATATTTGAATAAAAATCAATATGGGATAATGTACATTCAGAAATAATAATATGAGTGTTATTGATCAAATACAATCAGATGGGAAATAAGACGAGTGTTTTTGTAGTCAAAATAAGTAACTTGTTAGAATGTTGTGGTGTGCTTGAATTGAAATAGAATTTTATGATTATTGATTATCCTCCTCTGATTTGACTGGTGGTAGTAATATGTTCCATGCATATCTCTGGTATTTGCGTTGAATCATTTCTGTTGCATGTATTGGGTGTCGACTCAATGAACCAGGCCGGATTCAGTAATCAACTTCTCTGTCTCTCAACCTACTTATATTACTTCTTAGAATAATAACCCTCTGCCTCCCACCCTATTGTATGATTGTGTGTTAATGCATGTAGTGCAATCGCTGAGTGTTTTTTTCTAAATTACTTATCTTCTCAGGGTCAACCATTGTTACTTTAGCTAAATTCTTATGTTCCGACAATCTGATTACCCGCGATCTACTAGTTTGACCTATATACTTGACCTCATAGTCATTGCAGGGTAGTTTGTTAATTATATTATTTTGTTTAATTGGGTCAACAGGGTCCTTTAACCTACAGAGCTTTTCCTATCTGAGTGGGTTTGTGGGTTTGAATGCCACTCTAATTCCTGCTTTATTAAGAATCCTACGTAGGGTCTCAGATGTCCCCTCCTTATATGGTAAAACTACTGTAGATGCCTTATATTCTTTCTTATTTATGTTATCATTACTAGTTTCACAATTATTTTTATTTTGCTTTTGGCATTTTCTGATATTCCTAATGAATTTTATAGGGTAGTTAGTTATTTAACACCAACGCCTCTTCTATCTGTGTTATTTCATCAATTAGGTCTTTTTTTTATGCTACTTAGTGCTACTGCTCGGTTTGTTAGACACTTAACCAAGTCTGCCTTAACAGTTAACGGATAAGATGAATTAAAGTCTAAATATCTATTAGCAGAATGCGTTGGATTTTTATAAACGCTAGTGTGCAGTTTGCCTTCTTCTATTCGTTTTATTTTACAATCTAACGTAGCTAACTGTCTTTGTTCATTTTCCGATTCAAATGTGAATTTTATTACCTCTACTAGTGAGTTTATATTCCACACACATATATAAATGAAGGAAAAAGTTGTGTGAGTAGCTTGATGTGATTATGAGCAATAATTTGTGTTCGAAACGTCATCAGTTAATATAACTGTGTAACACTGTGTGACTTATCAAAATGAAATCTTATCCATAATGGAATTATACTCTACCACAGCGCCCAAGTTTTATCCTTATAACTTCATATTAATTCGCTGAAGTACGCGTTTTATTTTCATTAACACAAGTGTTTCTCTTATGTTCATTTTCTCCAATTTTTTTTATTTCTGTGCTTTTAGCCTCCTAAACAAACCGATTTGCCTGCTGACGCTGATCCAAATCAAATGATGATGTATGATTCTGACGCAAGTGAACCATCAGCAAATACTACGCCTGGAGGTGGGGAGTACTATACATATCAAGAGGCGTTAACTAAACACCAGCATTGTATAAATCGTGTTCGCCGATTTATTAAACAATCCCAACGGATAAAACAACGTAAACGTTTACAACATCGTGTTAAACATTCACTACATTATAGACTAACTGGTAAATTTACAAACAACAGTCATGAGGATGCCGATGGCGCTGAGGAAGAGGAGGAGGAAGCTGATGGGGAATGTCATGATCTCACAGACAAAGATGACAGTGATCTCGATAATGATGATGGAAAGGATGATAAAGGCGTTATTCCAATCGATAAATTATACTTACCACCAAAATCATCTCTATCGCCACCAGAAGGAAAAACCGCACAGTCTGTTTCACAGGATGGCAATTTAAATCAATTATTGCTAAATCTATCATCGGATTTACAACCTCAATGGATTCTGAGACGACTTCATTTAAACCCGGATTTTATGGATACATGGTGGGGTAGTGAATTAGAATGTGAATTCTATGCTGCTCTGAATGAGTTGACTACTGAGTCAACAGAAAAAGGACAAACAAGAACAACAACAGCAGCAACAAGCTTGAAAGATTTCTATGATTACATGTCGAGCAGTGGGGGGGATGCAGGCGGCGGTGACAAAAATCCTCCTGGTAATGATGATTTTAATGAGGATGGCGGTGCCGATGATGGTGTTGGTGGCGTTGACGAGGATGAGGATGATTATGATGATGAAGAAGATGATAATTTGATCGTCGATCCTCTTGGTTATCGTAAATTAACCGTTTTTGAACGTGAACGTCAATGGGCGCATAGTGATAGTTATGCTTGGCGGTTAATTCGTCTAGGTTTAATGCAGTTGGCTAAACGGGAATTGAATAGACTTATACAGATAGTGGATTTTAATAGTGAAGGTAAGTAAGATTGGTCAGTATTCATTATTATTATTATTATTATTATTATTATTATTATTATTATATTCCTTGACATTCCCAGTAGAACATAGGCAACACCTTGAGCAGCAATCTTCGTATGTTTGGCATGCGACTCCCCCTGTAAAATGTAAGATGCTGCTACAGGACTGGACTACGTCAACTCCTAGCTTAGTGATAGAGAGTGAAGTGATAGAACATGTTGTATCAGCACCAATGGATTGATTGGCGACGAAATCTCAGCACGGATCCAAAAAGCTCGAGCTGCTTTCGCTAACTTACACCATCTCTGGCGTAGGCGTGACATCCGGCTATCAACAAAGGGACGTGTGTACTGCTAACCAGTTCGCTCCGTCCTTCTCTATGGCTCTAAAACATGGCCAATACGAGATGAAGACATGAAAACGTTGACTGTTTTTGACCATAGATGTCTACGATCTCTCTCTCACGTTAGGTGGTATAATAAGGCAAGTAATCTTAACGTTAGGCGTAGAGTGTTGGGCAAAGAAGGAAAATCAATCGAAGAGGCTATAAAGTTACATAGATTGAAATGGCTAGGTCACGTGCTGCGCATGCCTAACCATCGCCTACCCCGACGAGCATTACTAGCTGATATAGGTGCAGGTTGGAAATGAGTAAGTGGTGGCCAAACAAAAACATAGCCTCATCAATCCATGAAATCCTTGACAGTTAAACTGAGTCAGGTAGGGAGGGAGATGCAGACTTCCGGGTTGGGGCCCGCCCTCGGGACTCTAAGAATCAATGGCTGGAGACAATAGGTGACATGGCTCGAAATCGTTGTCAATGGCTTATGCAGATGTATTCAGTCTCTGTAATCTTTCATATTTCTTTCTACCATTACTCATTCTGTTTCACTCTTATACTTGTCAAAACTCTATTGATTCTCTTCACTCATCTTCTTGTCTACCTTTGTGTGCTATTTGGATCTTCTGCACTTCGGTTCCAAGTTCTATGATGAATCCAGACAGACAGACAGAATATAGGGGGTTTCAAATTGGAGCTTTGAAGTTTCGGAAGCAGTAGTATTTATTTTTTGCAAGATGGGGTTGCTGCTAGCCTCATACTCAACCTTCCCTCTTTAGTAGTTTTATAACTGGCTTAGTGAGGTAAAGGAGTGTGGTGGCCGGGAATCGAACCCCGAACCACATGCGTGGTCCACTGATTCGCAGAGCTGCTGTCCGATGGAAGGCTCGAACCCCCCAACCCTCAGATCAAAAGTTTGATGATGCTCTACTGACTGAGCTAGCCCGGCCAAGGTTAGTGTTGGTTAGTGTTCATTTTATTTCCTTTTATTATCATTATCATGATGATTATCCTTGGGCTTCTTTTTATTTAGTTGTGTTCTCTGAGCTGATTGGTTGATTTAATTGTGAAGCTTTCGTGGCCCCCCACCCCCGTCTCATCTAGATAACACCGCTTTGCCGCGGAATTTTAGTGTGAAATGAACTTTTATGAATTCTCCATGATTGTTGATATCATTGTATGTGCTGCCAACAAGCATTGTCGTGATTGCTTGTCACACGACATCTACCTGTTCCACCCCAGTCCGCTCTACATCAACGAGAACACAGCGACGTGAACCGAAAGGCTTAATTGAAACAGTAATAATGTTTAATTCAAAATACCACCAATGATGTGTCAATTAGTCTATACTCATGATCAATAAAATAGTGGGCGTTATTCTACGAAGGTCAATTCTGATTGGTTCATTTGCAGACTGAATATTGATCACTTACATAGGCCGAATTCTGACTGGCTTCTTTCCAGAATGGACATTGACCACCAGATTAGGTACATATTGCTGAGGAGTGCCAACGTAGGACGAAGTAGCTGTGTGCAGTACTCCTTCCTAGTTTCCAACGGTTCTTTAATAAGATATCAATCCTACGATGCACCCTGAAATATTTCTTTGTTTTAAATAACGAACTGTATATTATAATATTTGCCGGCCTTTTTTATTTTATTTTACCTTTTTCATTAGATTTAGCTGTATATGCACCAGGCTTGATGACATTAACTCGTCAAGTTGACTGTTGGATCACTGGTTATCGATTAGAGTTGACATCACCGCCAGCAATTAATCCAGTACAGTTGAAATTAGGACTTAAAGGTTTTATAGATGAACATCTTATTCCATCAGCAGAATTTTTACCAAATATTGATGAAGATATCACATCGACTGGTTTACAATCTACCACTGCTACTAATACCAGTGGTATCAGTAATATTAGTAGTGCAAAGAACAGTAATGAACTGGCCAATGAATTAGCACCTTCACAAGCTGCAACACGATCTATGTTACGTATGAAAAAATTATTGAATACTAAGAAAACGCCTTTTCAGTAAGTTTTTTTAAATTATTTTTCACTGTTTTCTGTGTTAATATAACGGGGTAGAAGTTAGAATTGATGAGCTGGCCATTGAATCGGGTCCCAGTGGCTGAATGGTATACGAGCCAGCTTGCCTTGTAACCGGAAGGTCCTGGGCTCGAAGATGTAGATGTTTAAAATCTTCGAAATGAACTGAACATCACGAGGGTTCTATTCAACAATAATAACAACAAGTTCCCCCCCCCCAAGTATCGTTTCAATTACAGGCGGATGGAACTGATGAGGATATCAAAACAGTGAGGATCAGGAAAGCAAGGCAAGCTTTCATTACTCTCACTTCTGTGTGAAAATCAACAGCACTACTCAGCATCGAAAATAATATCCGGATTTTCAACTGCAATGTGAAATCAGTGCAAGTCGCTACACGGATCAGAGAATTGATGCGTCACCAATTGAACTTCAAACAAACTACAGACCTACAAACAACAGCTGTCTCCGCTCAATACTCAAGATCAGATGGCCGGCCAAAAAGGACCAGCAATAGGGATCTCTGGGAGCGAATACACCCAGCAGGAGCCGATTGTGCAACAAATGTGCAGGAAGAAGAGATGAAAGCATGTAGGTAGACGTGGGTGAAAACGTTAGCGGAGATCCGAAGGCAGTGGAGATGTGCGGTTGAAGCCCTATGTTCCTCTAGGAACTAATAGTAATAATTCCCCTAACAATGCCGTTAGGCGACTATAGAGTCAAGAGAACATTTTAAGTACAAAATAAGTGCTGTAGAACAAGATTCGTTAACCAGAATTAGATCATGAGAGGTACCCTAGAATCAAGTAGAATATACCTAACAAGGTGGGATCAAAACTCTATCACAGCAACAATCACGCACCAAACAATTCTCAAAGACAGTACAAGGTCAAAATCAACCTCATTCACTCAAACAAAATAAAATATTATCAGTATCGCTTCCTCAAGTGCAAGTGAATTGGTAGATGCATTTGGAGTCGATATTCCAATGGTAGAAGATTAGAGACCTGGTAACGGAAGTCTATTAGGGAAAAACATACATCATAGTATTACATTCTTAGTCACAACAGAGCTTCGCTAAGTCACAGGAGAATAAATCGTTGTGATTGGCTGATGCTTGACCAGAGGTTAAAAAAACTGTCCAATGAGATTATTTCCTGACCACAACGTAAACTACATCCAAATTTGTGAAATAAACACTTCTACCTATTCAGTTAGCTATTGATTTTAAATATTGATTTCAATTTTTGACTATTGATTTATTTTATGATTATATTATCCTTTTGATGTATATCTGTTTGTATATTTTTTTTTGAAACTTTTAATCTAGAACACATGATCCCTTCTCTTTACCTGTAAAATGTTTATGGTGTTATCTGGTAAGACAACCAGAAGTGGATGACATGTTTCTACGACATATATTCCGTAAACCATGCGTTGTCCAATCGACAATTACATCACAGATTAAATTCTCCTTGCCAACTGGATCCTCGAACATTTTATCTGGGATGGCTAAATCAACATCATCATTGAATTTAAAGGGTATTACATCTTCTACTTCTAATATTGGTATGGCTGGCGCTAATACTCCTAATCCTAGCACCACCACCAGCACTACTCCTGGAGGTGTTCTACTGGTAAGGAATTATAATAATTTTAATTCTTTTTCTTTTTGTGTGATTTGAAGTTCCAGTAGCGATTTTGGGGGATGGTATTTATTGTTGTGGGCTTCAGGTTTAGAGCCGATTACTAAAACTAGATTCCATACTGAAGATCAAATTATTTATTTATTTATTTATTATTTCCTTTAATTCCTAGAGGAACATAGGGCTTCAGCCATGCGTCTCCATTGCGTTCGGTTCTCTGCTAGAGTTTTCACCTGGCTCCAGGTCTGCCCACATGCTTTCATCTCCTCTTCACATGACCTCCTCCAAGTCACCCTTGCACTGACGACCAACTCGCCGCTTCCCTTTCGGGTTCCACTCGAGCAATGGCTTGTCTAGTGATGTCACTCACTTGATGGTTTCCTCAGAGTATGTCCAGCCAATCCATCTCCATTTCTTCCTGCCTATTTGTTTCACAATCGGTTCCTGGTTGGTTCGCTCCCAGAGATCTTTGTTGCTGATCCTTTCCGGCCATTTGATCTTGAGTATTGAGCTGGTCAAATGGCTGGTCAGAAAGGATCAACGAACGAGGAACTTTGGCTGACAGTCAAGCAATAACTTATTCTTCAACAAATATTCAGAAGTAATAGAGATGGTTTGACCACACACGGATTGATATCAGTTAGAGAGAGCGGATCATTTGAAAACCAAATAGAGAGTACTGCACACGCGGCTGTTTCGCCCCACCGGTTTGAGACTCATCGAAAGTACGAACCCACTGACTAGGAGCGAGAAACATTACTCTTGAAATAATCGAGAAGATTTGTAGCTCAGGTGGATGATTTGTAATTAATAGTGTTCTCTGAGCTCGTTGGTTTAGTTGCGAAGTTTTATTCGTCCTTCTGGACAACATCTTCAGGCATTACATCGACCAAAGTGGGCGTCCCCTTTGAATCAAAATCCAGGAAAACAATTCAGCTGTGAAAATACATGATATATATTCTTTCATATCAATGCATACAGATAATTATGGACATCAGTTTGAATAGGATAATGTGGAAAATTTAGACAGATGAAACACCAAAAGTGCAGTCAGGAAATTCCTAGAAGCCTGGTATTTGAACGAATATGCAATTAACAAACACGTTTATATAGACCAAATATACCAACTAACAATAGAAAGTAAATCACATGTGACGAGAAAGTTTAAAATCCAAGTCAATAGAAAATGATCAATACAGATGTAAAGATGGTTACCGGGAGACGCAATTCTATCACCACTCATGGGAAAAATTTAAATCAGTTCACTTTATGCTAAATACTGCGCTGAAGGGGGATGTTGTCCAGAAGGGGGACGACGAAAGCTCCGCAACTAAACCAACCAGTTCCTCAGAGAACACTATTAATTACAAAACATTACTCTTGCCACGGATGATATTGGTGGCCGGTGCCAGCCTCGGTAATTGGTAGAAGTTAGAATTCATGAGTTGGCCATTGAGGAGGAGTCAAGTCTTAATGTAGCTGGACTGATGAATGGTCTACGAGCTTTCCTTGTAACCTGGAGGTCTTGGGTTCGAAATCCAGTGGGTCAAGCCTGGATAAATAATGTGTTAGGTTTTGTGTTCTATGTTCCGTGTTAAGTAGCGTAATGTGATGGATGGATGGATACTCACCAAGATTCATCAAGAAGAATATCAAACCAAAAGTCCAGCGGAATGAAACATTACTTATTTCGAAAAAGAGGCTTTACATGAACCTGGATTTCAAGGGAGACTTAACCTGCGATATCCTTAAGAGAATTTCATCATCTTTGAGCAGAGCATTCCTCACAGAAATGCTAAAAATGTGTTCCCCAGTCGTCTGTTAGTCTGCAGAAGGAGATCTTGCTATCTGACCACTTCTATGTAGATATATCAGTCCACCTGTTCTTGTGGAGCCAAGTATATTGGTCATTCAACACGTCCTAAACGGTTGAAAAACTCTATCTCACATAGTTACAGAAGGGTAGTAGTGACTCAGTAAGGAGTTCGATAATCGAACACCTTGTCAGCATTGATCATTCCATCTCACAACAAATGCCTCCTCCTTCAAAGTAATCTATCTACAAAGTGAAGAATAACGACCTGCCGAAAGCAACACACCTTCGTCTCCTTTGCATTTTTTAAGCCTTAGCCACTGAATTCGAAAAACAGCAGGTCTGCATGCGAAATAGTCATTATTCAACCACTTCTGCTATCATGGTACCAACCTTGTTGATTTCTAATGTCCTGATTTTTGTTTGGTATCCTAACTGTTTATTTACTTAGAACTCTGACATAATTCTATGTTTCCCTTGTTTTCTACGTGTACACCCTGATTACAACTCACTCATTATATTATTCATCTTATTACGTAACTCGAATGCACTTACTCAACTCATCTCATGCACTCATTGACTAATATTTACGACTATGATTATGACAACTCATCACTTTTGTGACTACCCTTGTAAGCGCAATATCGCTTGAAATTAAGTCACGCTTAGATAAAGGCTATCCCGGTCGAGAACAAACAAGAAGCCGGTCACTGTTTCTACGGTACTATAAATAAACAAATCAATAATTATATATACAACAAACCTTAACGGTTTCAAGAGTACAAAACACAACGCTTAACAGAAAGCAAGGAACCGCTATCAGAGCGGAATAACGTTAAAGCCGAAATTGCGAACTAGCCGGAATCAGACACGACCGTTCAGGTAAGCAGTCAGTAGAAGAATGAACCCAAGTAAGAGATAGACAAAGCATAGGCACAAAGATCGAATTGGCTACTTAACCAATCAATAAATAAGATAAACTCGACAGAATAGTACAAAATAAGACATGGGTCAGCAAAATAACAGTTCACAAAAATACTCTGATTGGGTCATGAGTTCAACTGTCTGACTAAAGGGATCATTAAACAAAGGGGGATAGACACATTAGGTATGGATAATTGGGTTGCAACAACGGTAGGCTGATCCGGGACAGGTTGACTTGATTCAAGGATGGGAATTGAATTGATCTTACAACCCTGTTTCGTGAAAAATAGTTGTATATGAATGTAACTGTACAGCTGAAGAGGGAAATGACTTCTCCAAAAAGAGCATCTTCCCTGAACAACGTGTTTTTTTTTATTTTCATGAATGTCTCAGTGAGGATTATTCATGAATTTGTGAGTGTGCCACTTATAGAACTGTCCACAATTCACCTTGATTTTAGCTGATTTTTCCATCTAGATCTCTGCTCATGGTAAAAATGTGAAATTTATATCCAATCAAATCTTCATAAATTTCTGTTTGTTTGTTTGTTGTATTTTTACCTTCTAGACGGATATGTCAAAATCCTCAGGAAAACAAACTCGTACACAACAACAACAGCAATCTCAAGCTTCAAGTGGAAATCAAACAAATTCAACTGCTTTACTCCTAGATGATGCTGTTCGCCTTATTCATAAAGAACATGATCCACTTATTGCTATGTGTATTAATCAGGTAATTAACGTATAATGTTTTTCGGAACTTTCTACCTCACCAGTATTTGTCAATACGTTTTAAAAAGCATTAGTGTAATGACAGAAGACACCCAACGGCCTCCTCAGCGAGTGTCCAATCCATCTCCACTTTCTCCTGCATATTCGTTGGGCGATTGGTTCTTGTTTTGTTTGTTCCCATAGCTTCTTGTTGGTTCTTGTTCTTTCCGGCCATCTGATCTTCAGTATAGAACGAAGACAGTTGTTGATAAAGGTCAACTGTCTTCGCCCCATACTGAAGATTAGATGGCCGGAAAGAACAAGAACCAACAAGAAGCTATGGGAACAAACAAAACAAGAACCAATCGCCCAACGAATATGCAGGAGAAAGTGGAGATGGATTGGACACTCACTCGCTGAGGAGGCCGTTGGGTGACATCGCGCGTCAGGCCATTGCTCGAGTGGAACCCGAAAGGGAAGCGGCGAGTGGGACGTCCAAGGGTGACATGGAGGAGATCGTGTGAGGAGGAGATGAAACAGTATGGATTAACATGGATGCAGGTGAAAAGTACAGCACAAGATAGAAGCAAGTGGAGGCGTGTAGTTGAAGCCCTATGTTCCACTAGGAACCCAAGGGAACAATAATAATAATAATTGTCAGTGGAGTAGCAACATCTTCTGATTGGTTGTTTTCTTGCTGAAGGTTATTCTGTACTGCCTGTAACCGTTGCTTACAAAGTTAAGCCATATATCTGCGAATCGTATTTGCACATGTTAAGTCTGTTGTGATTGGTTGTTGAGTTCCTCAAGGTTAGGCTTTGTTATTGTTTTTTCTCGTGACCCCGATTCGCGACGTAAACATTCACGTGAATTGGTGTCTACAATTTTGACTTACAGACAGCTCTCACCACATTAATAGTTGTAAGGGCAATTATATAATGATATAACAATGGAATTTGGGAGCTGTGTTAGAGTATGATGCCATCATAGATCAGATTTATTTGATCTCACGGTGTTTTATGGTAATGACTGACTGGTTTCGGCGTAGAACTTTGCACAGGTGTGCATTAGTCTGAGTTGTTGCACTCTGTATAGCGCCTTCCTCGATGGACAATGTTTGCCTCTGACATAGGATCAGGTTGAAAAAAGAGCTAGTGGTTGTCAAACCAAAACATGGATTCATCAGTCAATGAAATCTACAACAGTTAGTTTAAGCCAGCCAGGCACGTAGGATGATGTAGACTTCCCGACTGGTTGGGGTCCTCGGGATGGTAAAAACCAATGAAGACTGGAGACAATTGGTGATGTGGCTCGAAATCGTTGTCAGTGTCTCGCGCAGATGCATCCACTCCTTGTGACTTATAATATCCAATAAAACTATATGGTTCTTCGATATCGCTATTCTTTTTGTCTCATATCTCCGTTTTCTGTCTCTGTTTTGCATTTCTTTTTTATTTTATTTTCTTGCTTTTTGTGCTGAGTGAAGTGTGGCGACTCAAACTGGTCCACATCGGTGCAAAATTCTACGTTGAAACCAGTCAGTCAGTCATATAACGCACAAAGCAAGAGAAGATAGTAAAGAGAGATTCAAAAGTGATAGACAGATAGTAGACAGAAGTGTTATTGAGGCAGGAAGAATAGTAATATGGAAGAACAATAGAATTTTATTGGATATTATAAATCATACGTATTGGATGCACCTGCGACAGCCATTGACAAGGATTTTGAGCCATATCACCTATAATTGTCTCCAGCCATTGATTTTTACCTTCCCGAGGACCTCAACCAGGAGGTCTACACCTTCCTACGTGGTTCAGACTATGTGTTTTTGATTTGACTGACTGATAAAGCCATGTTTTGGTTTGACCAATACTAGCTCCTTTTTTCAACCTGATCCTATGTCAGCTAACGTCGCCTGTTGGTCAAGGGAGGCGATGGCTAGGCAGGCATGCGTAACACGTGTCCCTAACCATCTCAACCGATGTAACTTCACAACCCCGGCGATTGATTTCCCCTCCCACATAGCTAGCTTTCGACCAAAACCTAACCTCAATATTACTCACCTTATTATACCACTTAACACAGGAGATAGAACGTAAACCCCTATGCTGAAAGACGGCTAGCGATTTCGTGTCTTCCACTCTCAATGGCCATGTCTCACAGAGCAAACTACTGAGCAGTATACACGTCCTTTCGTCGATAGCCAGCCGGATATCATTTCCACTAAGCCAGAGATGGTGTAAGTGTGCAGGTAAATAAATACCGAACGAACCTTCTGTGTCCGTGCTGAGATTTCGTCACCGATCGACCCTCTGACGTTGTCTGATGCAACTCCCCAAATAAGTGAAGTGGACAACACGCTCTACCACTCCACTCCTGCCTATCTTCAAGCTCGCGGTCGGTGTGTAGTCCACTCCTGTGGCATACGGTAATACTTACTAATGAAATTTCGAGCACACAATTTATTGCTGTTCATAATCATGATTATCTAGTTACTCACACAACTTTCTGACTTCGTTGATATAATTCCGTTATTTCTCATCTCCTTGATTTGATTGGTAGTAATACTTCGCATGTCTCTGGTATCGTAGATGATTCATTCCTACTAATACATGTATTGGGTGTAGATTCTATGAACAAAGATTCAGTGATCAGCTTCTCTCCCCCTCCATCTATCTATACTACTTTTTAGAATTGTAACTCTGCCCCACCCTATTATGTGGTTGTGTGTTAATGCATACAGTACACTCATGTCTACACGGGATCAATCATTCTAACCATAGCTAAATTCTTATGTTCTGATAATCTGACTATCCCCACCCGATCTACTCGTTTGACCTATGTAGTTGACTTCCCTCACAGTCATTACAAGGTATTTTGTAAACTACACTTCTTTTGTCTATTCGGGTCAACCTCTACAGGGCCCTTTAATCTGCAGAATCTACACACACCATTAGACCATAAGAAAAGAGAAAAAAGATGGTTGCAGCAAGGAAAATTATCTTCCTTTTTTTAAACTTTTGGACGAAGTCATCAACGAAAGGGGCTGTACATTCGTGTGAACAAAGGCGCGTTGACAATGTTCTACAACTATTTCCTATCCCCATCAAAGGTCAAAATAATAACGAATAATATGATTGAAGTTGTGTAATACAAATAAGGATTAAAACAAGAATTTTGGATAGACAAAAACATGATTGGAGGATTTCATCATGAGCTGACAGCAGTTAGAGAACCATTGGAAAACCAGCTGGGAGTACTGGACAACTGTTTCGTCGGCCTTGTTTGAGACTCTTCATAAGGACGCACCCAACACAGAGATTCGAATCCACGACCTTCTGGTTACAAGGCGAGCTCGTAGACCATCAAGCTACAGGGAACCTATCCAATGGCCAGCTCATGAATTCCAACTTCTGCCAATTCACGATATGGTGGGATATAGGTGCAGGTTGGAAAAGAGTAAGTGATGGCCTAACAAAAACATGGCCTCATCAATCCATGAAATCCTTGACAGTTAAACTGAGTCAGGTAGGGAGATGCAGACTTCCGGGTTGGGGCCCGCCCTCGGGACTCTAAGAATCAAGGGCTGGAGACAATAGGTGACATGGCTCAAAATCGTTGTCAATGGCTTACGCAGATGTATTCAGTCTCTGTAATCTTTCATATTCCTTTCTACCATTACTCATTCATTCTGTTTCACTCTTATACTTGTCGAAACTCTATTGATTCTCTTCACTCATCCATCTTGTCTACCTTTTTGTGCTATTTGGAACGTGGCAACTCGAAGTGCTGCACTTCGGTGCCAAGTTCTATGTTGAATCCAGACAGACAGAGACAGAATTTTACGAGTAGTGTTTATTAAGTTTGGAGCCTCAGGTCAACTGACATCATGTAAATTTGTATGTTATAATTGTTTCTGTACATAACCTTAATAATTTCTCTAGGGCTATCTACGCAGATGATGAGAGAGGCCAGTGAAATAAACAATGAGATGGTACCGTCTTATTCTACACAAACCGCTATCGTTCTCGCTTTATTCAAAGAAAATAGACTGTGTTATGATATAGCCAAGGTAAAGATAAAGGTTGAACGTTCTTGTTTCTTGAAGTTTGACGCCCAAAACAGTGAACCAGCGTCAGGAGCTACGTTCCTATGATACCAGGAGACGAAGCCAGGTTCATTCGCTATTTAGCCCGTTCATATATTGTGGTGCCCATGTACTCCATAGGTTTGGAATCAGGTAGACCTCTATGTGTTCACCAGTCAGTCAGGTTGTAGGCGTTAGAAGTTGGCATTATCCTTTTCACTTTGGTGAGGAACTCTGTGGCTGAGAGTTAGAGCTATATGCTCAGAAGAAGTAACTGAAGATGAATTATGCATTGTTTATGATACTTTAATCGAAAATAGCTATCCCGAAAAATTTATCAAGAAACACATGACAAAGAAAGTGGCGGAAAAGGACTACTCACTCTCTGTAAACAAAAAGCCACTTTATATACATACGACTACAATTCAAGGGCGATATACCAAGTGAGATAATTACGAGGAAATTAAGAAAATCAGTTCAAAGAACTTTTAATGCTGGCGAACTACACGTCTTATTCTCTACACGACCGATGGTGATTCCTTGATTGAAAGATGAAGTACCTAGACTAGCCACTTCTCATTGTATCTACCAATTCAACTGCGCTTGTGGTAGAGCGAGTTATATTGGCCGTTGCTCTAGGAACTTGATTTTTTGTGCTCGCTCGAGAACATCTCCCACTATGGCTAAGTAAAGATGTAGTGAAAACTATTAACAGCTTGATATTAGACCATCTGGTCCAAACCGGTCACAAAGCCAGCCAGCATTGAAGAATCCTTCTCTATCATATACCGGGTGCCTAATAAATTGCCAAAATTGTCGAAGCACCCCATGCTCTAAACAGCAGAGGCTATTGCGATTCTCCTGAAACAACCAGTGCTCCGTGTTCAAAAGAAGCAAGTCCAACCCCTACTACTAACCTGACCGGCCTTCAGTGGAGACTATAAATTCATGAATTTGTAATATTATCTTTCCTAATATTTCTGACATTCAGCTTATTTTATGGTGATGCTATTGAACTGTAATCCATTGGTATTATTATTATTGATTCGATGTTATTTAAACGGCATTAATGTTGTTCATAACACTAATTCATTCATTCACTGTAATGTATATATAACTGAAGAGCCTGATGATGAAGGCGTTATCGAAAAGAGTACTCTTTGTTCAGTATCCATTCTTTTGAATATTTTATCTTCAGATATGTATATATAATGTGGTTTTATGTATATATTTACATTATATATGATAATGCCGTTCTCCTATGCCTTTTACATCAAACTAAATATAAATAAAGGCCATGGTGGTAAGCTCTATGTCTGCGTGCATCTGTTCAAATGCTCTGTTTATGTATTTTACGCTATTGTTAATTGAGCCAGTTAGTTAGTGAGTTAGCTAGTTTTGGGTGATGATTAGCATTTCTCATAGATGTGTTTAATACGCTTAATTGTCTATGCTAAAGCTGCCTTTTATTATATATTTAACAAATCAATGTAATATTAATTTTCCCTCTATTTTGTATATATACTGTGAATATCTCTGGTGTATCGTATTTTTAATCGTAAAGTTTTTTGGGGAAATATATCAACTACTCATGAGTAGATAGATTGAATTTATTTAAAAAGTATTTCAATGTATGTCTGTGTCAGCATGTACTGATGGCCTACTTTTTCGCTAAAGCGGCAAAGTTAAATTTTAAGCCTCACTAACTACCAATTGAGTGCAACTACACCAATGACCTTGAAACACTCATTAAGCAAGTTAGTGAAACCTGGCAAATAATGTTGTCATCATCATCAATAAAATATGCTCATCGAAGTGTTATGTTAGTAAATGGGATATCTGACAAGTTTCAGCTTAGGTTTGGGAAAGATTAAGTTGTGCTGCAAGCCAAGAACAAGTTAGGGTTAGGTTAACTTAATAAAGGCGACATTAGGGTTGGTTCGACTTAAATTACAGTCAGCGTAGGGATATTTTCTCGTTAGGGTTAGGTTCAGGTAAGATTAGGGTTATTGTGAGGGTTAGATAGACCTAAATAATTACATGCATGGAATGTGATTAAATTGCTCTATTGATTTAAGAATACTACTTGTGCACTGTGGTGGAGTATAATTCCATTGTGGGTAAAATTTACTTTGATAAAGTCTCACAGTGTTATGCAGTAAGTAATATTCGCTGATGACGTTTCGAGCACAATCTACTGCTCAGTAAATATTACTGTATAACACACTGTGAGACTTTATCAAAACAAATTTTACCCACAATGGAATTATTCTCTGTTGATACTCCTATGCTAAACTGACAGCTATTTTTATCACATGTAAGAGGAAGGTATCCTTTGTAACGCCTTAATACAGTTTTTATGCATTTTTTTCATAAATATATGCATTCTATACACAAAAATGCCTGCTTCACGTGATTGGTGCGTTTTGAGGTCATTTGCTGATTGGTAGTTAGTGGTGCTTAAAGTTTAACTCGGCTCCTAATGCTCTTCTAACATCTTTTCTATTGTCAATGAATTCAAGTTTATCAGGGAAAACTTTGAATGGGTAGTTGTCGTATATATAAGGTCTGGAATTTTTTGATGTGCTTGTGTTCTCTGAGCTGGATAGTTAATTCGCGAAGCTTTCATCATCCTACTAGGTGGCATCTTCAGCGCATACTTCATTTTGAAGTGAGCTTTTAGATTTCTCCACGAGTTTATTAATCATCTCTCCTGATCGGTAACCTTGAACGTGATTGGTTGTTTTTGTGTGTTTTCACACCATCTAGGCTACTTGTATTCGAACTGATTGTTTCTTTGAATTGAACTTTGACCCTTTGTGTGTGTGTGAGGTGTTTTTCTTATGGGTTGATAAATTTTGTCAATCTCGATGTGTCTATTGATTGACGATTCACTGGAATACCAGTCAGGCTTCTAAAAATTTTCTAACATTTTTGTTATTTCCTCTATCTGATATTTGAAGAATGTCAAGCACGGACATCAATTCGACTGGGACAGAAAGAACACAACCACATCAAAATCATCCACCTGAGCTACAAATTTTCTTCAGCATATCTAAGGTCTAGAATTTCATACACATCACAATCATTCATTGTGTGTACAACTTGGTGGCACATCGAAGATGCGCATGGGTAGGAGAAGGAATGGGCTTGTTCTTTGTGTGCGCTTTTGTTAGCTCATATCACGGATTGATATCAGTTAGAGAACCAACTCGTAAAAACATAACTAACCCTTATAAACCAAACTATAGAAAATTAATCTGATGCTTGCTAGTGACTTGCTACAGGATGGAGCTTCCTGGAGTTCTGGTGAGAAGTCGTGACCAGTGAGGTCCAATTAGATGTCACGTGTGAGGATGGATGTCCCACCTACGACAATGGTTGGGGTCACGCTAAATCACGAATTGGTAGAAGTTAGAATTCATGCACTGGCCATTGAATCGGGTTCCAGTGGCTCAATGGTCTACGACCCAGGTTGTCTTATAACCGGGTTCGAATCCCAGTGGGTGCGTACTGCCGATGATTCCCAAAACTAGGATGAGACGGCTGTCCAGTACTTCCTGGTTTTCAGTGGTTCTGTAACTGATATCCATCCATGACCAACTCGTAAAAATTATACAACTGTTGAAGTATTTTAATGTCTTCTTCTTCTTTTTATATAACACACACTGTCTTCTTTGATTTGATCATTCTATATATATTCAGGTTAACTTCAATGCAATAGCAATAGCAACACCGAAAGAGATTATTGAATTAGATATTGAAAATTTAGTCAATCTACCACCATGGTATGCTGATGAAGTTGAATACGACTTGGAGTCAATGCGTCGGTAAGTAAAATTGTCTTGTGTTTCCTGTCGAATATATTTACATATATATATATATATATATATCCTGTCGGTGTGTTTTTGTGAGAGTGTATAGAGACGATCAATGTTAGCTGACTGACATAGGATGGATCAGGTTGGAAAAGAGTGGGCTAGTGATGGTGGTCAGACGAAAACATGGCTTCATCAGTCAACGAAATCCATATTATTATTTCCTTTAATTCCTAGAGAAACATAGGGCTTCAGCCGTGCGTCTCCATTGCGTTCGGTTCTCTGCTAGAGTTTTCACCTGGCTCCATGTCTGCCCACACGTTTTCATCTCCTCTTCACATGACCTCCAAGTCACCCTTGCGATGACGACCAACTCGCCGCTTCCCTTTCGGGTTCCACTCGAGCGATGGCTTGTCTAGTGATGTCACTTGATGGTTTCCTCAGAGTATTGCCAGCCAATCCATCTCCATTTCTTCCTGCCTATTTGTTTCACAATCAGTTCCTGGTTGGTTAATAAGGTGTGGAATATTGAGGTTAGGCTTCAGTCGAGTGCTAGGTAAGGTGGGGAAATCAATCGATGAGGCTGTGAAATTACATCGACTGAGAAGGTTAGTAAATGTGTTACGTATACCTAATCATCGCCTTCCTCGACAATGGGCAATGTTAGCTGATATAGGATCATGGTTGAAAAAAGCAGCTAGTATTGGTCAGGCCAAAACATGGCTTCATCAGTCAATGAAATCTACAACAGATAGTGTAAGCCACGTAGGAAGGTGTAGACCTGCTGACTGGTTGGGGTCCTCGGGATGGTAAAAACCAATGAAGGCTGGAGACAATTAGTGATATGGCTACAAATCGTTCTCAATGGATGGCACAGATGCATCCACTCCTTGTGACTTATGATTTCCAATGGAACTATATTGTTCTTCGTTATTACTATTCCTTTGTCTCACACCTCTGTTTACTGTCTCTGTTATGCATTTCTTCTACTTTCTTCTCTTTCTTTGTGTACTACATGGAGTGTGGCGACTTGAACTGCCGCACATAAGTGCAAAGTTCTATGTCGAAAACCGACTGACCGCAAAAGTGTAACGGTTCAACTTGTCATCCCATGTGCCAGACAAAGTTTTATAACCGGGACTATGAACTAGAAGACTATGAGCGAATACTAACTTAATGCGCTGGCTAATCCATCCTAATCGCACGTCAACAACAACATCAATAACACCGTCGGCACGTTAAAGATAGAAGAGATGACTGGACGTTGGTTAGAGGACTTTTACTGTCTCAAAACAATAGGCAAAAAGGATTGATAGCACTCGGGTATGTATATATGTTTGAAATGACCTTGAGAGGTACTAATGTCATCGATAAATTAAACAGGGAACAACCAATAGGACTTTATAGGTCACAAGTAGGGTGAGAGGAAATCAAGTCGTTAATCAATAAGTGGGTTGAGAGAAGTACAGACAGACATATAATAGGGTTTTATTTGATATACACGATCACAGAGAGTGAATGAATCAGTGTTATTGCAAAAGGATTTCTAGCCGCATCATTAATTGTCTCAGCCATTACTTCTTAGAATTCCGAGGACCTTAACCAGTTTGACAGTCTACACCTCCCTACGTGGTTGGCTGACTGGCTCAAACTAACTGTGAAATATTTCATGAACTGATTCCAAGTTTCTGTCTGACCACCACTAGAGATCTTTTCCAACCTGATTCGTGCTATGTCAGCTAACATTGCCCGTCGAGGAAAAGGATGGCTAGGCATACGTAACACATATCCTTACCTAGCACTCGAATGAAGCCTAACTTCAATATTGCTCACCCTATTATACCACTGCACACACTTGGGAGATAGGACGCAGGCACCTATGATCAAAGACAGCAAGCCTGGCTTTTCATGTCTTCCACTCTCAATGGTCATGTCTCACAGCCAGCCATAAAGGAGGACAGAGCGAACTGCTGCTGAGCAGTACACACATGTCCTTTGATCGATGAGAGCCTCTTGATATTTACTCTTAACCTATAACAACTGAGAATAATAAACGCACGAAGATGTACACACACACAGCCGCTGTATCAAGTCACCTACGTACATAATATAATCTCACACTTGGACTATAAACTCCACGCGTGGCTAATCTGTCTGTCTGTCTAGATTCAACATAGAACTTGGCACCGAAGTGCAGCAGTTCGAGTTGCCACGTTCCAAAGAGCACACAAAGGTAGACAAGAAGATGAGTGAAGAGAATCAATAGAGTTTTGACAAGTATAAGAGTGAAACAGAATGAGTAATGGTAGAAAGGAATATCAATAAAGATTACAGAGACTGAATACATCTGCGTAAGCCATTGACAACGATTTTGAGCCATGTCACCTATTGTCTCCAGCCATTGATTCTTAGAGTCCCGAGGGTGGGCCCCAACCCGGAAGTCTGCATCTCCCTACCTGACTCAGTTTAACTGTCAGGGATTTCATGGATTGATGAGGCCATGTTTTTGTTTGGCCACCACTTACTCTTTTCCAACCTGCACCTATATCAGTTAGTAACGCCTGTCGGGGAAGGCGATGGTTAGGCATGCGCAACACGCGATCTAGCCATCTCAATCTATGTAACTTTATAGCCTCGTCGATTGATTTTCCCTCTTTGCCCAACACTCTACGCCTAACGTCAACATTACTTACCTTTTTATGCCACCTAACGTGAGAAAGAGATCGTAGACATCTGTGATCAAAAACAGTCAACCTTTTCATGTCTTCAACTCGTATTGGCCATGTTTCAGAGCCATAGAGAAGGATGGAGCGAACTGCTGAGCAGTATACACGTCCCTTGGTTGATAGCTGGATGTCACGCCTACGGCAAAGATAGTGTAAGTTAGCGAAAGCAGCTCGAGCTTTTTGGATCCGTGCTGAGATTTCGTCACCAATCAATCCGTTGGTGCTGATACAACTTCACTCCCTATCACTAAGCTAGGAGTTGACGTAGTCCAGTCCTGTAGCAGCATCTTGCATTTTACAGGGGCGAATTGCATGCCAAACATACAAAGATTGCTGCTCAAGGTGTTTATGAAACTCTGCGTGGCTAATAGTGAAGTGTGTTTTTCAAACCCTTGACCAATAAGGTTTACAACGTCGTCTTCAGCAAAGAATAACGAACGTCTGGACTGATGTCAAAGTTTTTGAATACAATTAAAGAACAGTTTCAGTTAGGAATTAATGTTGTCACACCAATTATAAAGCTGTATCTATGTTGTGTGTTTTTTTTGCTTGATTTCTGAATAGGCCTCAAACACGTCGATATCCTGAAGGTGGAACTGATGATTTTATTGTTTGTGATACCGCTGGCGGTGGTGTTGGTGGTGGTACCTCAACGAAGTATGGTGGTGTTGATCATCCATCAGAGATGACTACAGCATCGAATATAACGTCATCATCAACAAGTGGATTATCCTCGGTTGGTGATAGTAGCTCCTCTGGTTCAGGTTCACATGTGGTAAGTTTTGTTAGAAATTGTGTGTTCCCTATAATCCTCCTTATCTGACCTTAAAATTGCCCATAAACTATCAAGTCCTCTTCACATGATCTTCTCCATGTTAGCCTTGGATACACACTCAAGTCTTCGTTCCCTATTCGGGATCCACTTGAGCAGTGGCACCTGACGTTCTCCTTAGTGTGTGTCTGATCTATCTGCACTTTTTTTCGCCATATTTGCTGAGTAATACGTTCCTGGTTGGCTCGTTCCAAGAGTTTCTTATCACTGATACTCTCTGGGTTATATCTCATCTTCAGTATGGCGCGCGATAGCAATCTGTTGGAAATGCTTTTTGTGATGTTTACGCCAAGTTTCTGATCCATATAGAGGAGAATTGACCGACTTAACATTGATGTTGAAAAACCGAATTTTATTGTTTGTATGCTGAGGCGGAGTGCAGATGATTTCCAAACTGATTTCAGAGGAATGAATGTCTTCGAATTTATGTGGCTTTAGACATAAATCGTCCTTTGCGTGTAGATCTTCTAGAGTCTTCTTATCAGTCAAATGTGTCCCTGTCTTCTCGATCCCCATGTCATACACGATGTGCGGTATAATCCAGTCAACTACAATGAGAAATATCGCTGATGGGTAGCAAGCAGGCAGCTTTGTCTTACTCCTGTCTTCACTACAAAAGATTCTTTGAGTTTTCCGTTTTGAGGATCACTTGGCATGTGGTAGCACTGTCATATAGTTGTTGAATGAGACTGACGAAGATTTTAGGCACTTCCCCCCCCCATAGTGTTGAAGTATTTTCCGAATTACTTCGTGGTCAACACTGTCGAAGGCCTTTTCAAAGTTGATGAAGTTGATATAGTAGAGATTTGACTGCCATTCTATGACCTCTCTGTTCGATAATGATAATGACGTCTAGAATTGCAATTTGATCCACGCACACGATTTGCCTTTCCTGAATCCAGCTCGTTCTGACTATAAAATCCCAATTAGAACTACTAGAAAATCATAATGAGATTAATCGATTGACGTTGTATAACAATCGTATCGAAGTTTTAGATTATTTGTCATTTGTCATCATCATTTTTCATATCTACCGATTGGTTGAATAGATCACTCTTAAGAGTAAAAGAGTAGGGAAAATCACTTTCTGGCGCTGTCACAGCAGTTCTCTAACTGACAGGAAAATCTAAAATTCAATTAAATAATTAATATGTCCCGTTGCACAAGAGGTGGCTCTTGTGGCCCAATTGGTCTAGTGGATAACTTTTTGGCTTTTGAACCGATGGGCACTGGGTTCGAGTCTCGGTGGGAACATAATCACTCACTGTGGAATGCAGGTACATCCAGATGACGAGTCCCAAAGAGGATAAAATGCGCGTCCATCCACCAATTAAATTCATTGGTTGGTGTTAATGAATTAGTTTAGCATCGTTTCAATGTTGGTAGTGAAAACCACTTTATCTGATGGTTGGATGATTGTGAAGGTGGCCATCGGGAGGTCTTGTACCAATGTTTCTTGCTAATTGGTATTCATCAACTAGGCTTGTCTTTAACCTTAATGGATCTAATTTCTCTTAACAGATTCGAACTGATGTTATCCAGTGTCACTGAAAGTCCCTATCACTGGATTATTCGAACTACAAATGGTCTTCTGATCGACTGTGATCAGTATTTCTTCCAACATTTATTCCTCTTTATCAATGTTTTTTCAAATTTTTCAATAGTCAGTTTGTAGGCATTTGAGTGGTTTCAAGTTTTATCATGGGCTGACATCAGTTAGAGAACAATTCAAAGTCAACTAGGAAGTACCAAACAGCTGTTCCATCCTAATTTGTGACTCATAGGCGGTACGTACCCCCCGGGGATTCGAACCCAGGGTTACAACTGAAACTCGTAAAACCGTTTAGCCACTGGGAGACGATTCATTGGCCAGCCTATGAATTCCAACTTCTACTAATTTGTGATTTTAGTGCGACTGGCACCAGCCATCAATGTCATCGCTCGCGGGTATTTGTCCTAACTTTGGATCTAGTTGACTCCGCTAACTGGTCACCCCTTCCCACTAGAACTGCAGGCATCTATGTTCTGTTGTCAGATCTATTTTCAAGAATTAGTTTGTAATTCGGATATTCGTGGTTGAATGGAATGGTCTACGAGCTTTAATTGTAACCGGTAGATCCTAGATTCCACCCCCGCTGTGTTCGTACTTCTGAAGAGCCCCAAATTAAGACGAAACAGTGCTGTCCAGTGGTACTCCCTGTGGCTGGTTTTCAATGTTTCTCCTAAATGATATCACTCCATGATCAAACTGGAAAATCAGATATGCAAAAGAAGATGAGGCTTCCCCACACAAAAATCTTGGAGGATCTGGACTTCGTCGATGTGATATATGTGTGATTTCCCACAAACGCTGGAAGATATACAAGTGAAAAGCAACAAGTTGGCAGAAGAAGCATCAAAGATACGACTTGACTTCAGGTGAACATAGAGAAAACAGAGGTAGGTGATGAAGATTCCTGGCCAACAGCAACAACAACAATCAACATAAATGGGAGAAATTTGAAAGAAGCAACCTTCTTTACTTACCTACCTACTTGGGTGGGTAGGGTCGTCTTAACTACACACAGACGGCACTGATTGGGATATCAAAGTAGCGAGGATTGGGAAAGCAAGGCAAGCAATCATTACTGTCAAGTAAGTCTGTGTGGAGATCAACAGCACTCAGCATGAGAAATTAGATCCGGATTTTCAACTTCTGTGTGAAGTCAGCGCTACTTGCTATACGGATCAGAGACTTAGAGCGTCATGAAGAACACTTTGAACAAACTACAGACCTTCATCGATCAACAAATGTCTTCACTCAGTACTACTGAAGATCAGATGACCGGCCAGGAAAGATCAGCAACATGGATCTCTGGCAATGAGCTAGCCAAGGCAGGAGGAACCAACTCTGTAAGAAATATGCAGGAAGAAATTGAGGTGGATTGGACTGGCCATACTTTGAGAAAACCAACCATGAAGTGAGTGACATCACACGCTATTGCTCGAGTGGAATCAGCCGAATGGGAAGTGACGAGTTGGTTGTCAGTGTGAGGGTGACATTGAGGAGGAGGAGGTGATGCGAAGATGAGATGAAAGCATATGAGCAGATGTGGAGCCAGGTGAAAACGTTGGCAGAGAACCGGACTCAATGAAGACGAGCAACTGTAGCCCCATGTTCCTCTAAGAACTAAAGGAAACAATAATAATATTCTTTTTTCCTTCTCTAAAAGGTAATTGTGTATGTGTGGGGAACATCTTAACAAGCCTGCAAGGTTACACGATTTTTTAGTTAACAAACATGTGAAATTAATAAATAATGCTCAGAAGTTACACTTATATAACTTGTGTGCAAAGAGGTCAAATTTTAAACGAGAGTTACAAATATACACAATTAATGATCGGATGCATTGAGAACACTGAGTTGCGCAGACAAAATAAGTAGTGGTGATCGATCGATGTGTCGACTTGTCATTAGAATGTAACAAATATTTCTTTAATGATACTCAATCTACTAATGATATTTTTCAGTAGTATATTTTAATATTACCTCATTTTTGATATCATTTACAAATATATGTATATGCAAATTTGGATTGCATTGTTATATATGTATGTATATATATGTATACAGTTCCGTAGTATGCACCTCCATCCTCTACACGCGAATTTGGCAAATTTATCTAAACAAGCGTTGGAACGCAGCAGACGTCTAGCTACCACGGTATATTACTATTATTATTATTACTGCTATACATTATCGCTATGGCTGTTTCTACTCTCGATCTCTCGCTCTCCAACCCTTTTCTTTCCTAAATTTCCTATTGCATGCTCTCGTGCTATACTTTATATCCACATGTATGCTTGTCTGTGTATGTGTGTTTGATCTGGGTGTTGTGTTCAGTTGATTATTTCTTAGAGGACAAGAGAGAACAGCTGTAAGTACTTAGTTCTTTTAGTGAGCTATACTCATTGTGTCAGGTGAATTGATTATACCACTCAGCTTGCTCAAGATGAATTAGGTAGAACTGAAATCGGGGGAGTGATTAAGCCGATGACCTGTTTCTCCACCACAGAAAAGAACACAGAGATAGGCGTAGATTAGGAGCTGCGGAGTGGGTGGGGGAGATAACAGAAAGTTTCAAAAAAATGGCGTGAATGTTTCTCTAAAACTGGAGTGGGTACACTGTGATATCATGGTAATTCTATATTAACTTGCTTATTAGATATATATCACACACAGTGAAACAGTATTATTATTTTATGCAATTGTTAATTTTTGACAACAAATTGCGTAATTTAGAAGGCGTTAATTGGTTAGAAACTAAAATAAAGTTACAAAAGTAGGTTGGGTGACGTAATCTAATTGATAGGGTTCAATGAAAAGTGAATGAGAGTAAAGTTAATAGTTTGAGTAGAATTCACTTAAAAATAAACGAAAATGGAGTTATCGACAGTCGTCATGACGGTAGAGATTTAATAGAGGGTGGGGTAGAAAATAATGCACTTAAGAAACAGACAAACAAAGAAGAAAGAGGTAAGACAAAATTACGTATTTGGTGTTAAGATAGATCAGGACTAATCTAAATCTACAATGGTCCTGATCTATCTTAACACCAAATACGTAATTTTGTCTTACCTCTTTCTTCTTTGTTTGTCTGTTTCTTAATTGCATTATTTTCTACCCCACCCTCTATTAAATCTCTACCGTCATGACGACTGTCGATAACTCCATTTTCGTTTATTTTTAAGTGAATTCTACTCAGCTTATTAACTTAACAATCACAAACAAGAAGCTATGGGAACAAACAAAACAGGAACCAATCGCTCAATAAATATGCAGGAGAAAGTGGAGATGGATTGGACACTCGCTGAGGAGGCCGTTGGGTGACATCGCGCGTCAGGCGATTGCTCGAGTGGAACCCGAAAGGGAAGCGGCGAGTGGGACGTCCAAGGGTGACATGGAGGAGATCGTGTGATGAAGAACTGAAACAGTATGGATTAACATGGATGCAAGTGAAAAGTACAGCAGAAGACAAAAAGAAGTGGAGGCGTGCAGTTGAAGCCCTATGTTCCACTAGGAACCCAAGGGAACTATAATAATAATAATAGTATTAACTTGACTCTCATTCATTTTCAAGTGAATTCTACTCAGATCATTAACTTGACTCTCATTCATTTTTCATTGAACCCTATCAATTAGATTACGTCACCCAACCTACTTTTGTAACTTTATTTTAGTTTCTAACCAATTAACGCCTTCTAAAGTATTATTATTTACTGGATGACAAAATTTCGAACACAATTTACTAAATGGTTCACAATCATATAATCGATTGTAACTAAAAAAAAAACTTCGAAACTTTCGTTTTATAGTTTTCATTATTCCTTCCTATTTGAGCATAACAACTCGAAGGTGGAGGCAATTCAATTCACTTATGAATTGGAAAGTCAGGAAAGGTGGGGGAGCTTCCAATGTTAGATTGTAGCATAAAAAGGAAAGAAGGTGGGAATTTAAACACACTAGCGTTTACAGAAAAAACCTACACGTTCAAACCGATATTTGCATTTCCGATCATCCCACCCATATTTCAGTAAAAATAGGATTAGTGAAATGTGTAAGTCGTACGGTAGAAAAACCCAATAAGTATCAAGGAAAATCTCAAGCAGGAAGTGAGGCATATAAGAGAAGCTTTGAAACTTAATAATTACCCTTATAAATTAGTCAGAAAGTACGTAAGGAAATGTAAAAGTAAAATAATGATAGTAGTGATAGTGGTAATAATAATAATAATAATAGTAATATTAATGATGACAGCATGTCAAACATGCGCAAGACAACACCAACAATAAGGAATTTAAATCATCAGTGGTAGTTCCATACAAGGAAGGATCCTCGGCGACCTTACGCAGAATTCTTAACAAGGCAGGCAGAAATAAAAGTGGCTGGCACTCAAACCCACAAACTCAATTAGAAACAAGCTTCTTCCGTTTAGGGATCAATCTTGTGGAGCCTTCAAAACAAAACAATTTAGTTTATCTAATACCCTGCCCGCAATGACTGTCAGATCAAATACATAGGTCAAACTAGTAGAACAGGGGCAGTCAGTCAGACTAGCCGAGCATTAAAACCTAGCAGCAAAATCTAGATTGGTTGACCCGAATAAGATAAGAAATCTAGAGAATAGTTCAGCTATACTACTCACTGCATGCAGTTACACACCACCATACAATATGATGGGATGGGATAGGATGACAGTTTTAAAATCTAATGCCACAGGGTATAGGGAGAGATTGATAACAGAAGCTTTGTTTATCGAATCAACTACAAATACGTGTTAAAGGAATGATTCAACACCTGTCCCAGATATCTGGAAAACTAAATAAAGAAGACAAGATGACTATCCTTTAGATTCCGCTCTCACTGTCCTAATGCCTCTGTGCAGACACTTTTCTCTTACTTGACTATTTATTTCGTTGTTGTGTCTAGGTACAGCGTATATATGGTCATATGTGTCCGCATATATGTGTGTGTGAATTCGATTCCCTGTTGTTGTTGTTTCTGTTGCTATTCGTCTATGTCATCTTGATTACGCAATATGACGTAGTATCGTTGTTGTCTCTGTATGACACTGTTGTCAGTGTTGTAATCTATGTGTAGTCTTTGGTGCAATGTGCTCTACATATATATATTTGTGTGTATCTATACCATCAGCTGTCTTCTCATCTATTTCTACTACATTTATTCCATTATTTCAACAATAGATATTGAAACGAACACTTCCAGCTGTCTACAGTTTAGCGTCACATCCAACAATGCCATATTGTAAGTAATGACTACCATTTTATTCCTATTATTATTATTATTATTATTATTATTATTATTATTATTATGTGCCATCATAACAGAACTAAAAGTAGAAAGCAGGATGATGAAGATGGGAGATAATTGGAGAGAGGAGCTTCGTGGGCTTTTAGAAGTGTGTGTGTGTGACCGATTGTTACTTCCCGGTTGTCCCTCTCCAGAACGTGGAAGTCTACTTTTTCCTGAGGTAGGTACTTGAAACAGAAAGAGAATTAGTTTTACGCGTGAGTGCAGAGCTCAAGGAACAACTGCTTAACGCCGCCGACTACGGACCACCTTAGGGTTAGTCGGGATGTACAATTTTTCGGGCTCGACCTTTTGCAACCCCTCTCTCTCTCTCCAGAGTGGAGAAGCAGCATAACTGGCGCATGCTGGTCATCTGAAGGAAACACCTGCCCACCACCGAGCATAGTGTAAACATGTTACACTATGACGCGATAACTGCTATTAGTTTGTATTCTCTATCATTGCGAAAGAACTAAAAACTCAGGATCAGCAACCAACTGAACACTAAAACAGTATTTTTTTTAAGGTTAAAACTCTTTAGACAGGTAGGTTTCAAATAGTAGTGAGTGTTTTCTGACTGACTGACTGACTGACTGACTGACTGACTGACTGACTGACTGACTGACTGACTGACTGACTGACTGACTGACTGACTGACTGACTGACTGACTGACTGACTGACTGACTGACTGACTGACTGACTGACTGACTGACTGACTGACTGACTGACTGACTGACTGACTGACTGACTGACTGACTGACTGACTGACTGACTGACTGACTGACTGACTGACTGACTGACTGACTTGGTTGAAATATGTATCAATTATTGAGTATCATCCCCTATCTCGATTTTTAACCTAGAATCTGAGCTATATGAAGAATTATGAATCACCTAATTGGGTTTGTCGGTGGTATAGCGGTTAGGGCGCTCGCCGGCCATGCACATGGTCCGGGGTTCGATCCCCGGCCGACGCACTCCTTCACCTCGCTAAGCCAGCAACAAAGACTGGTAAGGAGGGAAGGTTGCGCATGAGGCTAACAACCCCATCGTGTAAAAATAAACACTGCTACAGAAACTTCAAGCCATTAGCTTGAAGCCCTATGTTCCACTGGGAACGTGAAGGAAAAAAAATTGGATTTGTCACGATGCTTGAAGGTCATCCATCACTCAATCCAACAGGAGTAAGACAAGACTGCCTACTATCACTTACAATGATATTCCTGAGTGGGGTAGACTGGATCATCGAGCAGTCTGCGGGGAGTGAGAAAATGGATATACGTCAAACTGACATTAAGACTAGAAGACTTGACCTTCCTTGGTCAGTTATTTCTAATGTCGCAAAAACTTGAAGATCTTTTAGGTGAAAATCAACTACTTGGCAGAAATGATAGTGAAGACAGGAATTCAAGTGAATCTAGATGAGACGGAAGTGATGAAGATATCTAATCGAAACTAACAAGCACCAATCATCATCAATTAAGAGGAATCAAAAGGAGATTATTGTCTCTTCCACTTGCTGGACCTGCGTAGCATCGTTCCAGCAACCCCGAAGACCATGGGGCAATCTACTGCACTCTGCCTAAGGAACAAGATTTACATCGTCAACACTAGTGTTAAGTCAGTTAGGGCCTCTATGACGGTTTAGAGCCTCGTCGCGCGCGCGAGACATGTACAGCATTTCCAGCAAGCCGGTACAAACTTTCATCAATAACTTGTAGGATTTTGAAATGATACAGGGCTCTTGTATATCGCATCAAGCCAATGAAACCACCATCACCAATACAAATGAATACACTGGTAACAAAATCCTGCAAGAGAGACAATTCTGCATAATGAAATAATAGAGAAGATTTGTAGCTTAGGTGCATGATTTTCAATTAATAGTGTTCTCTGAGCTGGTTGGTTTAGTTGTGGAGCTTTCGTCGTCCTTCTGGACAACATCTCCTTCAGCGCCATATTTAGCACAAAGTGAAGTGATTGAAATTTCTTCATGATTGATATAAATGCATCTCCTGGTAACCATCTTTACATATGTGTATTGACCACTTTCTATTGACTTGGATTTTACACTTTCTGGTCACCTGATTTACTTTTTATTAGTTGGTATATTTCGTCTATATTAACGTGTTTGTTAATCGCATTTTCGCTTGAGTACCAGGCTTCTAGGAATTCCCTGGCATTTTTGGTGTTTCCTCTGTCTAAGATTTCGACATTATCCCAATCAAATTGATGACCATAATTGTCTATATGCATTGATACTAAAGAATACATGTCGTGTCTTTTCACGGCTGATTTGTGTTCTTGGATTCTGATTCGAAGGGGACGCCCACTTTGGCCGATGTAATGCTTGTTGCAGTTCATACAATTTATTTATTTTTCGGAACTTAACCAACCAGCTCAGAGAACACTATTAATGGCAACTTCTGCATACTGGTAAAGAGTCCAAAACCAGGATGAAACAACTATCTAAGACTCCTTCATTTTCCTATAGTTCTCTAACTGATATGAATTCGTAATCATTTGTGTAACTAATCAAAATCCCTGCAAGCCAACAGCTGATAATTCATAACTTCACCGCTAAACAAGCCCTGAAAGTGCTTTTTTTCTTTCAGGAGTACAACGAATTCTTCCTAATCAAACATTTCAATCATTTCTTCAGGTTCTACAGTAGTAATAAATCCATGAATATTAGAATACAAATAGCTAGTAAAGCTGAATGTTCAGAATTATATCAGAAAATGTATTGGGGTGTAGAAGTATGAGGTAGAATATAAGTAGTCCGTCAATTGAATGTTGTATATAAAATGTACAGTCATTCAGAACATGCAATAAAGTGTTAATAGACAGTGGACAGTTGTTTCTTCCTCGACCAGAAGTCTCCAGCGTTACTCACCAACCAGGGCTCAAACCCGGAACCTTCCGATTACAAAGCAACCAACCTTTTAGATCATTCAGCCACTAGGACTCGATCCATTGACCAACCCATGAATTTCAACTTCTACCAATTTATGATTTCAACGCGACTGGCACTAGTTGATGTCATTGCATGGCGAGTAATTGTCGTCACTTCTAACCGGATGGACCCCACTGACTAATGACAACTTCTCACTAGAATTCTGGTCACTATGTAGTAGTGAGAGCTGTCTGCAAGTCAAATCGTAAGCAACAATTTACGTCAATGTTTACGTCCCGAATCTACGGATCAGAAACTTGGCGGGTCACAAAGAATATTTCCAACAGCCTGTTGCAGACATTTATCAACAACTGTCTTCGCTGGCTCTATACTGAAGATCAGATGGCCGCCGGGAAGAATCACCAACAAGAAACTATGGGAACAAAGAAACAAAACAAGAACCAATCGCTCAACAAATATGCAGGAGAAAGTGGAGATGGATTGGACACTCATTGAGGAGGCCGCTGGGTGACATCGCGCGTCAGGCCAATGCTCGAGTGGAACTCGAAAGGGAAGCGGCGAGTGGGACGTCCAAGGGTGACATGGAGGAGATTGTGTGAAGAGGAGTTGAAACAGTATGGATTAATATAGACGCAGGTGAAAAGTACAGCAGAAGACAGAAGCAAGTGGAGACGTGTAGTTGAAGCTCTATGTTCCACTAGGAACCCAAGGGAACAATAATAATAATTACGTCCCGAATCGGGGTCATGAGTAAAGACAAGAACGAAAGCCTAACCTTGAGGAACTCAACAACCAATCAGAGCAGACCTAACTTGGGTGTAGATGCGATTCGCAGATATATCACCAGACTGTCTAAAAAACGGCCACAAAAAGACGACAGAATAGCCTTCAGTAAGAAAACAACCAATCAGAAGACATTGCTTCTCTGCTAACAATAATGTACATAGAAATCTATAAATATCTCTTGATTTTCTAAACAAGCCATCTGTGTTGCCTGGCCCTTGTCTTCTGTCTTTTACAATTTAACCAAAACTCACACACAGTATTTCTTCCATCTGTTGTTGTTTGTTTGTTTTTATTTCTGCACTTCAAGACTTATCCGGGACAGGTACTGGTTCAGTGCATATGTTCGAGTGGTCAACTCCTGTCCCTGTTGTTGCTGGTTTTACAAACACTTTCAGTTTAACAGCTGCTGGTGCATCAGGACAATTTCCAGCTGGTTCTAGAGGTGCTCGTGTCACAGCACTACAATTCGATGATAGTGGATATCGAGTAAGTTATACAGACACTTTTCATTTATCAATTAAAGAGAACCATTGAAATCTACTTAGAGAGTATACTGGAATGCTGTTTCGTCCTAGTTCGGATTTCTTCAGCGCAATACTGTCACTCATGACCGACTACGTATCCTCACCGGGAATCGAACAGAAGTTAGGGTTCATTTACTGGTCATTGAATTCCATCCCAATGGCTGAATGAATGGTTAATGAGCTCACCGTGTCTTGGGTTCTATACCTCGTGGGCACTTGGGTGCGTACCGATGAAGAGCCCCCACCTAGGGCGAAACAGTACTCCTTGGTCGTGGTTTCCAATGGTTCTCTAACTTATGAGTCAGGTATTATTGGTTGTTTTTAATTCAGTTTTGATTTTCCCGTTGACTGATTGAACAGCAGTGTTCGACCTCTGTCGATTTGTCAACTTCTAGTACGGAGGCTTTGATGAAGTAATTTGGTGGATGATATAAGTATAAAACTTGGGCACTGTGGTAGAGCATAACTCCATTATAGATCAGATTTTGTTTTGATAAATCACACAGTGTTTGTTATACAGTAATATTAACTGATGACCACGTACCGAGCACAAACTATTGCCACTCATAATCACATCAAGTCACTCACACAAGGTTTTTCCTTCATTTACATACATGAGTGTAATTAATGATTAGACATTTGAATAAAAAATCAATATAAGATAAAGTACATTCAGAAATAATAATATTAGTGTTATCCATCAAGGACAATCAGATCAGAAATAAGACGAGTGTTTATACAGTCATAATAAGCAACTTGTTAGAATGTTGTGATGTACTTGAATTGAAATAGAATTTTACGATTACTTATTATCCTCTTCTGATTTGACCGGCGGTAATAATATCTTCCATGCATATCTCTGGTATTTGCATTGAGTAATTTCTGTTACATGTGTTGTGTTGGGTGTAGACTCGATGAACCAGGCAGGATTCAGTAATCAATCTTTCTCCACCTATCTATATTGCTTTCTAGAATTTTGACTCTGTCCCACCCTATTGTATGGTTGTGTATTAATGCATGAAGTGCAATCACTGAGCTTTTGTCTAAATTACTTATCTTCTCGGGATCAACCATTCTTACCTTAGCTAAATTCTTATGTTCTAACAACCTGATTACCCCCACCCGATCCACTAGTTTGACCTATGTAGTTGACCTCACTCACAGTCATTACAAGGTATTTTGTAAATTATATTATTTTGTTTAATTGGGTCCACCGGATCTTTCAACCTACAGAAATTTTCCTATCTGAGTGAGTTTGTAGGTTTGAATGCCACCCTAATTCCTGCTTTATTAAGAATCCTACGTAGGGTCTCAGATGTCCCCTCCTTATATTGTATAACTGTAGATGACTTATATTCTCTCTTAGTTATGTTACCATTACTAGTTTTACTACTATTTTGAATTTGTTTTGGGCCTTTTTCGATCTTCCTAATGAATTTTATAAGATAGTTATTTAACATGGATGGATGGTGACAAGCAGTGAAATTCACCAGAGTGCGCATTTCATCCTATTTGAAACTCGTCAGCTAGTGGATGTAATTGCATTCCCCCCCACAGTGAGTGATGGTGGTGTTCCCCCACCACCACAACTGAGACTCGAACCCAGTACTATTCGTTGAATGGTTACAGAACCTGGCGCTTATTTACAAGAGAAATTAACATAATGATAATAATGAAACATATTGAAGACAATATTTACTTGAAAATGTTATCAGAATGAATTTTGCATAGCGTTCATACTGGCTCCGTAATAACGACAGGTTCTGTATTTATCCAATGAATGGTATGCGCTGAAGGTCACTGGTGCGTTAGCACTCCGTGGATGGGTATTACTCTTCTTCACATTGGCTCACAACTCAACCTAGGTTGTGGGTCAACAATAAATCAGTATGATCTCGCAGTAAGAAAACCACTACTCACTAAAATGTAGGTATATCTGTTTGAAGAATCTGAATTAGGACGAAACGCACTCTCTAGATTCCATTACCAACTAGCTACCGACAGCAAAATAATACAAAGTTAACCTGAACAGATGATTGATTCGTCCATACTAGGAGAGCGAACATACCTCTCCACTGAAATTAGTCAAGGAGGGAATCAAAACAGTTTCACCATATGAAACATGAGTGTGTCAACTCGCCTGCCTACATAGTGTGATAATTCTTCGGGATTCAAGCGTTGGTTTGCAGGTATTTGATTAGTCACAGAATTTCATCATGAGCTAACATTGGTTAGAGGACCATTAGAAAACCAGCAGGGCGTAATGGACAACTGTTTCTTCCTAGTCCTGTGGGTCTCTTCATCAGTAAGCACCCACCACCAAGGTTCAAACCCAAAACCTTCAGGTTACAAGACAGGCCATTAAGCCGATGTGACCCGACCTGCTGTACTTCACTGGTCATGACTTCCCACTAGAACCCAGGTAACCATCTACCTGAATAGGATCAGTCTCAAGCGAGCATCAGATTGATGTTCAGTTGTTGGTTTTGAAGGCATTTGATTTGATTGGTTACAGGATTTCATCATGAGCGTAGTGATTTAGGAGGTTGCCTTGCAACAGAAAGGTCCTGGGTTCTTACCCACTGTGGTGGGTGCGCACTCCTTCTGAAGAGTCCCAAACTAGACTGACGAAACATCTGTGTCCAGTGCTCCTTGACGGGTTTTCAATGGTTCTCTAACCGGTGTCAGCTCATGATGAAATTTTTAAGCGTTCACATATTGTTATAATAAAGGTTTCTCTCTTATTTCCCAATGAATGAAAAACAAAACGACATCGTTGTTTTTACTGACGTTTCGCTATTTAATGCTGATGCTAATAGCTTTATCAAAGTATTATTAAACCGGAATTTACAAAATCTCAGCATATATATAACAAAGAGTTAAGAGGTGAGAAAATACACAAGTTAGGTCAAGTTAAAAGGACATATTGAGAGTTAAAATACCAATGAAGATCACTAAACCAAATAACAAAGGTAATAGTACATCTGTTATGGTATCAAAACAAAGTTCGTCTGTCTGGGGTCATTTTTCTTTGTTAAGTTGGTCATTTGGTAAAGATAACGAAATCAAGTGTAGATTGTTGGTTCTGATCAGTGTGTAAAATTATAAAAGCAGCGTGTGTGTTTACATAGTGAACTTGCATATCACATTCGTGTTGATTTTGTCACTTGGTGGGGGAGGTATGTGTTGTAACCAGGTAAAACTCTGTTTCAGTCCATCATTCCTATTCAGGTAATTTGGATTCCACTTGATATGAAGTGCTTCTGATATTAGACGTTCTTTATGATTTCTGAATTATTTCAATATTGTCAAAATCCCTCCCCCATGAAGTGACAATATCAACACGAATGTGATATGCAAGTTCACTATGTAAACACACTCTGCTTTTATAATTTTAAACGCTGATCAAATCCAACAATCTACACTTGGTTTTGTTATCTTTAGCAATTGACCAACTTGACAGCGAAAAATGCCCCCAGACAGAAGAACGATGATCAAGTTAGTAAACTTTGTTTTGATATCATAACAGACGTACTATTACCTTTGTTATTTGGTTTAGTGATCTTCATTGTTATTTTGACTTTCAATATGTCCCTTTAACTTGACCTAACTTGTCTATTTTCTCACTTCTTAACTCTTTGATATATATGTATATGCTGAGATTTTGTAAATTCCGGTTTAATAATACTTTGATAAAGCTATTAGCAGCAGCATTAAATAGCGAAACGTCAGTAAAAACAACAATATCGTTTTGTTTTTCATTCATTGGGAAATAAGAGAGAAACCTTTATTATAATGAATATCATACACCCAATGCCCAAATTTTCTCAAACCGTTAAAGGTGAACTTGGTTTGGACATATATAGTTCACATATTGTGATTGAAAAAAACTACTCAGTTCACAAAACTCCTTCATCTATGTTTCGATAAATGGTTGGCAATATGTGATGAAAATCACAAGTCAACAAGGATGTTTGGATTGGCCTGTGATACACAAATAACCCTGACTAGTTATTGGCCTTTCATATGCGCCTTAACAAATCCTTAATGACACAATTCAACCAATCACATATTAGTGAAAACGTTAACCTTGTCCTACCATTATTAACCAATCACTGAGATGCTGATGAAATATTAAGCATCATGGTGATTGGTTAATTTTTCACCCAGTTTGATTGTATAAATTGACAAAAATTAAATTCGCTATTAGCAATTTCGAGGTGAAATTTATTTATTATTCACATAACCACAGTGGCACAGTGGTTAGGACTCTCGCCGACCATGCACATGGTCCGGGGTTCGATCCCCTGCCGGCGCACACCCGATATCTATGGTATGCCTGAATTTGGGCAACCGATATCCATGCTGAAAATTCCACACTTGTACTGAAAATACGGTGTGGAAATCAAGCTGTAAATCAAAAAAAAAAAAAATATGTGATCTGCTTGGTCTCATAAATAGTTTTTTTTACGAGTTGATCATGGATTGATATCAGTTAGAGAGAACCACTGAAAACCACGGAGTGCTGGACACCTGTTTCATCCTAGTTTGGGAATCATCGGTAGTACGCACCCACCACCAGGGTTCGAATCCAGGACCTTCTGATTACAAGGCAAGCTCGTGTACCATTCAGCTACTGGGACGCAATTCAATCACCAGTGCATGGATTCTAACTTCTACCAATCCGTGATCAACTCGTAAAAGTAAAACTAACCCTTACAAACCAAACTATAGAAAATAGTGTTTTTTGTTTTCTTGAAGGAAGCAAGCATAGATAAGTGCGTGACGCTATATACTACTAACTGACCGACTGACATAAGTAGTTGTGTATACCAAGAATGTGAAACAGTAGTGTTTAATAGTCAAAAAGACGGGACAACCGGTCTGCTCGTTTAGGGATGAACTCATCCATCAACTGAGCTAAAAGAGAGCTGAATCCGTGTTCATACTATCCAACACATTGTGGCACACACAATATCTAGAATATACTAAATTGGATCATTTGCATGCAAGTAATTGATTTATAGTGTTCTTGGTGAACAAACAGCTGGCAACAGTAAAGAATAGACACCAACCTCAGATGACCTTGAAACAGCCAATCAGATTCTTCCAGGTGAAAAGTGGTACTTAATTTACAAAGAGGTGTATCTACGATATATATGTAATAAGAATGAATCATATAGGGTACATATCTCTAATATGCTGCAAAAACTGGTCCCAGATTCTCATAGAAGTGGTTATAGGCATATCAAACCAGTGTACTCTCTATTTCTCTAGCTGTAGCAGATACGGGTTGCATATACGAAATATGTATTACTAGGGGAGAGCTTTGATTTCGGGAAGAAAGTGTCTAAAAAATCACCAGTTATGTACGACTTACCAACTTATACAGACTTCCTCATGTAATAAAGTGGGTGCATCTGAATGGTTTTATACAACCATCAATAGCTCGGCAATACTTTTGCACAGTCATTATCCCTCCACTACATATGCATATGTTTTATTCCTCCCCTATTCAACACATTTTCCACAGAGAAATCAAAAACCGAATCTAGGAGACAATTTCAACGAGGATTATGACTAGCAACCTTTTGTAATGCTGAGCAGTCTGATTGGTCAAATCAAGGCCATTTGACTTTGGTGTCTATTGTTTACTCTTGCTAGTAGCTCAAATTATCATTATTATTATTATTGTTTCCTTTAATTCCTAGAGGAACATAGGGCTTCAGCCGTGCGTCTCCATTGCGTTCGGTTCTCTCCTAGAGCCTTCTCCTGGCTTCAAGTCTGCCCACATGCTTTCATCTCCTCTTCACATGACCTCCTCCAAGTCACCCTTGCGATGACGACCAACTCGCCACTTCCCTTTCGGGTTCCACTCGAGCAATGGCTTGTCTAGTGATGTCACTCACTTGATGGTTTCCTCAGAGTATGGACACTCCATCTCCATTTCTTCCTGCCTATTTGTTTCACAATCGGTTCCTGCTGGGTTGGTTCACTCATTGCCAGAGATCTCTGTTGCTGATCTTTTTTGGCCGGCTGGCCATCTGATCTTGAGTGGTATTGAGCGAAAACAACTGTTAATGAAGGTTTGTAGTTTGTTTGAGATGCTCTTTATGACGCGCTGGCCAAGTATAAGTAGCACTGACTTCACATTGGAGTTGAAAATCCGGATCTTATTTTTGATGGTGTGTGCTGTTGACCTCCACGCAGACTTAAGGGAGTAGTGAAAGCTTGTCTTGCTTTTCCGATTCTTGCTTTGATACCCTCTTCAGTTCCGTCCACCTGTAGTTGAAAGGATGCTTCCCAGTTAGGGTAGGTAAAAGAGGTTGTTTCTTTCAGGGTCCTCCCATTTATGCTTATTGCTGTCTGTTGTTGTTCTTGCCCAGGAATCTTCATCACCTAACTCTGTTTTCTCTATGTTCACCTGAAGTCCTATCTTTACTGGATGCTTCTTCTGCCAACTTGTTGCTTTTCGCTTGCATATCGTTTAGGGATGGACTCATGCATCAGTGTGTGATGTACCAGATTCAACTGAATTCAAAGATCGGAGTCAATCTTCATACTACCCAACACACTTCGACTCCAAATGTCTATAATATACCACATAATTGCATGCAAGTAATTGACGTTATAGTGTTCTTAGTGAACAAACAGCTCAAAAAGAACTCTAATATTAGTAACTAGTATTTGCTTTTCCATTATTGTTTTTACTCTTGTATTTACTTCTCCCTCCTTCCTTTGTTTTTATCAAGTTTGGTTGTGGTGATGCTGAAGGGAATTTCGGTCTATGGAATTTATATTCAACTATGCCAGGGAAATTGCCATACTTTGTAAGTTTTAATGTGTTTGTGTGCATAGTTTCCATATGTGTGTGATTCAATCAGTTTTGTGCTATGAGTTGAATGGTTTAATGTGTGTGTGTGTGTGTGTGTGTGTGTGTGTAGTTTAATGCCAATGAGATTACTGTGAAACGGAGAGTTAATTCTCACTGCATAAATCATCCACACTCCATTAGTTATCATGGAGATTACAAAAAACACATCCTGAATTTCATTTATTGGTGCGTTATAACCAATAAGATTTGTACTTTGTGGATGATATATGTGTAATGTCACGTAACATCGAAGACCAACAGACGAATACCGACAAACTGTCTCATCGTTGTTTGTGGTCGCAGAGTGAAGTGAAGATGACTCACTAGCCTGAAGAATAGTGCTAACTGTAGTAGAGAAGCAAGATGAGGAAGGTGATGTGAGTAAGGGCGGGTGATGCTCAGGTAGGCTTCGTGTGATTTTGGAAGTGTGTGGGCAGTTGTTACATCCCGGCTGCCCACACCGTGGAAGTTGGTTGAATCTTCGGGTACGTGAAATAGAAAAAAGGTTAGTGTTGCGTGACCGCAGAGCCCAGGGGACAACTGCTTGAGGCCGGTGACACGCGGCGTTTTTGTTTGTTCTTTCTTGTTTGGTGTGTCTCAGTAGCATTATTTATCACTTCTGCCCTGTGACACGGCAGCAGGAAGCGCGGTCGTTGTTAATCCGGGCCTCGACCGATCCGGCATGATATTTTGTGAATTTGTTTGAATCATAGTATTGGATTGGGTAGCTGCTTTTTGTCTAACCGCTATCCAGACAACCTCTCCGGCATGATAGGACCTACAGGAACATAAGTTCCAGCCAGTGTAGCTGGTTGGGTCATTGCGATATGCAAGCCCGACCACCACGTCAAGGTAGCAGCTATCGGTCGGGACAAACTGCCAGAGGTGGCAGAGAAAACAGGATTTCAAGTGAACATAGAGACGACGGAGGTGATGAAGATAATCAACAGACCAACCGACAACAACAATGACAACCACCAATCACTATCAACAGGAGAAATTTGAAAGTAATTTAATAATTCCCATTGTAGCATTAAGAACACAATATTCAGTGAAGAGACTCTTTTCAACGAATTTATTATCAAGCTGTACAATCGTATATATATGGTTTTTTTATGAGAAATTATATCCGGTGAGGGAATTAGGTCAAAGGTGTGAATACATGAAATAATAAGAGTAGTATGAAATACAATTAAAATATTTGTGATTATAATCATAGTTTAATGTCAAGTGGCAAAATAATTAATGTCGTATATAGAATAATACATAAGGTGTATAGATATTGTTGGAAAGGAGTGCATAATTATAGAATTAGTAGGCGAATATAAAGTGTTACATAACATGGTGTGAAATTTGATACGATAGAATTCAATATTGTAGAAAACATTTTGGATTTAGGAAGACAAGTGGACAAACGGAAACAATTCAGAGTGAGAATAATAATAATCGTAGTAATGAGGGAAAGGTACATAGAATAACTAAATAAACAAAATAAATAAATGTCTATCCCTCTACGGCCAAGGCAGAAGTAAGGATTGTACATACTTCTTTTGTACACAAAGGTCTGGCCTAAAGTCATGAAGTCTGTAACGAAGAAAACTCGGGAAGTTAGCATGGATTCTATATATTATCTTAAAATCATGGTCAGGGTTGACAGAGTGACAGGAGTCGATCAGGTGTGTTCCAGAATAGAGCTTCGCACACACTTTCTTTCTCCCTTGTAAAACCATGCTGGAATATGTTCTCATATCCGTGTGGAAAGCGTCCTCTGACTACGGCCAATGTACCTTGCTCCACAAAAGCAGGTGAACTGATAGATGTAAATGGAGGCAGTCAGACGGGCGAGCTTATCTTTTACAGAGGTAGAGAACATATGTAATTTTGCTGCAAAGAATGTCTTACTGACTGCTTTAGAGAGACGATTTTTGAGCATATCTGAAGCGTTGATCACCTTTGAATTCCAAGTTCATGAATAAGGTTTTCTTTGGAACTGAGTCGGTGACCAGTTTAGACTGCTTATCTTTCTCATGTTGCTGTCAATAAATTTGAAAGTGGTCACTGTCTTCACTTATCTAGGCAGCATCTTCTCAACTACTGGCGGCACAGATGAACATTTCAAAACCAGATGTGATCGGAAAAGAAAGACGCGTGTCCATTGTTTTTTTGAAATCAGGAACAAGATCTTCAGTATTAATGTCAAAATCAGTGCCTCTATGTGATTTTAGAGTTATGGTGTGGGCGTCATCAAAAGCATTTCACACAGTCTACTGGAGACTTTCAGTAACAGCTGTCTTCGCAAGCTCTCCACACTGGCCAGAAAGAATTAGCAACAACAAGCTACGAGAACAAACCAACCAAGAACTAATTATTCAACAAATCTCCCGAAGAAAATGGAAATGGATCGGATACACTGGAGAGACCTTCGGGTGGTGTCATCGCTCGAGTGGAAGCCGAATAGAGGAGTCAAGTGACCATTTGGGCGTGGTTCTGAGGTGACAAGGAGGAAAATGTATCAGGAGGAAAGGGAAGCATATGGGTAATCGTGGACCTAGCTAAAGAGGACCACAGAGAACAGGACAAAAGTGGAACCGTTCTGTTGAAGCCTTATTGTTCCACTCTGAATCCAGCGGGTCTGACGAATACGTCTTTGTGACAACTCAATGGTGATGATCACGGATTCAGAAAAAATACTAACCCTTAATGGAATTCAAAAAACCGAAAGTCCTCGATCTGATTAAAAATACCCATTGAAATATTTTCAAAAGAATGGATACTGAACAAAGAATACTCTTTTCGATAACTTCCTCATTGTCAGGCTCTACAGTTATATATACATTATAGTGAATGAATGAATTAGTGTTATGAACAACATTAATGCTGTTTAAATAACATCGAATCAATAATATTGATAGATTACAGCTCAGTAGCATCAACAGAACAATTAACTGAATGTCAGAAGAATTAGGAACGGTAATAGTACAAATTCATGAGTTTATAGTCTCTACTGAAGGACAGGGCAGTAGTAGGGGCTGAACTTGCTTCTTTTGCACACAAAGCACTGGTTGTTTCACGCGAATTGCAATAGCCTCTGCTCTTTGGAGCATGCAGTACTTCGATGTTTCTGGCAATTTATTTGGCACCCAGTAGATGATACAGAAGGATTCTTCAATGCTGGCTTTATGGCTGGTTTGGACCAGATGGTCTAATATCGAACTGTTGGTGACGGTTTTTACTACACCTTTACTTAGACATACTGGGAGATGTTCTGGAGCACGAAAAATCAAGTTCCTACAGCAACGGCCGATCTTTCAATTCTTCCCAGATAATTCAATTTTATCTTAATAAATACTTAAATTGTGCAAACTGTGCTGATGATGTTACCTAGTGTGACTGTGAGACGTTCGCCAATGAAAAAAACCACCACAAATAACAGCACTTAATGTGCACAGTTTTTATGCATTTATTATGAATTTTCCCCTTGTTTATCCTTTGTCTTTCTTTTTTTCTGTCTTCCTGCTTTCAGCGTTGTCGTTGCCACGCTAAAGGCTTAGCTGATTTCTGTTTCTTAGGCTGTAGCAGTCTAATAGCTACAGTCGGTAATGGTGGTATATCTACAGCATCGTTTACAAGTAGTGGACTTGTTGAAAGCACTGGTTCCACTGGCATTGGCAGTGGTGGGGGTGGTGCTGGAGGTATAGCACACTTCAGCTCTTCTGGAAGTGGTAGCAGTTATTCTTCTTCTACCGGGAATATCAGTTTAGATCAAGATGCTTCTCATTTGACTTTATGGGATACATTGTTGCCAGTCAATCGATGTGGGGTTATTCGTAAGTATATCTATATGTACATGTACAGAATCATTTTTAACAGTAATCTAAAGATACTGGGTTCCACCATTACTAGGTTCCCCATTTCTATTCAACTTCATCATAGACGTACTGATGAACTTAACCCTAACTCACTTCAGAGACTCAGGGATTGACTTGCTACCACCAGGGAATAATCTCGTTGACTTAGAATATGCAGATAGTGATATAGTCCTTCTAGGCGAGGACGCTGACAAAATAGAGCAGAGTCTTCTGAACACTTTGAGCAGCAATCTTCGTATGTTCGGCATGAGAATCGCCCCTGTAAAATGTAAGATGATTTTGCAGGATTGAACTACACCGACCCCTAGATTAGAAATAGGAAGTGAAGTGGTAGAGCACGTTGACCGCTTCACTTATTTGGGAAGTACCACCAGCCAATGCCAACGGGTTGATCTCTGACGAAATCTCAGTACGAATACAGAGGGCTAGTTTCGCATATGCCAGTTTACGCCGTCTCTGGCATAGACGTGATATCCGACTGGCTGTCCACCAAAGGACATGTGTACTACTCGGCAGTCCGCTCCATCCTCTTTGATGGCTGTGAGACCTGGCCATTGAGAGTGGAAGACATGAAAAGGCTAGCTTGCTGTCTTTGATCATAGGTGTTTGCGTTCTATCTCCCGTGTGAAGTGGTATAATAGGGTGAGCAATATTGATGTGAGACATCGGTTGAGTGCTAGGTAAGGAGGGGAAATCAGTCGACGAGATTGTGAAATTACATCGACTGAGGTGGCTAGGACATGTGTTACGTATACCTAGTCACCGCCTTCCCTGACGGGCAATGTTAGCTGATATAGGGTCAGGCTGGAAAAGAGCTAGCGGTGGTCAAACCAAAACATGTCACCAGTCAATGAAATCTACAACAGTTAGTCTAAGCCACGTAGGAAGGTGTAGACTTCCTGACTGGTTGGGGTCCTCGGGACGGTAAAAACCAATGGTTGGAAACAATTGGTGACATTGCTCAAAGTGATCGTTCTCAATGGCTAGCGCAGATGCATCCACTCCTTGTGACTTATGATTTCCAATGAAACTGTTTTGTTCTTCGTCATTACTATTCCTTTGTCTCACACCTGTGTTTACTGTCTCTATTTTGCATTTGTTCTACTTTCTTCTCTTGCTTTGTGTGCTACATGGAGTGTGGCGACTCGAACTGCTGCACAGTGGTGCAAAGTTCTTTGTCGAAAACAGACAGGCAGACAGACATTCTACTCTGAACATATTGTTTAACTGTGAATTTGTGAGCACAGTGGATTTCGAAACCATCTAGTCTCTCTCAAGTAGGGAACACACAGCCCTTCCTCCCTCTACCGAGATTCGGGCAATCAGGCTTGATGGGGGAATACAAGCCGTGGTTGGAATAGTAGCATTTTATATCTCCTTTAAAATAGAATTTATGCCTATACTCTTTCTGTTGTACACATGTATTTATTTATTGATTGATTTATTGATTCTAAAGGTGTTCTTGATCCTGAATTGGATGCTCCATGCACATCAATAGCCTATTGTGGTGCATTTTCACAAGTGAATCGTTGGCCACACAGTACCAGTAGCCTTTATAATACTGCCGAAACTTCGACGTCTTCTTCTTCTACAAAACGACTTTACACTGGTGACAGGACTGTAATTGTTGGCAACAAGAATGGTGATGTATGCATTGTTGATTTAAGGCGACCAAAAGTATTGCATAAATTCTCAGCGCATGAATCAGCTGTACGAACATTGTGTATTGATCCTATGACAGATTGTCTAATGACTGGAGGAGCTGATGGAATTGTTAAAGTAATGTTTATTGATTTTGTTGTCTTTTCGTTTATTTTGTTTGTTCGTTTTTTTTGATTGAGCGAGCGAACCTTCAAGAATCGATAATGATGATTAACCTGATATAAATTTAAATTTGACCACAGATTGATATCAATTGGAGAAGCTGTTTCGTCCTAATTCGAGACTCTTCAGAACAGTTACAAGGGAATGAGGAACATTGATTCAGTCTCCAGTGGCTTAATGGTCGACGAGCTCGCCTCGTACCCGGAAGGTCCTGGGCTCGAACTCCAGTGATGGGTGAATACTGATGATGAGTCCCAAACTAGGCTGACGAAACAGCCATCCAGTACTACTTCCTTGGCGGTTTCCAATGCTTCTCTAACTGATATTAATCTATGCGTGGTCAAACTTGAAAACAAACCAACTCTTATGAAAAAGAGAAGACGTTCAGCGAAGAGACTCTTTTCGACGGCGAATTCATTCACATAGCTGTACAATCGCATTTATATATAATTATTTGTGTGTGTGTGTGTACATGAGGTTTGTCAAGTTTAGATACTTGATCAGGTAATACAAGAATGATCTAATATAGAAACAAGGTTAATTAGACAGCAACTAAAGTAAGATTGAGTTAGTTAGCTAGTAAGTTAGATGACGTGGTAATATAATTGACTAAAATGTTTCAACTTAGATCAGGATAGCAACAAAGGTAATTACAGGTAGTGATTGAACGAACTTCTTCTGTATGCAGAGTTCAGGACTTAGCAAGTGAATCGCCATCGCTTCCGCAGTTTGAAGAAAGTGTGATTCGTACACCTTTAGGAAGACTACTTCGTATTCTGTAGACGACTTTGAATTTTGTTTGGGGTGTCTGTCTCTTCATTAGTATTATTTTGTCTTCTCAATTGTAATATTCTACATTTTCAACCTTCTTGTTCTCTATCCCCAGCCAATTTAATTTCTACACCTCACTACCACTGTTACTGACTTGATCAACGCTCAATCTCTAGTCATTTATGTTATGTCATCCAACTTATTTGCTCAACTTCAGCTCTAATTTAAATGGCGATATTCTCTATTTTATTTATTTATTTTATTTTTTTATTTTGATTACAGATTGATGCCACACTGTATTTTTAGTACAAGTATGGAATTTTCAGCATGGATATCGGTAGCCCAAATTTTGCAGGCCGACCATAGATATCGGGTGTGCGTCAGCGGGAGATCGAACCCAGGACCATGTGCATGGTCGGCGAGAGTCCTAACCACTGTGCCACCGACGCACACAGTTCAAAGGTGACATCGCAGAGGAAATTCTCAGAAACCGCCGTTCTAAATTTCTAAAAGAGACATTTCCAAAAGCCACCTTACGTATCACATTCTCCAGCAAACAGTTAATCCTGTTTAACGCTAAGGATAAGATACCGCTTCTGGCCACTTCCATGTGTATTTATCAATTTATTTGCTCGTATGGAGCAAAGTATATCGGCCGTACGCAACGTCAAGTCCACAAACGCATTCTCGAACACTGTCCAGCTTGGTTAGTCAGAGGAGAAAAGAGGAATAGCAGCAGCTGTATCATCGAACACCTTGTCATCTCCGGACATCAAGCAACCCCATCGGCATGAATGCTTCACAGTGCTACACAGATTCCCTCAATATCGTACAAAACGACTTCGCTTACTCCATCTGTACATAGCTGAAGCATTAGTTATTTGAGATCTGAAACCGGACCTCTGCACTTAAAAGCGATACATACAGTTTTTTGCCCTACGTGCCCAGAGTAAAGTTCTTACTATAATTTTGCTTCTCTCTCTTTTATTATGTAAATTCACTGTTATTATTACTATTATTATTATTGTTATTGTTATTACTACTATTATTTTATTATCATTATTATTCCCATCATCCATATTTTATTACCACTCTATTACTGTTTATTAATAACATTGCTTTTCATACAGATTTTATATAAAAACACTTTATCGTCTTTCCAATGGTCCCTGTACATTCTACACGAGCTTATTAATTAGTCATTATCTCACACTTATTACGTCATGTCAACTTCTAACTTACAATTAGTCACCTCATCTAGGTTACACCTTACATTACGTAATACATTTTTCGAGGACAAAGTTTACCAGTACCTGATTGGTCTAAAGATTTCTTTGTTTAATATAATTACGATTGTACAGTTCATGAAAATGAATTATTGATATGTGTATAAAACTTGGGCACTGTGGTGGAGTTTAACTCCATTATGGATAAGATTTTATTTTGATAAGTCACACAGTGTTGTACAGTAATATTAACTGATGATCACGTTTCGAACACAAACTATTGCCACTCATAATCATATCAAGACACTACTCACACAACTTTCTTGCTTCATTTATATACATGAGTGGAATTGATGATTAGACATTTGAATAAAAATCAGTAATATAGGATAATGTATATTCAGAAACAATTATATGAGTGTTATTGATCAAATACAAATTGAAATAGAATTTTGAGATCATTTAATATCCTCCTCTGATTTGACTGACTGGTGGTAATAATATCTTTCATATCTCTGGTATCTGCATTGAGTCATTTCTGTTGCATGTGTTGTGTGTAGACTCAATGAAAAAGGATTCAGTAATCAATGTCTCTCTCCACCTACATGGATTACTTCTTAGAATCTTAACCCTCCCACCCTATTGGGTGGTTGTTTGTTAATGCGTGAAGTGCAATTGCTGAGCTTTTTTCTAAATTACTTATCTTCTCGGGGTCAACCATTATTACCTTAGCTAAATTCTTATGTTCCGACAATCTGACTATCCCCAACCTACTAGTTTGACCTATGTAGTTGACTTAACTCACAGTTATTGCAGGGTATTTTGTAAATTATATAATTTTGTCTAATTGGGCCCACCGGGTCTTTTAGAAAAGAAAATTTTCTTCGCTGTTTACGCCTTTTTCTTATCATCACAAGTAAAACTTTCTTTTCGCTTTCTTCTTTTCCTTTTCTTCTCTCTCTAGATATGGAGATTATCTGAACAAGAATTGATTACCAGTTTCTGTGGTGATTTAAATCCCACACGGGGTGCTGCAGTTGTCGCTGCTGCTGCCTTATTCCGTGGCAATCAGTCAGCAGCGATTATTGCTGCAACAAATCCAGGCATATCAGATATACGTCTGCTGCCGACAGTGACAGGTGCATCATTATTACTACGTCGTCAACATTCATCAAACAACACAATGATTGCAACAACAACAACAACAACCAGCAGCAGTAACAATAATCCTTTCATAAAAGAATATGATCCATCCATGGATCTAACCGGTTCAACTGGTCAGAATCAAAAACACTCGATAACTGCTGCATCTATAGCCTGTCGATTCTTGAGCTGTGGTGCTGACGGTGGTCTACGTATGCGTTCATTGGTTGTTCGTCCAAAACCTTTTATGGTGCATTAAATAAAATGCCAATGCAGTGCGGTGCGTAGAAAACTAGATAGACAGACAGACAGGCAGGATTTCAGTAGTTTAGTGAGACAGACAGACAGATATAGACAGAAAGCAATAACACAAGCATAATATAATATCCATATATATACTTCTTTATTTATTTATTTATTCATTTATCTATCTCAATTTCCCTTCAAATTTTAATAATGTGATAGGAAAATTTTTATCCGCGAACATTCCATATACTACTTAAATATACTACTTATATATACACCGCTATTACTTATTATTATGTTCGATATGCATTATGTGATTCTGACACACACACACACACACACAATATATATATATCTATTCACATACGTATTCCACTTTCACTGTTGTGTTTCTCTCGTAAATTTTTCTCTTGTGCAGTTTGTTCCAGACAACGGAGACTGAAAACACGATGATTGTGCCAATTACATAGTTTCTTTGTTAATTTAATTTGATTGCAAAATAATTCAAATGAACTGTCGTCAAGATTTGACCGAATAGTTCTAAAATATTTGTTGGAATTACTTATTTCAATATCGCTGAGATTTTACAAATATAATTTTTACAAATGTCTACTTCTCACTCGGCGCCCAAATATTTTAGAACTATTCGGTCAAATCTTGACGACAGTTCATTTGAATTATTTTGCAATCAAATTAAATTAACAAAGAAACTATGTAATTGGCACAATCATCGTGTTTTCAGTCTCCGTTGTCTGGAACAAACTGCACATCCTAAATCCGTAGCTGTCGAGTCACCTGACAACCCCAGTAGGTCGAATAAAGCAGCTCAATCTTCAGAAAGAAGGCAAAGCAATAAGTCCGACAGGGTGCTTATACTAAACTCGAATCCTAAACACCATAATTTTGAAAATACGTCTAACCATAAAATTCTAGATACTAGCAGTTTGAACGGACATGATGGTTTGATGTTAGCTGATGCATAGGAAATCCTGATTAATAAATAAAAATGGATATGTATCACTAATTAATAATACTTGGTCAAATTCCTGACTGTCTATATCTTCCTATGGAGACGTTAAGAAATGTTTTACGACTGTTTACACACACACGCATGCACACTCTGTTTAAAGTATTTAACAAAGGTAGACCAATATTTGTAAGTCCGAGGTCAAATTTTGATCACAGCTCATACAATTTTGTTTCTTATACTTGTTAATACTTGTGTTTATGAATCATGATTGGACAAAGTTTTTAAAAAGATGTGCCTTTTATGTATAAAACCTCTGTTATGTTAATTTTGATTAATTTCCCTGAAGAAGTTCGGACCAGATTGCCGAACGAAACGTTGGAATTACTTATTTCAATATCGCTGAGATTTTACAAATATAATTTTTACAAAAGATTGGGTTGAAGGTATTTTTATGGCAACTGCCTCAGCTCTATGCTTAACAGCTGAAGGCGTACAAAGTTAGAGAATTAACGTGACACCTTGCATGGAGTTGGAAAGGGGAAATTCTTTATCAATCTTGTGATTCATATTCACAAGGTGTAACGATTTCTCTACCTAACCTGCCCAAGACGGCGATGACGGGCTTTCCGAGTCTTGTAACAACTGTCTCTACATCAAAAGTTAAGTTAATAAATCCACGCTGAAGTGACTAGACTCAGTAGCTTATCCTTCATCTGAGCGTTGGAATTGTTCAACGAGTGATGAATTTTAAACTCAGTGTCGTGGTAAAGAATGTTTAGCTGTTATTTTTCGGAGTTTCGATGCTAGTAACTCCGTGGCTACACCTCATCTGAACGATAAAGTCATATATGTTTACACACGCGTTTCTTCTTTACAGTTTGAAGGCATTTCTCTCTATCTGTTGCCATCATAGAAACTTTAACAAATTGTTTTCCGAGATCCGTTTTCTGTTCTCTAGACTACTAAGACCGTTTGATGAAATAAATGTGGCACACATACCAACACAATGACTTCATTCGATATTGTGCAGAACAAAGGATCCATCCAACAGAAAAAGAAGATAAGATTAATAGCATTCACCAAAATAAACTACATGAACTGCGTGATAAACATTACATCAGTCAAAGTGGGCGTCCCCTTCGACTCAGAATCCAGGAATATAAACTGGCCGTCAAAATGCACGGTGTTTATTCTTTCATATCGATGCATGTATGTAGGCAATCACGAACGCAGATTTCATTTAGATAATGTAGAACTCTTAAACTGAGATAACACCAAAAATGTCCCGGAATTTCTAGAAGCCTTCTTGGTATTCAAATGAATCAGTGATTAACAGACACACTGTGATAGTTGATTTGTAAGGTTTAGATTTGTTTATATGAGTTTGACCACGGATCGATATCAGTTAGAGAACCAATGAAAACCAACACTGGAGTACCGGACAGCTGCTGTTTCATCCTAGTTTGGGAATCATCGGCAGTACGCATGTGACAACTGAAGAAAAGGGCCAGGCAACAGATCGTTTATTAAGGAAAATCAACACATATTTATAGATTTTAATGTAGATTATTGTTAGTAGAAAATACAGTCTTTTGACTGGTTGTCTCTCACAGAAAGTTAACCTTGCATCTCTTTGTGGCTGTGTCAGATCATCTCTACGCTAACTGTATCCGCCTACGCAAAGTCTTTGTTCTCATTTTTCTCACGACCAATATTGGGGACATAAATATTGACGTCAATTACTGCCTACCAACTTTGGCTAGCAGCCAGCTCTCACCACACGCATCCCCCAAGATTCGAACCCAGGAAACTCAGGTTACAACTCAATTCACTGACCTGCCCATGAATTCTAACTCCTACCAATTCATGACTTTAGCGCGACTGGCACCAGCTGCCAATGTCATTGGCGGGTATTTGTCCTCACTTTGGACCTAGTGGACCCCACTAACTGGTCACCATTTTTCACTAGAACTCTAACTGTTATCAATCCGTAGTCAAACTTGAAAAATATTACTATAGGTCAAATTTACCAACTAATAAAAAATAAATCACATGACAAGAAAGCCAAAATTCCCAGTAACTAAAAATGATCAATAACGATGTAAATTAACAACCAGTCTCGACAGTGGTTGTTGTCAGGAGACAAAATAACATCATTCACTCATAGAGAATTCAAGTAAGTTCATTTCATTTATTAAAACTTGTCCTGAAGTGGTATTCTCTAGAAGAACCAACGAAAGCTCAGCAATTAAATCGACCAGCTAACTCAGAGAACACAACTAAATCAAAGTCGTATCATCCAATAGAGCTTTGGTTTCTTCATTTAGGCAACCGACTTCAAGTTGTGCAGAGAATTTCAATCATCAAGGTTATGCGTAACTACGTAGACAACATTAAATGTGTCAGGCACAAGGGTTGTGATGCAACGGCTTAGTACTTAGGCGTTTACGTAGTGTTTTTACCGGCATTATTTATGCGCTAGTGGTTAAGATATGGTCATTGAATTCCGCGCTACAATACACTACACCAACACTTGCTTGGAAAGTGACCAAATGCTCAATACAGGATAAAGTTCTAGTGGGAAATCGTGATCGATCACCGGGGCCAACAAGTTGGGTGTGGCGATAAATACTCACTGGCTGGCAGTCGCGAGTTGACAGAAGCTGGGATTACAGGATTTCGTCATGAACTGACATCCATTAGGGAATTATTGGAAAACCATCAGAGAGTAGTAGATAGCTGTTTCATCCCAGTTTTGGGACTCTTCAGCAAGGCGCACCAGGGTTCGAACCCAGGACCTTCGGGTTACAAGCCGAGCTCGTAGATGATTAAGCTACTGGGACCCGATCGAATGGCCAACCCATGAATTCCAGCTTCTGTCAATTCACAACACAGCGCGACTAGTAGTCAATGTCAACTGCGGCGGGTATTTGTCCCCACACCCGACCTGCTGTGGGAAGTCGTGACCAGTAGGGCACAGCAGGTCGATTGTGAGGACGAATGCCCACATCAGATGATATTAGCTACTTGTCGCGCCACACTATGAATTGGCAGAAGTTGGAATTCATGGGTTGACCGTTGGATCGGGTCCCAGTGGCTAAATTATCTACCAGATCACCTTGTAACCAGAAAGTCTTATGTGTACATTGACGAAGAGTCCAAAATTAGGACGAAACGGTTGTCCAGTATTCCTTGGTTATCAGTAGTTCTCTAACTGAAATAAGTTCTAGTTCAAATAAAAATTACACATATAGAACTACTCACATCAGTCATTCCTATGTTACCATCTCACTAATAGTGTATTAAGTGTGAGTTATGAGACTCAATAATTATTGAGCAGGTCTTGACGTGACCTGGAAATCCTGTTAAGCTGTATTTCTACATCTCACCACCTTCTTTCTCTACACAATGCTCCTATTCACTAAAACGTCAAAGACAAGATGTCATATTGGTGCTTCTATGTGGGTCAGAGACTTGGCACAACACTAAAAACATCCCCAACAATTTACCGCGGTCAAACAACCAACAAATATGCTGTGGAAATGGAGACGGATTGGACGTACACTGAGGAGACCGTTGGAGATTGACATCAAACATCAGGCAAACCGTCGTCGGGTGGAACCGAAGTGGTAGAAAACGACTGACAAGTTTAGTATGGGTCCGAAGTTGACATGAAGAAGAGAGATGACAGAAACTAGACTAGACTACAGAGAGACGATGCAATGAAGATGGCGGTTGCTGAGTGGAGAGACCTGCCTATGCTTCACTCCGGAACTCAATGTATTACATCATCTACACAAAAAGTCAGAACAATTTATTTATAATGCAACAATAGGATTAATATATTTCCCCTCCCACCTCGTTCTCATTAACAGATATCTACAATGAATTTGTAACTACAAGAAGAAGAAAGCAACACGTTGGTACTACATATTTTTAGAAGAGAAGAGGTTATAAACGAACGATAGATATAACACCAGTATCATTAATAATAATAATAATAATAATAATGACTAATCAATACACACAAGTTTAGTCAACTTTCTGTACAAAAATGAATTTTCAACGTCTCAAACAGAGAACACTTTTTCACTTTTA